GTGGCCGTCCTCCCCTCCTTCTATGGTGAGGGGGGCGCTGTCCCTCTTTACCACCCCCTGGCCTCCAACACTCACTCTTGTAATGTCCCTTTCGCTCACAATTATAGCACGTGGCGTCAGGGTTGGATGAACTGGTAGTGCGGCCTTTGTTCTGGGTGGTATTGGCGGATAGGGCAGAGTTAGTGCCCTTCTTCGCGGGGCGTCTTTCGGTGAGGAGCCTATGCTCATACTCTTCGCTAACGACATTCATTAATTCGTAGGGCGATAACGGCTTCTGCGCGATCTTCGCGGCAGCGTTTATGGAGGATAGCAAGGGTCGATACGATTCTGGGAGCGAGCCGAGCGTGATCGCGTAGAAGTCGCGGTCTTCTATATCGGCCCCCATGCCCGCTAGGGACTCTCGTAGACGGAGTAGCTCGCTAAAGTGAGCTTTAACGTCTCCATTCTCGTCGCATCTGACCTCTTGTAGGCGTCTACGAAGGTCAATCTGAACCAGCTCAGTTTTGCCTTCGTGGATATCGCGTATCTCCTTCCAGATTCTCGCAGAGCCCTCGAGCTTCTGCACGCGCAGTAACAGTCGATCAGTGATCGTACTGAACATCTGCTGCTTGACGAGTGAGTCTTTCTGGAAGTACTCATCCGTTTTCTTATCTAATTCGTCCACCTCCGCTTCCGTAGCTGGCGAACCGTCTGGCTTCGACAGGGCGCTCGTCTTCGGATCGATTTTGAACGGAGTCGGTTGTACTGCTCGACCGTCGACATAACGCATCAAACCTCGGGCAGCAATCGCAGTCAACATTCTCTCCTTATAGGTAATCCAATTGCTGCCATCCTCGGCTAGCTTGGGGACGTTGAATAGTGCGGAATTGGTGCTGGGGAGCGCGGAGTCCATGGTCGAGGCAGGGCTCATAACCTCTGGTGATCAGAGGCGAGCGGGGACGCGAGAGAGCGGGAAAACTAGATAGATTATCTCAGTCTGTATAGAATGACTCAATACAATGTATAGTACCTAGATAGATTCTATGGAACGAGTTAGCCGCTTGGTATAATGTAAGGGGGGAACATAGGCTTACATCTCAGTCTGTATAGAATGACTGAGATGCTCGGACGGATAGAGTCGTGAATTTAAGTAAAGTAGCATAGTGATGAAAAATATATGGTAGCATACGACCTTGACACTTTGTATCGTCGGCGCGATGCCCGACGTCAAACGTCGTCATCCAACTGCGCTCGCAATGTCTCAGCGTGACGTTTACGACGTCACCTGTCCGGTATTCGATCCGGAGTCCAATACATTTCAACTGTAATAATAAATTATATACCAGCCTTTGACTGGCCTAATTATAATAATTACAATGTGGCGTGGGTTTATCTAGTTCTGCTCCGGTGATCTCGACAAATGGAAGTTTCCACTGGCACAAGAACCAACTTGTCATAGGACAATCAAGAAGTCGAGCTTGCTATAGCCAGTCGAATATTGGTTTCCCGTTCCGAGATAGCTGCGTGGTCGATTCACGACACTCACGGAGGGTGCATTTGGTCTTTCAACACGCTGCTTGAATTGGTGTGCTCAGGATGTAGGTCGTCGCCGCCATCAAACACAGTAATTAGTAACTGTCTTTCAACATTCTTGGTTTGTAATTATGTTACTGACGAATCACTTTGCCACGTCAGATAAATTCCAAAGTCCAGTGAGCATCACGATGATTTCACTGATGGACTGATTGTAGCAGGACCTTCCGGACGGCGAGGAACAGCGCTGCAAACGGTATACCGAAATTTTGATGTACAGCCTTTCACGGCGTTCAAACGTTCTACCGTGCAGCGCTGCTTCCCAATTGTTCATACGAGGTTCATATGGCTCCTCGTGCAATCAACGTGGCCACCAGGAATATACCAGTCTCAACTTTGTTCAAATGGTAGGTCACCAGCATGTTTTCAGCTACCTTGTAGTCTCGTGGAGAGTAAAGCCAATTGGTTAAACTTGGACAAGAGGCAGGCTGATACCATTATCGGAGCAGCCGTCTAACGAAGGTTCTGCAGTTTGAACAACCTGAGCAAAGTGCCTCATATCAAAGAAAAACAGGATAATTCGGGGCAGAGGCAAACACCGGTCGCTCGCGACTCTTTTCCATATCTTAGTGCACGCGTCCCATATTACAAGCACAAGTTGCGAGGTGTGGTGGCTTCACGGTATTCCGGGTGCGATACAATTTTCTGTTCATGTTTGACTAAGATATACGGCCAGGGGGTTTCCCCAGCTAGCAAAGAGCAATTTTTTGCCACATATGATGTTATTGTATCGTGCACATGGGTCGGCCTAATTGGATTTTCCTATTACAACCCTCTAACCTGCACATTGGAAATCAAGCTAATAACGACTTGTTGACCTTTTTCGTCCTACATCAAATAGAAACTCATTTTTGCTCGTCTTGTGACGCTGGAATAGGGGACCCTTAATGAGAAGGGCTGCAGAGACGCGGAGTTTGCCGAGGAGGAAGAGCATTTGTCAGCGGTTAGACACGACGCCCGGATGTAGTAGACAGAGGGCATTGCTTCTAGCAGAGAGCAGCCATAAGGCTGACACCACTCCGACGCGATCTAGGCCGGGCGTTGTGGAAATTTTTCATGGGCGCCCACCACCGACGGATCGCTGAAGAACCATAGTTCCGGAACCGTGCTGTCCCAGGGTTAGAGATCCTCAACTGGACGATAAATATGGCTGGATTCGGTTTTGGTGCGTTTTGTATGTCTTTCCTGAGAGGTTTACAATCAAAAATAGTCCATTGTAGCTCTGTGGCTGGATAACCGGAGCACGGATGACGTGCAAACTGTGGATATATGCTCCTCGTATCATCCTTGGACGCAGACGGAATGGGAGACCAACATTCGGAGCGCACCTGGTATGATACAACGAGACCCACTCAAAAGAGGCAAGAATATTCTGATCCGACCATTATTTTAATGGAGAGGTGCGATTGGATCCAAGTCTGGGGTAACTCTGTGTGATTAAGAATCATCTTCAGGATTGGAGCGCCCCCCGCGCAAGGCCTATATAGCCAGACCCAATTAGAAGGAAGATGTTTCTTCTATTAGGTGCAAGTCCCGGATCAGGATGAGAATTTCAATCCCAACTCCGCAAAAAGCACAACCAGTTTGAAGGATTCAGGTGGTCCCGCCATGCCAGGTTGAAGGTCATCGATACGAAATTATCACCAAATCAGAATTATTGTGCCTTTCAAATACTGGCGTTACACAGGGTGCTACACGCCTTCAAATTGCTTCTCAGACTACTAGTCTACAACTGAATCCACTCACCCGTGTAGGATGTGGCGGTTGAGGATTCACAACGTTGAGAACTTGTGAGTTCCTCTTATGTCCAGTAAGTCTCTTAAGTCCATTTGTGCGGGCTTTATCAACGTGCCTATCAGAACGAAAGAAAAGAGACAGAAAAATAGAAGCGAAGGCTATGCATTGTCAAAGCGCTTCAAATCTTCAAATTACATGGCCAACTTGCTGTAGGAGCTGATTATCTTACGGCTACACAAGCTCGAGCCTCAAGTTGCCCTTAACTGACGTTGATATATTGACTTTACGTACGTCCTGTATCTGTACGTGTCTGAGGCAGTAGCCATTGATTTCCGCCAAAAGCCACTACAGCTTATACGTCATTGACAGGGCACACCGTGGGTTGTAATCAACCCGTATTTGCTCCTTGGGAGTGGAACTCAGTGCCCGAGTTCGAGGCATTGAGCTTTCCGACACACTCTGCAAACGAGAGATCTTTCTCATCCTGGGTCCGAAGTTGTGTGCATACATAGTACAGTTCATTTACACATATATGTTGTCGTGCTCCCTGGGGCTATTATTGGCTTATCACGCCGGACTATTGGGGAAACTTCAAGCACATCGACAGCTCGGTAACCTTCCCTCCTCGCAGGGCTGAGACCAGCGTCAATCATCTCCACATTGTCTCCACATCAATCCATTATCTCGTACATACGTAACAAACTTCAAAATTAATTCACAAAAGAATACAAGTACAAGGACGGACGAACAAGATTACAGTCAATATTTGGTGTTAATGGTGTTAGTACGATAAACATAAACCTCCGGCAACTTGGTTGAAACCAGTCCTCTCTCTTCCCGTGCGTCGCGCCCACACCTCGCTTCTACCCCACCTGTGGCGGTAATGCCTCCTTCGATCACATCGGATGTAGCGTCTAGCAAAGGGGAAATAACAGGTGTCAGCGGAAGATCAGAGGAAAAATAGATTGAGTTCAAAGCTTTGTAAGATGGAATGGGAAATGGAACGAGTAAGGGCCTTGACGAGTTTTGCCAACATCACCGGTGCCGGGATGAGGTTATCTCGAGAGGAACGGCCAGAAAAAGCGCAAGGTTTGACGAGCGCCAGTGATAAACAGGGTTATATGAGAAGCATGTCACGGTCTACTGCACAGGACACATGAAAGAAGAAATCTATGAAAAGAAAGACGCGCAACATGGCGCAAAGTGATAAGAAGGGAAAGAGGCTGTATAAAGGGAACAGCACACATGGTGATGAGAAAGGTGACGCGCGGGATGCAAATGAGTGTGAAAATGTACAGCATGGAGATGAGTATGAGAACGATCCGGTACAGCATTAGACCTCAGCAGAAATAAAAAAAATGCAAAACAAAACAGAAAGCGAGAGAGCGAGATGACGAGAAAGAGATAAGAAGAACCAATGGAATAAAACAACAACAAAGCGAATTGAAAAATTAAAGTTCCAAGAAAGACACATACTCATGATCCTCTAATACAACTGGAAGAGAGCCGATGCTCCGCGTATTTTCAGATGACGAGCTAGATGATGACTGATAAGAAAAATAACGTGCATTCCGTCGCGATGATGGGGTGTCAACGAGATATGAGCGCCTCCGCATGTGAGAGTAAGGAACTGGGGATGAGGGCGGGGAAGAAGGAAAATTGGGGGAGGTGCGGAGACGCTCAAGCAGGAGTCACTCTTCCCGGGACCCAGGATCCCCAGAGCCGGGGTTGGATGGGTGGGATACCTTGCTCCAGAGAGCGGCGATTCCATGTTTCTCTTTGGTATCGCGGGAAGGAGCCCGTCCACTTGGGTCGCGCGACGCGGAGCGGGAGCGTATGTTTCCAACCCCGCCGCGTCCAGAGGATTCGAATTCGCCGTGACGATGGACTACACGCTCAATATCAGGTGAATGGACATTTGTAAGGTTTGCAGCTCCGCCTCTGCCAGTCGAGTGTCTGATAGGGGGATCACAAGTGTGTAAGTTAAAGACCGCAAGCGAATGCAGCACGCATACCTCGCTTGAGTATGAGCATGCTTCTTTCTTTCTTCTTCGTCCGTAGTGTCAACGCTGGCGGCAGCTCCATATTGAATGTTCCCTGCTCCACCTCGTCCCGTAGAATGAACTGTTGGACCACGAGAACGAGAGCGGGAACCTGATATGTTGCCAATGCCACCCCTTCCAGATGAATGCTAAGATATATTGGGCTTGCATCAATGTTACGTGACATGGAATGAGACGGACATACAATCGGGTTGGATTCAGCGTGGTGCTTCTTGACTTGCTGTTCATATTCTGCCTGGACCGCAGCGTGCTCGTTGAGGATAGTCACAGTTTGAGGGTGGTCTGCTCCCACTTCCTGAGAAGGGGAACGCATGTTACCAGCTCCACCCCTGCCCACCGAGAACAACTGCCAAGAGCCATGTGAGTAGGTGTCATAGAGGGTGATGTGTACGGCATACCCTGTCAGGGTGTACAGCTTGCTCCCGCCCACGAGCCGAATCAGAATCACTAGAACTATCGACGGGACGAGGATCGCTTGAGATGGAGGAACGCCGAATGTTGCCTATACCACCTCTACCCGAAGATTGCTAACGCACGCAATCGTTAGTAGACGTCTCTGGCAAATATGACTGCACTTACAAATGATTCACGTCCCCGAGACACAGACCTGCTCTCGTTGGTAATCGAATCTGCCATGAGCACGTATTAGCTTCTGCAGCGAGAAAACGATAGTGATGGTGATGGTGATAGAAAGACGAAAGGGAGTGGAGTAAAGCTGGACAGAAAGATGTCCGTAAAAGGGACGGCAGGGGCAATTGCCAGCCTAAAGCTACAGCTGTGCACGAGGTCGGATCCTGCACGAATGCCTGTGATGACGCTCAAAGTTAACAGTGACAGCCGGAAGACAGCTCTTGCCCCTGGGAGATAAGAAGAGAAACCTAAAGGGACAGACAGCCGAGGCCCGAGAACTGAAGAGAATGCGGGGCCGTGTGATATCAGCCCTTATCTCAGAGTTATCTAAATTATCTCTCTTGCGGCTGCCAGGCGCTTATCTTTCTTCCGACCTGCACAATGCAACAAAACGACAAAAACATAAAACTCACTTGTTTCGTTCACCAACGTTGCCCCGTCATCGCTGTCAAGCGTAGGCACCCGACTCAGCCTCGTCCCAGGCACAGACATATGTTCTCCAGAATCTCCAGACATGTTGTTTAGCGTTCTGTTCATCTAATCTGCCACCGATCGACAGCTTATTGACAGACTTTGGGGGTTGTGTCGAATTGTGTTGTCAGGAGAGGATGAAGTCGGAGTCGATGGCGACTGATGGCGTTATATGGATGGCCTCCGGATCCAACTAGTGAGTCACTGTGACATCAACGGTCGGATCTCTGTCCAACTGCAAAATGGAGCTGGCTCTGGACTGGACCTTGCGTGCATTATTCCTCCAAACAAGTGAGTACCGCATGCCCTTCCGTACATATGTCAATAATCTTTTATTTGTCGACCGACACTGGCACTGGCAGCCGACACCCGTAGGAACAGCAAGGGACTCCTGCCAGGCTGCCAAGACCTAGCATGTCAGACATGCCACCGCCAAGGCACCGCATGAAAAATGTACGTAAGTACTTCACGGCATCCCGGCAGGCTGCACCACTCGAACCGACTCGTCTGAGATCCGTCGTCTCTTCAACCTCCTCTTCACTTTATACCCCGCTCCTCAATTCGCCAGTGCGAAGGAAAATAAACTGATATCAGATTCGAATGTAACCCACCATCAAACACATACAATTTTCCATTGTGAGTCGACCGCCTGTCGCTCGACAACTTCAAAACCAGGTCAGCAACTTTGATGCGAAATCCATGGGACGCGGGTGGCCCTTCCGCGTAACTGCAGGTTGTACTGAAGTCCCGACCTCAAAACTCTCACCGGTGTGTGTCTCACCTATAATTACAACCATTTCGGAAAATAATGCCCGACCCGTACAGAGTGGAATGCCGACTTAGCATCCACATCAAACGGAGTATGCCCTGGCATTGCCTCATGCTGGATGAAAAATCGTAACCACAAAGTTGCTTAATTTAACCATCTTGTCGAGAAGAATTATACAATATTTTTAGCGGGTCAGGTTCGCGAGAGTGTTACACCCCATGGTTGTACGATCGACTTTAATCGCTACGTGCCGACGTCTTCGAGAAGGCGTCAAACGACCAATCATGATTCTTATTGGCACTTTGGGGCACCGTCCGAGCTAAGGCAACCATATGATACATCCTCCCATTCTACGTGATCTCGAGAGTCTCGACCATCATCTCCGTGAACGCTTCTGCTCGATGTTTTTTTTTTCCGTGGATCTCCGAATGGCTTACGATCTCTGGCAATCCATCACGATATTCTCATATTCACCCCGACGCTATTTCTCAGGCCTTCGAATCGAAGGACGGCGTCAGTCTCATGACCATGCTGGCTGCATTGCAAATGCCATAGGATGCACCACGTCGACCCTGCACAAGCTTCACAGGTCTCAGCGAGTCCGCCGTCGTCGGCGCTAGAGCCTAGAGGCCGTCCTTCTCGAAATTTCATAATCGCATGCCAAACAAATTTGTTAGGGACGCATGTAGTTCCCGCCAATCGTTGTCGAACACAGATCAAAATTTTCAGATGGCCCCCCAGCATTAATCAACCCTCATGATAGAAGCACAAAATCAAGGCACGTGCACGTATGCGTTTCACCGCCTTACGTTCCGCGATCTCAGACTCGACCAAGGCATCAAGAGGTGCGGTAATACTACGGAACTATTTACAAACAAATTGTGGCTGAGCTCTCGTCCGAATCGTATAAAATATGGGCTCTGAAAGACAACTTTTTTTCATTCCTCTATCGCTCTTCAAACAACTTTGACTCTCCTCTAGCACCTCTTGACCAACCTCATTAATCTTCTTTATTCTCAAAAATGTTTGCTCGCATCTTCGCTCTTGCTTCCCTCGTCGCCTTCGCTCTTGCCGATCAGTGCGACACCGGCAACATCCAGTGCTGCGGGAGTTCCACTTCCGTATGTGAATGTATCTTTTGTAGTGCAGCGAGATGACTGACGAATGGCGCGCTACGTAGGTCCAGAACTACAACTCTGCGGCCGAGATTCTGGGTCTCATCCCCATTGTTGCTGAGGTTGCCGGCGACGTCGGCCTCAACTGCAGCCCTATCAGCGTTGTGGGTACCGGTGCTGGCTGCGAGGCTAACCAGGAGCCTCTGTGCTGCAGCAACAACCAATACGTTAGTGCTTTCACGGCGGTCCATGTAGCTCCCTCCTGATAATTGTGCTTTAGAACGGCCTTGTTAACATTGGCTGCACGCCCATCAACCTCAACCTCTAGATACCCAGCAAACCCCTTGGTGGACAAATGATTAATGTGTGGTTGGAGGGTCGCTCATTTAAAATTGATACATTTTGTTGTCGAAGATCGTACTGCATCATAATCACACGCTCTCTGCTTGATTTCCTTTTGCGTTCTTTGATCGACTAGACCAGTAAGACAAACCCTCAGAAGCCTTCAGGCCGCAAGACGACGATAATGTGATAGATTGTGATCTCGACGATGAAATTTAGAATTTGTGCGTGGGCTAAATGGAGATATCCTTGACGATCTGATTCTGATCACGGTTTATGAGAAGTTGAGAACGCGTTTTGCATTCTTATGCGTTGTCAACTTGTCACGGTTGTAATCACACGCTGAAGCTCGAAGACGTACAGGTCTACATAATTTATTCCGACGGTACTTTGTCTGTCCTCCGAATCGGCCATCTGGTTTCTCGGGGTTTTTGACGGCGTTTGAGGAGGACCCGTCAATCATGTATTGCAAACCATCATACTGCTCATTCCTGAAGACGGTTGTTTAAGCTTGAGCTCGGGTCTCCTGTTACACCAGTACTTTATGAACGTACCAAGCTGACAAGGGCACTCGCTGCGGCAAATTATGCTATCTGACTGGCAAGTGGTTCAGTGAATTTTTTTTTTTCCTACCGTTACCTTGATCCCTCGGAGTCTCGAACTCAAAAGTGATTTGCCGTCTGGTCGGCCTTAGCGCAGCTTAGTCAGCAGGTAAAGTTTCCGCATGACAATTGTCAGTTGCTCGACTTCTGATTCCACCCATGACCAGCCTTCTCGTTGTGTCTCTTGGCATCGAGGCATTCTATCCAACATCAGAATTCGATATATATACCTCTAGCTAGCGGAGTCTGCGGAGTCGCGACAACTTTGTGGTACCCAGACACTGGCATCAAGTGATATACCGCAGGGTCGTTGTGCCCATTGCAGAGGGCCAGAGGCGGCCTGATTTTTTTCAAATAGAGGACAAGTGTATTACGGGTGCTTGGCGCGAAGAACCACGGCTGTGACGGACCGCGCGGCCGTGTGCTTCCCGAATTGTTCTCATTCTTGAAGGCAACGGACGTTCGTGTGAGTGAATATCGCTAGAATTGTATGTATTTGCTTCAATTGTGAGGCTGTCCATCATTACCCGCAGCAAGCTCTTGCTTCTGTTTCAAAATTCAAACGGCCTGGAACTTCTCTTTTCTTCACTAGCTGTAGGCAATGAGACCATCAACCGCACTGTATGCGCTCCTGCCAGTGTCTGTTCTCTTTGCATCCGCTGCTACGGTTCTCGACCAGCCGCCTCAGGATGTACTCAACAGGCCCACAGCCGATATTCTGGCTGACCGTGATGCCATCATAGAGAAGCTGCTTGCTACCTATGGGGACGATCCTGTACATGTTATGCGTCTTCTGGATCCCGAGAACGCGTCAGAACTCGATGCGCCACGATTGTTGCAGGTCTTTGGGGCCGAGGCAGTATGGATGACCGAAGGCGACAAACTGCGCCTTCGACAGCAGGGCCTCGGGTTCATGGATCTCACCAATCACCAGGATTTACACGCATGTTCTGGGTCTGTTGAGTCGAGTCCGTCTACCTCGTACTTCCCTGATTTATGATAAGCTAAGTGTCGAATAGCATGGCCTAAATTACAATATCAAGAGAAGGTGAAATCAGTCACAAAGCTTTTGAGCAAGGACGAGATGAAGAACAACTTGGGGAATTTAACCTCGTTCCACAATCGGTATTATCGCTCGGAGTTCGGTGTCCAGAGTTCACGCTGGTTATACAATCAGATTCTGGACGTGAGTGTCATCGCATTGAACTTTTCAAACTTATGTATCCAATATTCTCGTGCAGATTGTCTCTGCTGCCCCTCCCGGTGTCCGTCTGTCAGTCGAGACATTTACTCACACGTTCCCCCAACCTAGCGTCATTGCCCGCTTTGAGCCGTTCTTTGGACGCTCTTCTCCCAATCCAACGATAGCCCTTCCGCGCATCATCGTTGGCGCTCACCAGGACTCTGCAAATTACCGCTTCCCCTTCCTCCCTGCGCCTGGAGCAGACGATGATGGCTCAGGAACAGTCACGATCCTCGAGGCGTTCAGAGCCCTCGTCCAATCCGGGTTCGCGCCAGAACGCCCAGTCGAGTTCCACTGGTATGCCGGGGAAGAAGGTGGCTTACTAGGAAGTCAGGAGGTCGTGTCGGAGTATAAGCAATTAAAGAAGGAAGTGGGCGCTATGATCCAGTTTGTGAGCATGCCAGTAATCCATCCATTGTGAGCTGAGAATCAACTGACTACTAGGACATGACTGCATATGTACCAAAAGGAGAAGTTCCCATTGTGACCTTTATCACGACGGACGTTGATTCGAATCTAACGAAGTGGGCGATGACCCTTGCAGAAGAGTACAGTACGTCTGTTGTGGGCGGGGCGAAACTCTTGTAAGTGGGGTACCACAGTTCTCGCGGTGTTCCTTGCTGAGCTTATTGCGTAAAGTGCCGGTGCAGGCTCAGACCATATGTCATGGCACCGAGCAGGATACCCTGCCATAGTTGCAACAGAGGGTGATCCGTTCAGGACGTTCAACCCGTACATCCACACGACGGGAGACAGGATGGACCTTGCCGATGGAGAGTTTTCATTTGAGGTGCGATTTCTTTTTCCCTGATGTACATTACGTCGTGAATCATTGACGATGTAAACAACCAGCATGCTCTCGAATTCGCGAAGGTTGCTGTCGGATTCGTGGTCGAGCTCGGTGGATGAGTCGAATAGCTTCGTAAAGATGGAGTTATAGATACTAGCTTGGTCGTACGGACCAATGATATACTTAAAAGATACTCTCTATGATCAATCCCCTCACATTGCTACTTACAGCCATGATGCATGAAGGTCCTGTCGATCATTAGGCGAGCTAATGATCAATCGCGATTTGCAAGTTCAGGGCCAAGAAGTTGTAGGGTACTCATGAAGTCGGAAATGAGATCGCAGTTTCTGGTCCAATGCCATTTGTCAATTGGGACCATGGGACTTCGTGCATTTGCATATAAGCTTGGCTGCCTTAAGTCACTAACCATCATGGAGTCCGTTCGATTGGCGTGAAAGCTTGTCAGCCGTGAGGCCAGTACACTGGCACATATATAATGCGGCGATCGTCTCCGTTTCTTCTTCTTCTGTTGTTTGTTGTTTGTTGTTTCTGTACTCGATCATGACTTGGGAGATCGTAGAATACTGGTGTTTGCAATTACATAGTAGTGGTATTCACAATAAGATTTTAAACGTTCATGAAACGCACTGAAAGTGCGTTGAAACAAATTTTGAAAGAGCTATGAAACTTTTTCAGCGTGAATTTAAGCTCCGCTCGATTACCTTCAACTCGGTAAGTCCAAATCTAAGGTTAGGGTTAGACACAATGCCTCGACAATCTGCGCGTCAAGACCTCTTACATCAGCTCGACGCTGCTTCACTGGAGGTCGCGATAGCTCGGATAGAGCATGCTAGACGTGAGTTGGATCTCGACGATTCGAGTTCGGGCTCCAATAGTACGATACCGAGTCCGATGATCATGTCCCCAATCTCCCCTATCTCACCAGATATATCAGACTCTAGTAGTACATCAGACCATTCAACTGACAGTTCAGGTACCGACTTCTACAACGTCGATCTGCGCTATCTGCGCCTTTTGGGGGACATCGCGGCACTTCGTGATGAAGTAGAGAGAGCACGAGTCCTTCATCGCCCTGACGAGCCCCCCATGCGCGCACCACAAATTCAGCTCTTACCGCACTTTGCTGCCCATCGCCCGGATCTTTTTCGCCAGAAACTGCGCGTCCACCCCGACATTTTCGACGACATCCTCGACTGCATCAGCGATAACCCTATCTTCCACAATAATTCCAATAACCGTCAGCTCCCCATTGCCCTGCAACTCGCTATTTTCCTCAATCGCGCAGGTCACTACGGTAACGCAATTTCTAACGAGGACGTCTGCCAATGGGCGGGCGTTAGCGTCGGATCAGTCACCAACTGCACCAACCGCGTCATGATTGCTCTACTCGAGCATCATGACCGGTTCATCTTCTTCCCAAGTCTCAATTCTAACGATGCTGCTCGTGCCCGAGAGTACGTCTCGAAGATCTGCCCACAATGGCGCAATGGTATCTTCGCCACCGACGGCTCGATGATCAATCTCTGCAACAAGCCGGGGCTCTACGGCGAGACGTTTTTCAACCGAAAATCCGACTACTCCCTCAATTGTCAGGTAAGTTTTCTCATTTTTTTCTTGACACATTCAACTAACATACGTCTAGGTAGTGGCAATGCCGCACAACCTTCTTATCGTGGATTATTCAATCGGCCACGTCGGTAGCGCGCACGACGCATATGCCTTCCACTCTACACGTGTTTTTCAAGACCACGAGGCGCTTCTTGGAGACGACCACTGGATATGGGCCGACAGCGCTTACCCTTTGGAACCGTGGTGCATCGTGCCGTTCAAGAAGCCGCGCAATGGCGCACTCAGTAGGGTGCAGAAAAAATTCAACTATAATCTCTCTACGGTACGTATACTATTTTTTCCGTTGTATCTATGTACTGATTTTTGGGGTTAGGTCCGCGTTCGCATTGAGCATGTCTTTGCGGCTCTCAAAGGCCGTTTTCAATCCCTCCGCGAGCTTCGGCATCTCATACAAACTGAGAAACACCTCGAGTATACGTCTTACTGGATCATGTGTTGCTTGATCCTCCACAACATGGTCATCCGCTTCGAGGAAGAGCGCCACATATCTACCATTCAATGGGCCACAGGGGAGGACGGGTTTGAGGAGGAACGAGAGGAGGATGTTGGTGAGGATGGAGCCGGTGATATGTCGTATGATGGAACGCCTGGACAGGCATCTCGCAGTCGGTTGATGGACTACTTGCTCGAAACCCTCGAGAGGAGGCAGGGGTAGGCAATCACAAGGAACATAGTATAAGTCACATAGAACATGTAAGGCATACTGGGCATATGACAACGAGACTAGGGAATGCGCATGACTTGGAACATGAATACAACGAATGAACAAACACAACAGCTTCAACACGAACAAGCACAACAACAGAGGCGAGCAAGCAAACAGCAAATCAAGTTTCTTTCGACGCCGACCCTTCTTTGAGAGTGATCAACTCGATTTCGAGGCGAAGGGCCGCCGCCTTCTCTGACTGAACTTTGGCCTGGGCTTCAAGAAGACGAAGCTCGAGTGCCTTCGCCTCCTGTGACCGCTTGTGCACTGAAGCAGCTTCACTGCGCTCAATTACACCCTGCTCCCGTTGGAATTGTATATCGCGCTCATGGCGAAGCGCATTGACCTTGGCGATTTTATACTCGGAGGCAGATTCCTTCGCAGAGTATATGTAACTCATATCGTCGGTGAGAGACTCCACCTGGTCAAGCACATCGGACGTGCCCGATTGAACACGCCCTGAAAGGCTGCGCTTGTGCGCAGCCTTTTTCCGGCCGGGTCTCTGTGAGGTCTGTCGGTCTTGTGATACGCGGGATGACGAAGCAAATGTCTGCACGGATGAGCTGGGGGTATTCGCCGACGAGGACGCCATAGACGCTGGCTTTTTTGCACGAGGGGAGCCATGATCCATGGTACGAGCGACATGAGACTTGCCAGTGAAGGCTGCTTCACGAGAATCATACTGCGGGGTGCGATTTGTTGGCTTGAAGGTATTGGGTGGTGGTGAGGGGGATTTTTGATGTGGGCGTTTGTTACTTGGACGCTGCGTATTATCTTCTTCCTCGTTATCCACCTCCATCTCCAACTCCTCAGCGTCGCCACCCCAATTTCCGGGGTCGTGCTCTCCAAGTGCAGGGTCAAAGTCGTCGTCTGTAGGGTTATATGGAGGGTTGTGGCCCCCAATCGAGGTAGCAGGGGGGACACCTCCACCAAGTAGATTGTCGGTGTTCATATTGTCGAGGTCAGATTCCATATTGTCAAGGTCGGTGTTCATATTGTCGAGGTTAGGGTTGGTGTTGGAACAAGTTTGGGAGGCGGTAGGATAAGGGGTGTCATTGGATTCAAAATTGGGAGCCCTCTCTTTCCCCTTTGCTTGTGAGCGCACCATGGAATCATCTGCGGTGGCACTGGAATTTGCGGGATGAGAAGCAACCTGCTTGCGAGAGGTCTGTTTGCGTTTAGGCTGTGTTAGCGCATGGAGGGCACCAGCACGATCATTTCCAGGAACGGAGGAGAAGGTCTTTGGGGCAAAGGCAGGGTTGTCCTTCCACAGCGCGTCAAGGTCTTCGAACCATGGAAATTCAGATGATACTTGCGCTGCAATTTTTCTAGCTTGATAAGATCATTTAAATGATTTAAAAAAAACTTGCCTCGAAGATTAACTTTAGATAGAGGGTCAAGAGGGTTGATGCCAGCGCCAGTCATCCCAAAACGATCGGTTGCAGCCTTATACTTCCCCCTAAGACTAAGATTCATTAGTGAATACACGTGTAGGGAGAAAGATGGATGTACTATGCGAGACGATTGGCAACGGCTTGTCCGAACTTCGGCTGGTTCGCTTCTACAGCGTACCGGGTCCCATATGTTGGGTCGTCTTCAAATACGTGTCTGGCGATTACAAGGTAGATATCGGCTTTACTCTTGCCCGAAGGACGATCAGTGCCGATCACCGCGCTGCGATTTTTCTTGTTATCGGAGAAGAGTATCCGACAATCGGCTGGATGTGCAGCGAGCCAGGATACGAGGGGTGTAGTGCCATCAAAATCGGTGGTCTCCCACCTGATCTTGGCGGGGGCAAAGCTGGTGTCATCCCCAGGAGTTGTAGGCCAATCTTCAGGGCCTGTAGTGCTTTCGATGTCGAGATCGGTTGCAGATTGATGTTGGGGGGGATCTGGATGGTTGGTTCCTCCTCGTCCTCGTCCCCTCCCACGAGTCACAGTAGTACCCCTCACTCTCCCCCTAGCCCTAGCCCTCCCCCTGCCATGCGAGGATTCCAAAGGTTGTGGCGGTTGTGGCTGCTGTGGCTGCTGTGGCTGCTGTGGCTGCTGTGGCTGTGGTGGTGGTGGTGGTGGTAGTTCGCTCATGTTAAGACCAGCTGATATTTGGGAGAGTTGCTTGAGGCGTGCTGAACGCCTTACAGTGGGTGAACGTATTGGGGGCATCGTGCCCGTGCAGCATAAAGTTTTGATTTCAGACTCCGATACCTGCTGCCGGGGTTCCGAAAAGTTTGCATGTTTGTTGATGTTTCAGGGAAGTTCCAAGCAAGTTTCAGGGCCAGCTTTGAATCCCACTATTGAGTCAACAAACGTTTTATGTAATTGGAATTGTTCAACCACAACATGATTTATATGATGGGCCTCGACATCTGAGACTGCGATGCGGATGATCTATTCATTTTGCTTCCCCATGCGTCGAGGTATGATCCATGTCGGTGTGTTGAAAGAGGTCTTGGTATCCATATGAACCTGCGTTGTATAGGAACAACTCATACCGGCGTTGACGGACGTCGCTTCAGACTGTAATCCAGAGATGTGGACAACCAGGGCTCAATATTAATATTCAACTACGACTCGCTCTACGAGAGGAAAGGCGAGTCACGTCAGGCTCTGATGTCACCTCAATCGCGCTAAAGCACTTCTGGTCGAAAACGCTTACAGAGTGGCACTAGACACCTAGGAGGTACAATCCGAGATCTTACTTGTGATCGACGTACTGCTCAAATACATCGCACTGTGACAACGATAACCGCCTCATCTTGACGCTCGCTGACAGATTTGGGGCATGAAAAGGCGCCTGCAAATACAGCATGCACAGCCCACCATCTCTTCATCACTTCCACCATCTCTCCTCGCCCTCGACTATTCATTTTGCGCATTGTCGAAGTCTTCCTTGCTATCAACCCGTCTGTAAACCACGGCATCGTTTCGAAACTTTGTCAATCATTGTCATGCTCCGCGAAGAGGTCGAAACAAGCACATCAGCAAGACGGAGAGATGGAAAACGAGGAGTGATGTTGGACTCACCGGCAATTGGTGCACCTCTTCGGACGCGCACGAAAGACCCGCCACTCTATGGCGCACAGCACCGCCAAGATGCACTCTGGAAAGGTGAGCAATCGTTTTGTGATACTCACTGACTTGCTCAACGAGATGCAGGCGGGAATACAGCTCTACCTCCTCAATGGCAGCAGTTTCAGGTGTTGGATGATCCAACGCATTATCAAGATGACACACTCACAATGGTTTCCTCGAACCGACCTTTACCAGGAGTGCGTCTAGGTGAACGAAGAATGTGCCGCTAGGAGCGAGGAACTCATGGTTGAACATAGATTATCCTGGACAACTCGTTCCCGGATGCGAATGGCACATCTCACCCCTCGGTCGGTCCTACTTTGTCAATCACAATACTCAGACCACGTCATGGACGAAACCAAAGCCAGAACGTCTACCAGGGAGCTTGACGCCGGAGTGTGTCATCGAGGGTCACTCCAAACGCATATTGAGCCTTGCCTGCTTGGGTACCAATTGCAATATAATGAGCGCATCAGGTGATGGTTCAATTCGTCAGTGGACAAGAGACGGAGAGCTAGTAGGGCGGCCTTGGAACAGTGACGGAGGATCGGTACCGTCAATAGCGGTGCATCCAGATGAAACAATGGTCGTGAGTGGAAGTGAAGACGGCAGGCTACGGCTGTGGAACATCGGGAAGGGCAGCGCGGTCGGCGACCCGTGGGAGGGGCACAATGCTATAGTGAGGTGCCTCGACTGGTCTTCCGATGCGCTGGAGATAGCAAGTGGATCGGAAGACGGCACGATACGACGCTGGAATCCGAATACTGGCCGGCAAATCGCGACACCAATAGAAACCGGTCATGGCTGGGTGTTTGCTGTCAAATACTCTCCGCAATGCGACAAATTCACATGTGGCGGTCTTGACGCTAAAATCTGCGTGTGGTCGAAGAGCGGTGAGCTGCTTATAGAGATACAGGGACATGTCTTCTCCGTGATATCGTTGTGTTGGTCCAAGGACGGCGCACATATATTCTCCGGGTCAGGCGATGGGACCGTCCGAAAATGGCGGTCAATGGATGGAGAGGAGCTCGTCGTTCTTCGGGGTCATACCAACAGTGTCAGATCACTGTGTCTGTTACCTGATGAAAGCCATCTCGTCAGCACATCGCGTGACTACTCAGTTCGCATCTGGGACCTCGACACCAATCAGCAAGTCGGAGATCCACTCTTGCACGATGATGAACTGTTAGATGCTGCCATATCTCCCGATGGAAAATACATTGCCACTGCTGGATTGGACGCAAAGGTCTATCTATGGAGTGTAGAGGCAGCACTCAGACGGCAGAGTGGTGATCAAGTTGCCGTGCGTATGCGTATTGTTGTTAGTGTCTTTCTAACGGACATCGGGTCTCGTTCAGAGTGACGTAAAACGCAAGGCAAGTTATCTCTGCCTCTCTTCCACATTGGATCTCAGTTCTTTGTCAGGGACGCGCAGTTCCATCTAAAGACGTGCGCCAATCAATTGTGGACAAACTGGTCTTTCGCTTATTTATCTAGGCAGATGTTTGTCGCCCCTCGCATACCTAGACAGAAGGCCAAGAACGGCTTGGCTAGATATGTGGGTCCAATCATGTCTTTCTCCAGCTAAGCTTGCTCGCTTAACATTGATGCAGGGTGAAGATTTCTGGGGCAATGATACAAGTCCGTCAGCTCCGCTCGCGGGCCCAACAGCTCCCCTCCGTTGGCGTAGTTTTTTCAATTCCCTGCGCTTCAGCCCCCGGCCTGCAAATGTTCCACAATCAATACCGCTCGAGCCCCGGCGTTGGAATTTCAGCCTGTTTCCCGGAGGAAGGTCTATACGCACCGTCGATGTAGCACCCGGTCGCAAGAAAGATGTACGTGGCTTGGCATTGCTCCTTTTGATACCATTGAAATAAATGTTTGCAGAGAATTGCCATTGCCCCTCCTACCGCTGCAGAATTGGCCAAAGCAGAATTGGCTGCAGCTACTCAATATGCGAGTGGCACAGAGCTGGGCAGTTCACTGCAACAAAGTCAACCTGCAGTGGGGGCGCAAGAGTCTCAAGGACAACCAACACAAACACGTGTCCCGACTGACGAGTCGGGAGACAGAGACATTCCCTATATAGGAGTGAGCTGCTGTGGACTTGTCTTTGGACTTCGCCGTCCCCCTTCGAATCAGTCATGAGTTAAATTGCTGGAACTGTCAACTACATTCGTCGGTATTCCTTCTTATGAAGTTCTCACTCGAAATTTCGACCGTGTACTAGTCTATATCTATGCACGAACACATTTCAAACTACTGGCAGGTAGTTTAGCTTTGGTGGTGCAATTGAGCGGGTTTGTTCGCGCTTTTGACCATATATGAATCCTGCTCTGACTTTAAGGCTGCATAGAAAATATCACAGATGTACATGCTTGCTAAGGAATTCTTGACGTCATAAAAGTCAGTGGTCTCGGTCAGTTCCAATCCGACGGATCCTCTCATCACCCGTTTTATGACCTCCAAGTGGGACGTGCTACTCCCATGGATGCAATTTTTTGCACGTCATCTGTTGGCAGCGTAGAGAAACTCATCGATGGATGTTTTATTCAAACTTACTAGCATGTCTGATGTTCGGGTCTCCTGTTACACCAGTACTGTATGAACGTACCGAGCTGGCAAGGGCCTCGCTGTGGCAAATTATGCTACCTGACTGGCAAGTGGTTCGATAAACTTTTTTTTTTACCGTTACCTTGATCCCTCGGAGTCTCGAGCTCGAAAGTGATTTGCCGTCTCGTCTGGATCACGATGTCGGCCCTTAGCGAGCTTAGTCAGCAGGTAAAGTTTCCGCATGACAAATGTCAGTTGCTGGACTTCTGATTCCACCCATGACCAGCCTGCTCGCTGTGTCTCTTGGCATCGAGGTATTCTATCCGACATCGTGCTTTGAGAATTTGATATGTATACCTCTAGCTAGCGAAGTCTGCGGAGTCGCGACGACTTTGTGGTACCCAGATACTGACATCAAGTCACGACACACCACAGGGTCGTTGTGCCCACTGCCCATTGCAGAGTCGGCCTGATTTTTTCAAATAGAGGACAAGTGTATTCCGGGTGCTTGGCGCGATCCGGCAGCGCGAAGAACTACGGCTGTGACGGACCGTGCAGCCGCGTGCTTCCCAAATTGTTCTCATACTTGAAGGCAACGGACGTTCGTGTGAGTGAATATTGCTAGAATTGTATGTATTTGCTTCAATTGTGAGGCTGTCCATCATTACCCGCAGCAAGCTCTTGCTTCTGTTTCAAAATTCAAACGGCCTGGAACTTCTCTTCTCTTCACTAGCTGTAGGAAATGAGACCATCAACCGCACTGTATGCGCTCCTGTCTGTTCTCTTTGCATCCGCTGCCACGGTTCTCGACCAGCCGCTTCAGGATGTACTCAACAGGCCCACAGTCGATATTCTGGCTGACCGTGATGCTATCATAGAGAAGCTGCTTGCTACGTATTGGGACGATCCGCTTCAGGATGTACTCAACAGGCCCACAGTCGATATTCTGGCTGACCGTGATGCTATCATAGAGAAGCTGCTTGCTACGTATTGGGACAATCCTGTACATGTTATGCGTCTTCTGGATCCCGAGAACGCGTCAGAACTCGATGCGCCACGATTGTTGCAAGTCTTTGGGGCCAAGGCAGTATGGATGACCGAAGGCGACAAACTGCGCCTTCGACAGCAGGGCCTCGGGTTCATCGACCTCACCAATCACCAGGATTTGCACGCATGTTCTGGGTCTGCTGAGTCAAGTCCGTCCACCTCGTACTTCCCTGATTTATGATAAGCTAAGTGTCGAATAGCATGGCCTAAATTACAATATCAAGAGAAGGTGAAGTCAGTCACAAAGCTTTTGAGCAAGGACGAGATGAAGAACAACTTGGGGAACTTAACCTCGTTCCACAATCGGTATTATCGCTCGGAGTTCGGTGTCCAGAGTTCACGCTGGTTATACAATCAGATTCTGGACGTGAGTGTCATCGCATTGAACTTTTCAAACTCATGTGTCCAATCTTCTCGTGCAGATTGTCTCTGCTGCCCCTCCCGGTGTCCGTCTGTCAGTCGAGACATTCACTCACACGTTCCCCCAACCTAGCGTCATTGCCCGCTTTGAGCCGTTCTTTGGACGTTCTTCTCACAATTCGATGATAGCCCTTCCGCGCATCATCGTTGGCGCTCACCAAGACTCTGCAAATTACCGCTTCCCTTTGCTCCCTGCGCCTGGAGCAGACGATGATGGCTCAGGAACAGTCACGATCCTCGAGGCGTTCAGAGCCCTTGTCCAATCCGGGTTCGCGCCAGAACGCCCAGTCGAGTTCCACTGGTATGCCGGGGAAGAAGGTGGCTTACTAGGAAGTCAGGAGGTCGTATCGGAGTATAAGCAATTAAAGAAGGAAGTGGGCGCTATGATCCAGTTTGTGAGCATGCCAGTAATCCATCCATTGTGAGCTGAGAATCAACTGACTACTAGGACATGACTGCATATGTACCAAAAGGAGAAGTTCCCATTGTGACCTTTATCACGACGGACGTTGATTCGAATCTAACGAACTGGGCGATGACCCTTGCAGAAGAGTACAGTACGTCTGTTGTGGGCGGGGCGAAACTCTTGTGAGTGGGGTACCACAGTTCTCGCGGTGTTCCTTGCTGAGCTTATTGCGTAAAGTGCCGGTGCAGGCTCAGATCATATGTCATGGCACCGAGCAGGATACCCTGCCATATTTGCAGCAGAGGGTGATCCGTTCAGGACATTCAACCCGTACATCCACACGTCGGGAGACAGGATGGACCTTGCCGATGGAGAGTTTTCATTTGAGGTGCGATGTTTTTTTACCTGATGCACATTACGTCGCGAATCATTGACGATGTAATACAACCAGCATGCTCTCGAATTCGCGAAGGTTGCTGTCGGGTTCGTGGTCGAGCTCGGTGGATGGGTCGAATAGCTTCGTAAAGATGGAGTTATAGATACTAACTTGGTCGTACGGACCAATGATGTACTCCAACTTACAGATATTCTCAGTTTGTGATCAATCTCCTCACATTGCTACTTACAGCCATGATGCATGAAGGTCCTGTCGATCATTAGGCGAGCCAATGGATCAATCTTGATTTGCAAGTACATGTGGTTCAATGCCATTTCTCAATTGAAACCATGGGACTTCCCGCCTTTGCATATACAATGGGAGCTTGGCTGCCTTGAGTCACTGACCATCATGCCATCATGCCATGAGTCCGTTCGATTGGCATGTACGTCAGCGGTGAGGCCAGTACACTGCCATATATAATGAGGCGATCGTCTCTGTTTCTTCTTCTTCTGTTGTTCATTGTTTCTGTACTCGATCATGACTTGGAAGATCGTAGAATACTGGTGTTTGCAATTGATAGAGTCCCTAAAGTGTTTCCAATGTTGAGTCAACAAACGTTTTGACTCGGAGTTCAGCAGATTCTTGACCACATTATTGCTTGCTAAGGAATTCTTGACGTCATAAAAGTCAGTGGTCAGTTCCAATCCGACGGATCCTCTCATCACCTGTTTTCTGACCTCCGAGTGGGACGTGCTACTCCCATGGATGCAGTTTTTTGCACATCATATGTTGGCAGCGTAGAGAAACTCATCAATGGATGTTTCATTCAAACTTACTGGCACGTCTGATGGTTGTGGGTGGCAGAATGGCGTGGGACTCGGAACAACTTGTGGCGTTTCCCAGGGTGGCAGGTTTGTGGACACTGGACAAGTTCTCCTTGAGTTCAGTCCGCCATTTGATCAAATAGAAGGAAGTGTCTTCGATAGTATTATGATTGTGGACTAATGTTTTGATATCTCAGACACTCAACTGGAGTCCACAAGCAGATTCTGCAACCGAATGGTTTCAAACCCATTGTGCATAAGCGCCTTTGAACCATTGATGCGCCGTGGACTGTAAGCACTATTAGTAGACCTGCAACTTTCATACGTTGGTACGTTACTGTCCGCAATTCTGACCGCTGACGCTTGATGTTGGTGGTCAACTGTAGCATAGTACCACCGTTACGAAGCAAGGGAAAATGTTAACGTGCTCCCAAGGAATGTGATTGCTGGCCACACTTCTTTGAAGCAACTTGACATTTTTTCACTGGCTACCACTGATCGATTTATTGGCCAATGGTGTGTATCAACCCTTCAAAATTGGTCGTCCACATCGTTGAACTGAACCGGAAAAGGACAATAGATATTCTCTCCACTACCTCTTCGCGGAGTCCGAAACACCGCACCGACGGACACAAGTAGCATGACTTGTGGACGTTTCCGCTTTCGGAACATCCACAACTGAAGGCGGTTAAAAGTCACATTTCCTTACGAGCGCGATATTTCAAGACCCAACACAACGTTTCAAACTCTTAGTCCACACCCTACCTTCCTCAAGAAATATGTTCTCTAAGCCTTATCGTCATATCCCCTTCTTCCCGGAAACACCTGCTGGATTCAGGATGTTGAACTCTACGAAAAAGTCTTACCTTCGTCCCTTCATTTTTTCGCGCAGTCCTTTACCGCACGTTGGCTCCCCTTTGAGCAGCCCCGCTCGGGAGCCAAAGGCACCCGCATTCTTTGATAACAACGCACCTCCCACACAGGGCCTTCCATACATCTTCGAACCCACCAACACCGCCCGTGTTGGTCGTACACCCAAGACTGCTCCTATGCCAAAGGTCTTCAAGAAGAGTGCCCCCACCAAGACTTCCCCCAGTCAGGTGATCCACACTCGCCGCAAACACGGTCACAAACGCTTTACCTACCATCTCAGCCTCACTCGTCCTGGCCTCCGTCGCAAAGGCCCCCGTTTCCATAACCCCGCCAAGCTCAAGCGCGTCAAAGCAGCGGTGGCTCTCGTCAATCTTGAAGACGTCGCCCTCCAGACCATGCAAGCCGGTAGTATGACAGATGAAGATCGTATCTTCCTCAAGCAGCTTGAAGAGCTCCGCCTGGACCAGCGGCGCAAGCACACGTTTGGAGATGCTAGGGAGGCCGTCGCCCGTGCTGAAGCATTGTGCCCAAAACGCGAGTTGGAGCACGCAGAGCGCGACCGCCAAGCTGCCCTGCGATTGAAGGACAGACCACGCAGGCAAAAGGAAGAGGAGGAATTGCGCCGTTTGGAGGAGCTGCGCCGTTTAGAGGAGGAACGTCAGCGGCAGGAGGAGGAGAAGCGCAAACAAGAGGAAATCAGGCGCAGAGAGGAAGAATCCAGGCGTCGCGCAGAAGAACGGGCACGCCTTCATGAGCAGCGCGAGCGCGAGCAACAGGCCAAACGGGAGGCTTTCCGTAAAGCACAGGAGGAAGATGAACGCCGGGCCCGTGAGCAAGCAGAGCAGCGCCTTCGTGAAGAAGCTCTACGGCAGGAGAGGCAGCGCCAGGAAGACCTTCGCAACACAGCTGAAGCTGCGAATATCATCGCTTTTTTCCAGCTCTACGACGCCAAGTGGAATGAGCTCAAACAGAGCAAGACATTGACCTCGGTCATGCTCTGTGAGATGCCATGGCCCATCTGTAAGCACAGTTGCACATCCCCCGATGATATCTCCCGTCGTGGCCTGGAGGAATTCATCTTCCATCCCCTCCGCCCTGGGATGGAGATAAAGTCGCGCAAGGACCGCTTAAGAGCAGAGATACTTAGATTCCACCCCGACAAGTTTAACTCACACCTCATGCTCAAGTTGCGGGAGTGCGATAGGGAAAAGGCACTCGAAATCGCGGGAGCGGTGGCTAGAATGCTGACGGAAATGTTGGCTGAGGAGATTGAGAGGGAGAAGAGTCAATAGATTTCCCTGTAAATCAACCAGTAAAATTGTATAGCCATCAGCACCGACATATGATATTCGGAGAGTAAGGCTTGGTCGCACGTACTTCCGGGAATGTCTGTCCGTCAACGTGGTGCGAGTTCACTCAAGTCGATTCATGTCGATATGAAAGCTGGGGTCCATGGTTTTATGATACCGGCAGGGCTCAAGAATATTTACATTGAGATCAAAAGGAACTAAATTAGTGCTCTCTCCTCGCCGAATTACCAAATTATAGGATATCTCCCAGAGTATATAAATAATCCACATGTCCAGCAGATACAACTTCATGACTCCGGTCAAAAAAGCACAGCACCAACGTGCTGCAAGAAACCTTTCGGAGGGATCTCAGGACTTTCGGTTTCTTCATAGCTAGGGATCCCCTGTTTGATTACAAGTGAATCTGAGTCCCAGTTAAGCTGATGTGCCAAACGCGCACCGTAGTGAAGTCCATATCATCTAATTTCCAAATCTCCGTGCTTCGTGTAACCTTCCAGAAGAGAAAGAGCCCAAAGAATAACGGGATATTCAAGTCTGTGATAATTGGTCAGAAATTATCGGTAGAGACGGAAACGCCTACATGAGGTCAAGAAGCTTGAGGCATCAAAATCCCAAAACACGTTATACCCATTTATTAGGATAAATATTATACACCAAATAAGGCCCCAGACGGAGAGCCACGGCTACAAACCGGTATCAGTGATTATTTTAGATGTTTTGGTGATTCTGTCTGACCTGTAGAGGATTCCAGTAATGCAGTTTCCTTCGGTCGATGCCTTGGTAACGTAGTCCGCGATCTGCACAATCCGTTAGTGATGATCCATAAATCCGTCCGGTACTCACTGAAGAAAATGTAAGTTATATTAATCGAAAGCCAGCCGAAAAAACCACCCATTACACAGAGATGCTGGAACCAGCTGACGAACGATATGAGCCACATTATGAACAAAAGACAAACTATGGAATTCACTTGAACACAGTCTCTGCGCCTGATGATACATTCATTAGAGACAAAAAGGCGAAGGCACTCTGTTGTAGACCCCACATCAGCGTCCGTAATACTTAGGACTAGACAAGCGCCCATTCTTACCGAGCATAGCACTGCCACAATAGGCACGCCCTTCTTCGTACAGATCGTGAGGAACTGGGGTGCTTGTTTACGAAGTGCCAAACCATAGAGGATACGCGAAGAGCAAAATAGGAACGAGTTCCCTGCGGAGAATGCGCTGGTTATGAAGCCTGCATTCACTACAGCTGGTAACACTAACATGGCAGGGGGAAATGAGACACAACTGTATGGAGAACCTCGAGCACACACCTCTTATTCCTGAGGTCTGCATCGCAATCACAAATGGCGACTTTGCAGAGAAACCAGATCCCATCAACAGGTCTGAGTTAGTTGAAGGTACAATGAGCCCTGCAACGAAAACGCCGAGAATCTGCTGAGCCGTAAGAGGCTATTCATCGTAAGATAACATGATGCTCAACGTAGAAAATAAGGATTCGGTAGAAAACTCTGCGAATAGCCTTGGAAATATTCCTCCGTGGGTTCTGCGTTTCAGAAGCTGCACTATCGGATTGTTAGTGAATATATGCTAGCCCAGAATGAGATAGGAAATACATGGCTACTATCTCCATTCCTTGGTAAGCGAACGCAGCTTGTGTGATGACACTCATTATTCCGAGGAAATGATCAAGTGCGGGATACCGAGGTTCAAGTCCAGGTCCAGCAAAGACACCCGGATTATTCCAGTACTTTGGATAATCAGCTCATCAGTCCGCCGTTAAATCAGCACGTACTTGAAAACCAAGTCGCTGGTGATTCGGTGCTCCCCCAAGGTCAATGACAAGGCCAACAATGATAAGACCAGTAATCATTATCACTGATAAATACGTTTAGTTCGATGTACATTGACAGAAGACTTCCTTACACTTTAAGATCGAAAAAGCAAATTCGGCTACTCATCCTTTAGCACGTTAATTAAAAAAGCATAATGGACCTACTTTCTCCGAAGTATCTAGAAAATGGGAATGAATACATATGGCATAACCTGCTTAGAAGACTCACACTACACCGAAAATGTTCGTGGCGCATATCAAGATACAGACAATTACAGTATAAACTGCGGCGTGATGTGACTAAGCGAGATTCCGACCTTTTGAACACAACAGGAACGTCAGATATAGTTCAGGAAACTCACATCCCACATGGAGATCAGTATTTGTGCTCCAGATATTTCCACAGGGACGAAGAACCTGAAAAATATTGATGTGAATCACTGACTGGTTGTGAAAAAAATATGCACATACGCATTAGTCTAATGAAAGGGAAATCACCATATAGGCACAATTTCGATGGAAACAGAATGAAAGCTCACGAAAAAATAATTCTAACAAGTGACGCTTGATTAGCCATGTTAAACACGCTAAGATTAAAGACGCACCCAACCAACCTAGATAATATATAAGGTCAGTCGGAGGTAGGACTATAGGCTATAATAGGTCACTCACTGCAAATCCCAATGCGGGATCTACCCAGCGGGAGGCTATGTGACAAGGTAGTAACTTCTCATCATTCCAGTCTCAAAAGGAGAAGTACAAACCGAAGTAGGGAAATGATCCTGATATCGGGGCGAGGGATGTCATCTCCCCGAGTGAACATAATGACCTTGCTGAGTTAAGCAGGCGGACAGAACCCGCACAAATCGCAGACTTACGAATACGCTACAGAACCAACAAGGGCAAATGCAATCAAGGCACCAAGTGGTCCAGCTGTTCGGATGGCTTCCCCTGTTCCAAGAAATAGTCCTGTACCCATAGTGCCAGCAATCTTGAAAAAAAGGTCAAAGAAGTTCGAATGCAAGACAATCGGAGACTTGCAGCTATCCTATTATGAGTTGCGAATGAGAGCCAACAGGATAAGTAGAAAAACTGGCACATCTGTCGGAGACTTACATCTGTATATGTCGTTGCTTGAGCCTTCGTCTCACAAGATCCATGGAAGCGACATCCAGTGGAAGATGACCGCTTGAATTGACTTGAAGTACTTCCACGTGAGTGGCATCATTTGAATGTCTGCGCTCTTGGAGCCCATAGGCTTCTCCCATTGCGACACTGTGAGATTAGGCAAGAAGGTTGGGGAAGGTAGTAGTGTGAAGGATGTTGACAAAAGACGGTAATGCGTCGTTGTACCCGTACTTAAGTTAGCGGACTACAGCAACTTGAAATCGCTCATCAAGCTCCGCATCAGATCTGGCCCAACTCAAGTCCGATAGAGCAATGGCTGATAGCACGGCTCGGGTAGGTAATGTCCGCCTAGGCGATACACAGGTTCAACGTTCCAGGACCAATTAGAGCTCGGCGCAAAGCTTATCATCTCGTAATCCTGAACTGCAATTGGACGCTCTTCAAGGGGGTGCGATGCTCTGTGCATTTGGTTATCCATCAGCGTGTCAATGTCAAATGCACGTTTACTTTAACTATTCTCGGAGCGTGAAGCTGAGAGTGTACGGAGTGGAAGATGTCCCCCTCGATGTGAAACTGTGGAGAGGGAGAGTTCTATGTATTCACGCAGCTGTGTCAGTAGTGCACGTGTGGGCAAAAGTTATCAACCGGAAAATTCCCAGAGTGCCGCGGCATTTGTGAGGCCTTGTGTGGCAGTAATTTAAACTCAGCTAAGCGATCAAGCGCTCATAACTTTTTCAGACACTGTTAGCCCTTACTTGTGCCTTATCACAGGTAGTACGCGCAGGTGCGCGAATAATACATGCACTCCATGGCGAGAAGACAGAAAACCATTTCCAAAGGCCAACAATTCAAATCCCTGCCAGACAACTACGAGAGCGGCGTACCAGAATCACTGCACCCTACGTTGATTACGGAGAGGGGCAGAGCAGCTCTTCAAGGCTGACTAGTTATCTGACGATAGAGAAAACCCGCTCGATGACTCTGCTGTCTGTACTCCAAAGCACATACAATGGTCGAAAGACGAAAGACTGCGTTCAACTCAACCAAGTTGTCGGTTTGCTGTGAGTGACAATCGTCCTTCGCAGTCCTTCCCATGTGTTTGGCCCAATCTATATCTGGAACATAGTCTAACATATATATGGTTCACAGATCCCGAGAGAGCTCACAATATGAGGTCCTTACACCAGGACAGAGGCTAAATTTGTAGATCGTACGTCTTCACTGAGTCACTGGTGGCTCTGGGCATGACCTATGTAGCATTGACAGCAGAACCCTAGCGACACGACAGCAGAAGATAGGTTTTTACTGACCTTCCACTATGCAATGGAGGAAAACGGCCATGTACATCCCGCCCACGACCGATAATATTTGGGATTTGAAAATCCCTGTTATGACTCACCTGTCGTCACGATCTTTCCTCTTGGATTTAGTTTTTTCTCTCGAAGAGAGCTTATAGTCCACTCATCTATGAGCCCTTTATCACCTGCTTTGCGTCCCTCGCAATTTCCTCTAGACCTACTGTCGGCTTCGTTATGACATCTCCTTGGACGTCACTAGATTCTTCCCCAGGCCAACGCGTTTTCTTTCGTCCACTTGGAACAACTGAATCATCATTCTATTGGGATAGCGTTTTTAACAGCACAGCAGACATCGTAGGCCACGTACACCTTCGCACCACGCAATCAAATGACTCAGACATCCATTCGCATCCGAATGTCATGCGTTCTTGGGCATCTGTCAAAAGACGCTTTCCCCTTCTTGCGGCCGAAGTGCAAGAATATGAATCTGGTTCACGCTTCATTCTGCGTGAAGAAGCGGTCGCAAATCTTCGGCCTGATGATGTCACATTCAAGGAGGTCAATTCGCTTCACCATGTTGAATGCTTCATAAACGATATCATGGATGGACAGCGGCTTCTTTCATCTCAGTTACTTGCTCGCATTTACATTCTGCGCCGAACAGACAGGCATGATCATTTCCACATCGTGATTATCGTCGCTCACTGCGTCACGGATGCCCCGTCCACTAGCACAGTTGTCAGGACGTTCTTAGACACGCTGTCATCTCGGATTGAACCACCGTACATTCCTCTGGGCGAAAGAGTGCATACGTATCAGCCCTTAGAGAGTCGTTTGAGTTATGGGGATCTTCCGCTTGTCAAACGACGATGGAGGCGGGCTTTAGGCCATGCAATCCTCACAGTGTGGATGTCCAAATTCAAGGTCGGCATTCCACTTTCTCAATCAGTGGCGTCGTAACAAAGCTGAAGTATTGGGGCAGGGTGGTCAAACGCTCCCTGGAAACTTCAGGCAATCCACATTTCGTACACCTGCGAAATCACGCAGCCATGTCTCTATTTTTTCTAGCAAAGTGTCTTCCATCATTCTCTCCAATTGCCGTCGCCATAACATCACCATGAACAATGCGTGCTATGCTCTGAGCCAAGTGGCTTTGGCACGCGTTCTATGCCGACGGTACCTCAGGGGCCAGATCTTGGAAGAAGAATGGGAATACAGGAAGCGCCAACCCATGCATTTCACGGGGGGGCTAAACTTGCGCCCGTACCAAGACATGGACTGGTTTCAGACGGGCGGCTCGGGCGATGTCGGTATCAACATCAGCTTCTTCTGGTATAACCTTCCGTTCATGCCCCTTGGTGAGATGTCTAAAGGGGATGCAAGCAAGCTGGAACTTGTCGATGGGGCACCGGACTTCCCGGCGCTCATGTCTTTCGACCGGTTTCTTCTTCGGTGCGCTAATGTGAAGGCACAAGCTCAGAAAGTCTTCAAGCACCCCCGGTTCGTTGACATTTGCACCGCTGGACACGATCGAGTTGCTTCAACGAGGGAAGTTGCTTTGAAGTGGCTAGAGATGAACGATGGCGGTCTCCCGGAGGATGACCATGAAGGTATAATGCCCGTTCAGTCTTTAAACCCCATTATCACACAAATAGGATCCACCTTGGGCAATGTCAGTGGCTCTCATAATCCATATTCAACCAGCTGAACATTTGCAGATGGAGACCGTGATACCACTGTACTATCCTCTGCCTCTCGACCAGGAGCTGTCACCACTGCGTAGTACGACCCATCCCCATCTGGCCGGTTATCCAGCATGGTCGCCCCCTACTGATGCCATCGAGGATGCCAAAATACCACGACTCCATATTGAGCACTGGCGCGCCCATATTCATGCGCATCCTGGGGAATTCTATCTTGCTGCAACATTTGCACACCAGCAGCTGCAATATTTTACTTCCTACGACCAGCACGTTTTCAGCGAGGAGACCGTACAGGAGTGGATGCGTGAGCTCAAGGATGCGACGCTGTGGTATCTGGGCCAGCCTCACGGCGATGAAATGCCCTTGCAGAGTAAACTATGATATATGTCGGTGCACTTCGCCCCCAACAACAGAGGGAAAGTGAGTCATCGTTGAATACGACTCCAATACACTACTGTTTACCTGTCAGCAGAATCCAGTCCCCCCCCCCTTCTCGGGCCACGCTGTCTAGCTCGTTGTAAAGTTTGTCCAGTCCAGGGAGCTCTATTCCACGTATCACCTCACTTGAGTTGTAGACCTTTATCTAGTGAGGATCCAGTATCCTTTACGCGCCGACCATGCTTCATGTCACGGTTTGCTGCAGATTCAGTCCGCAGTGATCAATTACTCTTCGCGTGCGTCACTGAGTCCTACCACGTTCGGACACGATTCATTATCTGATCAATCGTATTTATGACGATACTACTTAGCGCTGTGTGTGCCAGCGCGAATTCAACAGCGCACAATTGCGATCACCACCTACGTCTCTCGATCCCAGGTGATTGTTTTTTAAAGGTAGCTGCTAGTGAGACTTTTTTTTTCAAGAAACACGATTTTCACGCACGATGTCAGCCTTTTCATCAGAGTCAATGTACTGGGCAATGACACCCAAAGCCCTTGAAGCGGAATTAGCATACTACCTACGATCAGTCGAAGAGCACAGCGCACCGAACAGTCATTATACGAACTTCAATACTCTCAGGATCGTTCAGAAGACCTTCAAAGAGTTTGAAGAAGCTTTGCAGATGCTCCTGGAAACCCTCCACGATGCTTTCGAGGACAGTGAACAAAATGAAGATGGCGATTTCAATTACAAATACAATATACATAAGTAATATACATGATCCCTGTACAGTACCCCGGCGGGGATCACTTGCCAGAATCTTGTCTCATGTTACACACCACCGCAGGCTGATACGTGTCTGCGCTCCTGGAAAACAACTACATGCATGCCAATACGCTCATCAGAGCTGGCCATGAGCTGAGTGTGATATTCTCGAATGCTAAGGATGAGACGTGGTCCTAGCACAAACATCTGAATGGGCTGGACAATTTGAAGAACGCCGAAGTAAATATTATCTGCCATGGAAGTCGAGTACTATGAAAGGAGTTGTTAGATGCACTTGCAGTGACGATCAAGGATCAACGCACAATGATATTTGGAGTCAGCGAGCCGAAGCTGAAGCAAGAAACAGCAACAAAACTAGCAAACGTGGAATTTCAGTGAAACAAGATACATCCAAATTTATCACCAAGCTAACTCACGCTACAAAGTATAACACGTGACTTTTTGTTAACACCGTGACCCAGTGTCCAAGGGTCGATCCTGTCGAAGATTGTCGCAGTTCACGGAAGTGTTTGATAGCGATCCAGAGTGCAAGACACAAGGCGAGGGTCTCCCATACAAAAGTAGGTATTAAGGTCTCGTTATTGAGAGCCATCCTGCCTCTGTGAGAGAAGACAACACATTGATGGTTGCCGGAACGGATGAATTCATCTGGTAATGATTCGTATATGAGTATCATGTGCTTGAGGCTTTCATCAATAATCGAGACTTACTCCCTGTAGCACCAATGTTTGCTATTACTATCATAACTCCGGAGGCGATCGTGCAAGTCAGCAAGACTACACCGAGCAAGACGAATATCTTCCTGGATCGCTGATACATGGCAAGTATCCGAGCCATGATGATGACTTGCATCAAGTTTTAGTGATGTCAATAATAGCAAGGTACAACAACCGAGCAGCTCACCGCCCAGCATGGCATTGACGACGACAGGCGTCCATACCTGTACGAACCAGAGGATAGTGCCTGAAAACCCAATTACTGTTGTGCATTATTGAAATAAATGCTTCTAATGAACTCACAACTGTTGATATTGTTACCTTGAAGAGATAAACTGATCGAGAATATCACTCACTCCTATGCAGGAGTGCAGTGAGTAGTTGGAAGGACATGGCAGGCATCAGTGGAAAATACGCACTGCATCTGTCATCGAGACTGTCATGATGGTTGCTGAATTTCACTGGTCAGAAGAGACGAACACTGTGGAATTGATGATACGTACACAGCACGTTGGTGCTGATTGCGAAAGCCGGCTTATTAGCACAGTGCGGTGTCATGTTGCCTTCAAGTTGCAAACGTACATTAAAGATAGTAGCCCGATGTAGCGCACCTAGCATATTGTAAAGTCAGCACAACTTGTCAGCTGCGCTCACAAATTAACATGAACTACGTACACCAATATAAAGAACAGTCATGAGGGACCAGTGTTGCCTCTGTCCGGAATCATCTTTATAATATATCCCGTTTGCTTCTGATATAGGATTTTGCTCACCCAGACCAGTTCTACCTATAAAACGATTTTTAATGAGTCGGCTGAGCCGTTAATGTCACTGACATACCTCTTGTCCGAATCTCAGTACTGGAATACCGTATATGTAAATAAATGATTCCAGCACTGAATGGTATCTCACTCACCCCACTCGTACACCACAACAGTATATGATGCCACTGTGAAACCGCAATCAATGACAGTGAGATATCACCAGCATTATCATCATCTGGATTGACTTCACGAACCTACAAAATAGCTGAGAACACGATCCCAATGTATTAGAGCCCACCAAACGGGGTCATTTGAGATTACGGCCATATTTGGAAAATTGGATTGGAGAACTTGATGAATACAAAACGATGGAGTTCGTGGAGATATACCACGAACTAGCGCCTTCATTACCAAAATAGTAGAGAAAGCTGTAGTATCTGTTTATCAGGGCGTTGATTGATCACCGCAAACATTGTCAATTAATTGGAAAGGGGGCATGGATTTGGACGCGTACGTATCTCAGATTCACAGTATCTTTTGACATTGGATGGTCTGACATATCATTGCATGGCAGAAAGGGGGCTATAGGCTGTGCAAGAATCAGAATGACCCCAGAAATATCAGAAGATCAAGGGGCAGACTGCAAGGAACAACAAAGTCACTGTCAACTATGACGTCTTTGGGCAGTGAGCCTGCAAATAGATAGACAGATAGATACTGCTAAGTTACCTGAGCACCTACATCACCTTGATGAAATTCTGTCTGGCCGTCACTCCGGATCTGCCAAAGCAGTGTTCCCGTAGTTAGCTCTCGATCATCTTGGTGTCACAACGTCATACGGAGCTTCGGCATACAACTGCGCTGCTCAGCCTATAGAAGTGAGCTGGTGACCTCCGGTGTCGAGCGACAAAAAGACTTTCCTTGCCTGAATGGTGTGGGTTGAAATCCACTCCCTGAACGTGAGACCATAGGCGAGCAGAAGTAGAATGGGTATCATCACGACCAATCACCAGAACTGCCCGTCCTAAAGATTTTTGATACTGATGGGGTTTCCCTTTATATCATCCAATCATAATGTCGCGACGCACCAGAAGGATTTCTGTTGGTAAGGAAATTGCTCCTGATTCGTCAATTCGAAAGTCAACCCGAACCATGCGCACCAAATTGCCTCGTTCGTCGGATAACGCCTGATGTTTCAACGATAGAAATTGACAATTCCATAGAAAGTAGGGCGAAAGATACGTGGATCATATAACGTTACGCTAGCGAATCCAATAGCACTCTGTTTAAAAGGCCAACGATCAGAGGTGCGTGCAAGGGTATAAAGTCATAGCAAAATTCATATACGGTCGACTGTGCGAACAAACCCGCTCAATTGTACTACCAAGCTAAACCACCTGCCGGTGGTATGAAATGTGTTCGTGCATGCACATTGACTGGTATACATACGCGAGAACTTAATAAACAAAAGGACGGTGGTAAGTAGCTGACAGTTTCAGCAATTGAACTTATGAGTGATGCGAAGCGGGACGGCGAAAACCAAAGACAAGACCACAGCAGCTCACTCCTATATAGGGAATGTCTCCCACCTCGTCAGTCGGGACATGTGTTTGGGGTGGTCGTTCTTGAGACACTTGTGCCCCCGCTGCAGGTTGGCCTTGTTGCGGTGAACTGCCCGCTTCATTTCCACTCGCATGTTGAGTAGCTGCAGCCAATTCTGCTCTGGCCAATTCTGCAGCGGTGGGAGGAGAAATGGCAATTCTCTGCAAACATATTTATTTCAATGTATCAAAAGAAGCAATGGCGAGCCACTCACGTTTTTCTTGCGACCGGGAGCTACATCAACGGTGCGGATAGACCTTCCTACAGGAAACAGGCTAAAATTCCAACGCTGGGGCTCGAGCGGGATTGATTGTGGCATATTTGCAGGTCGAGTGTTAAAGCGCAGGGAATTGAAAAAACTACGCCAATGAGGGGGAGGCGATGAGTCCGCGAGCGGAGCCGAGGAAATTGTATCATTTCCCCAGAAATCTTCACCCTGTATTAATGTTAAGCTAGCAAGCCTAGCTAGAGAAAGACAAGATTAGACTTACATATCTTGCCAAGCCGTTGTTGGCCTTCTGTTTAGGTACGCGAGGGGTGACGGACATCTATCAATAAAAATGAGTGAAAGACCGAGTTGTGCACAACTGACTGACACACGTCTTTAGATGGAGCTGCGCGTCCCTGGTAAAGAACTGAGATCCGATGTGAAAGAGAGACATAGATAACTTGCCTTGAGTTTTGTGTCACTCTGAATGAGACCACCCTGCTGTGCGAGTGCTGCATCCAAGCTCCATACATAGATCCTTGCGTCCAATCCAGCACTGACAATGTATTTTCCATCGGGAGACACGGCAATAGTTAACAGTTCATCATCGTGCAAGAGTGGATCTCCGACTTGCTGATTGGTCTTGAGGTCCCAGATGCGAGCTGAGCAGTCTTGTGATGCGCTAACAAGATAGCTTTCATCAGGTAACAGACACAGGGATTTGACGATGTTAGTATGACCCCGAAGAACAACGAGCTCCTCCCCATCAATCAACCGCCATTTTCGGATTGTGCCATCGAATGACCCGGAGAATATATATGCGCCGTCCTTGGACCAACACAACGACGCCACATTGTAGTCATGTCCCTTTATCTCCATGAGCAGCTCGCCGCCATTTGACCACACGCGGATTATACTGTCCGTACCGCCGCTCGTGAATTTGTCGCATTGCGGAGAGTATTTGACAGCATACACCCAGCCATGACCAGCCTCTATTGGTGTCGCTATTTGCTGGCCAGTATTCGGATTCCAGCGTCGTATGGTGCCGTCTTGCGATCCACTTGCTATCTCCAGCGCATTAGGAGACCAGTCGAGGCACCTGACTGCAGCATTGTGCCCCTCCCACGGGTCGCTGACCGTCCTGCCCTTCCTGATGTTCCACAATCGTAGCCTGCCGTCTACGCTTCCACTCACGACCATTGTTTCATCTGGATGCACTGCTATTGACGGTACCGGTCCTCCGTCGCCGTTCCAAGGCCTCCCCACTAGCTCTCCGTCTCTTGTCCACTGACGAATTGAACCATCGTCCGACGCGCTCATTGTGTTGCAACTGGTACCCAAGCAGGCAAGGCTCCCTATGAGTTTGGAATGACCCTCGATAATACGCTCTGGCATCAAGCTCCCTGGTGAACGTTCTGGTTTTGGTTTCGTCCATGATGTGATCTGAGTATTGTGGTTGACGAAGTAGGACCGACCGAGTGGTGAAATGTGCCATTCGCATCCGGGAAAGAGTTGTCCACGATAATCTATGTTCAACCATGAGTTCCTCGCTCTCAATTATACATTCTTCGTTCACCTAGACGCACTCCTGGTGAAGGTCGGCTCCATGAACCCATTGCCAATGTGCCATCTTCATAGTGTGGTTCACCATCCATCACCTGAAACTGCCACCATTGAGGAGGTAGAGCTTCATTCCCGCCTGCTCCTTGTTGAGTAAGTCAGTAGCCATCACTAGTACGCGGTTGCTCACCCTCCCAAAGTGCATCCTGACGATGTTGTGCACCATATGGTGGCGGATCCTTTTCGCTCGTCCGAAGAGGCGCACCGAATGCCGGCGAGCCTAGAGGTACTTCTCGTTCTACCATTCTCTGTCTTTTTGGTGTGCTTGACCCGACCACTCTTCGGAGCATGACAATGATCGAAAAAGTATCTGGACGGCGCCGTGCTTTACAGACAGATGGACCGCAATGCGAACCCTGATGATGCGTCAAATCAATAGTTGAGGGCAAGGATAGATAGTGGGAGAGGTGAAGATCGTTGGCTGTGCATGCCGTATTTACAATTGAGGGCCTGTTTCAATCGGAACTTGATGGCAGTGTTTCGAATCTTTAGGCCGTTTGATACATCTTGGTGCGTGAGTTACGCCAGATTCGTCAGTGAGCGCCAAGATAAGGAGGCTGTCGTTGTTACATTGCGATGTATTTGATCATGAAGTACGCCAGTCACAAGCAAGACCTTGGATTGTGCTTCCCTACAAAGAGTTGCCGTCGAAGTAAAGCGACTTCGAAGTTCGAAATCGTGGGAGTTCCGAACGATTGACTTCGTTGTACAATCGTCGTACACTGGCAGTATCTAGGAATGTCATAGACGAGCTCATGCCAGCAGGGAGAAATGAAAATGAGCATTGAGGACCATTTGATTATTAATTATGTAATCTATTCTAAGCCGGCACAACTTTCAAGTTGCTAACACTTTCGATGAATGTTTATAGGCATGTGTTTTCGCGCGCGGTCGGTCCATAAATGCCCACAAGACGGAAGAGCAAAAATTATCGAGAATGTCAACAGACTAATGCATTGAGGCGGGACGACCACAAGTAAAGAACAATCCACAGCACCTAATTCCATAGGAAACTTCTCCCGTTCCACCACTTGAGCCGTGAGTTTTGAGGCTGTTATTCAAATGGCTAACATCTTCTAGCTGTGATGTATCGCTATGATATTATGGGACACGGCAAGCAAGAAGCGGGCTCACCTTTTCGTCTGACATGCAGCCATCCCAGTGCCTGTATCACTATGACATTATGGACACGGCAAGCAAGAAGCAGGCTTGCACTTCCATCTCCTCAGGCTGTGCAGACGGGCCCACCCGGGCCTAGGCCTATAGTTGCGCCTTCAGGGGTTACACAGCAAGTCGCGCAGGAGCAATCCTCGATGACCATAATAGTGCTATCTTCCGTACAGTAAAACGAAAACGCCCAGCCATTGTTATAACCTGCGACTACTTCGCACCCAAATGACTCTGCAAGCACCCATAAGTACACGGTCTGACGTCAAAACAGCTCAAGGTGATTACCTTTCTGGGCGCATGGCGTGCCGTTAGGGTCCGGCGCCGTGACCACGCCCGCCAGCACTGCAGCAGACATAAGTATAGTCGTGAATAAGGTGAACCTCATTGTTTCACTTCAGGATGGGATGATTGCACTGAAAGTCATCACTTCGCTTTATACATAGACAGTACTTATAAGGTCTCAGCCCAGAAATATGTATTTGCTGTGCGTTCCTAATGCGCCGTGGCACCACGATATCTCTTGACGCTCCATGTGATTTCGCTAGTGTCAAGCTAAACTTCACAGACACCATCAGTTTTCCCGACGATCTACGGGTATGTAAGTTTTTGGCAGTTCTTGAATCATTTCCTATATATGACGATATAATGCCATATAAGACAGTATCTCTTCTCGCTGGTTCTCTGATGCGCCCTTGCTGTCCAAATCACTGGGCAGACGCCACGAGTCCGTTGTTGACTGTAAATCTGCTGGGATGTGCTGTAGCTGCGTCGTTCCGCGTCAGAGCGTGGTAACCAGAATGTCCTACAGGGACAATGTGCTTTCTGGGAGTGGGTGAATAGCGTTGCTTGTTTGGGTTTGTCACCGTGACATTACGAGACGAAACTTGCAGTTGTTCGGCAAGATTCGAACCGAACTTGAACCGCTCGATGTTGTCGGGGCCAGTCTCATAGACAGTCAGGTCTCTTGCGACAACCCACTCGGGACCACAGATGCTCTCTCCAGTCTGGTCGAGCTCCGCGGCCATGTCAAGGTAGTGGATGGAATCGCCATCGAAGACGAACAAAAGGTTGATCTCCAGGTACGCGAAGTGAATATGGACGTAGACGAAATAGAGTCTGACGAGGGTTAGGACTTTTTTGCTGTGCACTGGGGCTTCGCGGAGGAGGATATTCCGGAGGTCAGCACGGGTTGGGAAAGGGCCCAGAATGGGGATGTCAGGTTTGAGTCCCTTTATGTCGTATTCAGAGTCTAATGGATGGGGGAGGCATGGGGAGGCTCTGCGATGCCTGGGAAAGTGAGTTACTTGATTTGGTAGAAACTCTTACCCATTGTTGACTCCCCCAATGCCTGGTACCGTTGAGCACTACCCATCTATCTTTACATTCCCTCATTGCTCTTCCACAGGACAAGCACGTCAGACTACTCAGCAGCCAACTGAGCAATGCTATACCACGATGTCTGTTGTACCGCCCCCCGTCATCAACATGGTAGTACTTCTCGGACTGTCCTTCCACATTAAACCGATAATTCTCAAAGACATCTCACTCAACGCCACAGTCGACGATACCCCCCAATGATGAGTTTGCGGTATCTGAAAATACATGTTATGACGATCATTCGAATACGATGAACCTCGAGTTACGGTTAGTCTACCACTGATTCCTCTTCATAATGATCATCTCACACCGTGATCAGCCATTCTGGTCGGACTGTTTTTCCTGGCTCGTCGAGCCACGTCGCCAACTTGTCCATCTACACCGCCAATCATACACAGTTTAACACTGCCATGATGGACAATACAGCACGTCCACAACTTCCAACAGCCAATACAATACATGACAACATGTATATTCCAATGATGCCTAACAACGCACCTGGGCCACAAAATGTCTACGAGCGTCCTCCGGCGGCCTACATGAACCAGTATTATGACATCCCTTCTCACAACCTCCCAAGCTCTCATGGTGCCCTGTACCACAACCCGGTAACAGGGAGATCATATTCCCCAGCAATGTATGCCCCTCGTCACCATCTACGACTAATTACTTTGCTTACAGCTACCCCCATATACAGGCATCTAAATGGCAATGGTACTTATTCACCTCAATACATCTCGCCCAGTATCTTGTATCCTTTTCTTTGCGTCTTGCCAATCTTTGTTGAGAGTGAGCATGAAGTTTGGGTTTGGTGCGGGTGCTCATTGAAGCCAGTAGGCTGGGAGAAGCTTTGCGTCGTCGTAGGGAGAAAGAGGGTTAGGTACTCTCGACCTCTAGCACTCTGGCGAAGAATCCAACATAATTTTCCTGTTCTTCCACTGCAGCATTCAAAGCGAATCGCAAACCATCTTCTCCTCTTCGCAAGCATTTCGAGGTTTCAATCTGTCACAATAATGTCATCTTCTAGTCCCGATAATACGGCGAGCTCACCATGCCATCACGCAGGGTTTATCCTCACAACACTACCACCGTCTACTCGTCCTAATCCCATCACTCGAACGTGTCAACCATCTTCTTATTCCAAGAATCTCGTTGATAATGAGTATCACGGCAAACCAGGGTGCCGTCAGGCCATTCGATGATTCTTGCCGGCGTCGGGCAAACAAAGTCGTTGTCCATTAAATCCGTCAATTGTACGCCCACTGGCAAGGACTGCTATATGCGTTTCAACAGTACTACTGAAGGTGGTTTACCAGCATCACATTCGACGTAGCCACTGTGATCTCCTACACTGTCAAATCCATGGCATGAGGTCCAGCGTATAATTAGCCTGCATCGCATGTATCACGCCCTGACAAATCCTTGTGTTATGACCATTGAACGCAGGCCGCGATTGAAATGAATATATGAGCAAGGCGCCTCCCTCGTAAGTAGTACTTAAGCATGTCACTGCAATCCTCACATCTTGACGCTCGCTGACGAATTTCGCGCAATGTACAGAAATACATCGAACTGCCTTGGAACTGCCCCTGTGACATTCAAAGCACTGCCATCGATATACGGTTGAAAAAGGCAGCTGCAACTACAGCATGCACAGCCGACCGTTTAGCAGGTCTCTTCATCACTTCCACCATCTCTCGTCGCTCTTGATTTTGCGCATTATCCACTGTACACTGTCCCCTCAGCACAGCCGCATTTCAAAACTTTCTTCATCACTGTGATGGCGCCCCCAAAGGCCCAGTTAAGCGGATCAGCAAATCGGAGAGATGGAGAACGAGGAGTGGTGTTGAGCTCACCGGCAGTTGGTGCACCTCTTCGGACGAGAGAGAAGGATCCACCTCGCTATGGTGCACAGCACCGCCAAGGTGCACGTTGGAAAGGTGAGTAATCGCGTTGTGATGGCTAATGACTTACTCAACAAGGAGCAGGCGGGGATGGAGCTCTACCTCCTGAATGGTGGCAGTTCGAGCTGTTGGATAGTCAAGTGGTATATCAAGATAACACACTTGGGATGGTTTCATTTAACAGACCTTTTCCTGGAGTGCGCCTAGGTCAGCGATGAATGTATCACCAGCAGCGAGAAACTCATGGTTGAACATAGATCGGCCCGGACGACTCGTTCCCGGATGCGAATGGCACATCTCACCACTCGGTCGGTCCTACTTCGTCAATCACAATACTTGGACAACGTCGTGGAAAAAGCCAACACCAGAACATCCACCAGGGAGCTTGACGCCAGAACGTATCATCAAGGGTCATTCCAAACCCATAAGGAACCTTCAAGCTGTCTGCTTGGGTACCAGTTGCAATATAATGAGCGCGTCGGACGATGGTTCGATTCGTCAGTGGAAAAGAAATGGAGAGCCAGTAGGAAAGCCTTTGGTTGATGATAGAGTAAGTGTGGGCGTGATGGCAATGTCTCCGGATGAAGCCATGGTCGTATTTGGAGGCTCAGACGCAAAGCTACGGCTGTGGGACATTAGGAAGGGCAGAATGGTCGGCAACCCGTGGGAGGAGCATGGCGGTGTAGTGGAGTGCCTCGATTGGTCTCCCAATGGCCTACAGATAGCAAGTGGATCGGGAGACGGCACCATACGACGCTGGAACCCGGATACTGGCCGACAAATAGCACCACCGATAGAGACCCGTCATGGTTGGGTGTTTGCTGTCAAATACTCTCCACGAGGCGACAAATTCACCAGTGGCGGCGAGGACAAAATGATCTACGTGTGGTCAAACGACGGCAAGTTGCTCATGGAGATTAATGGACATGACTACGAAGTGAGGTCATTGTGTTGGTCCAAAGATGGCACATACATCTTTTCTGCATCAGGCGATCACACCATCCGAAAGTGGCAATCCATTGATGGGACGGAGCTTGTTGTTTTCCGGGATCATAACAGTGGTGTATACTCTATCTGTCTTTCCCCTGATGAAAGGCATCTTGTTAGCGCATCATATGACAACTCGGTCCGCATCTGGGACCTCGAAACCAATCAGTCAGTCGGAAACCCACTCATTCACGACGACGAAATCACGACTCTTGCAATCTCCTGTTATGGAAAATATATTGCCAGTGCTGGATTGGATGGCAAGATCTATGTATGGAGCATGGAGGCAGCGCTGAAGCATCAGGGTGAAGATCAAGTGAGTGTATTTATGTGTTGTCAATGTCTTTCCTAAACGGTTTTGGTTGTCATTCAGCATGCAGATAATAAAAAGCCCAACGCAAAGCTCAAGGCAAGTTGTCTGTGCTTCCCTTTCGCGTTGTATCTCACTTCTTCACCAGGGACGGGCTGGGCGACCGAGAGATGTGCGCTAATTAGTTGTGAACACCCTGACGTTTTGTTTATTCATCCTGGTAGATCTTGAATGCCAGTCTGGTCTCTAAGCAGCAGCCCAACAACAGAGGCTTGGCGAAATATGTCAGTATAGTTTTTCGTTCTTGAATTTTTGCGACTCTGACACTGTTTCAGGGAAAGGACTTCTGGGACGCCGATGCAAACAACACGCCTCCTCGCGCAGCTGCGTCTGCGAGTCCATCATCTGCCCATCGTTGGCGTAATTTGCTTGGTTCGCTGCGCTTCAGCACTCAGCCTGGAAATGAGCAAGGATCAATACCACTCGAGCCCCGGCGTTGGAATTTCAGCCTGTTTCATGCAGGGAGTTCTATACCGATCGTCGATGTAGCTCCCGGTCGCAAGAAAAGCGTGAGTGGCTCCCATTGCTCGTTTTTATATCATTGAAATAAATCAATTTGCAGAGAATCGCTATTGCCCCTCCCACTGCGGCAGAATTGGCCAGAGCAGAATTGGCTGCAGCTATTCAACATACGAACGGCAACGAGGCAGGCAGTTCAATGCAACCAGGACAACCTCAGGCTGCACCGGGGATACAAGTATCTCAAGGACGACCAACAAAAACACAGGTCTCGAGCGGTGGGACAATGGGAGAAGCCTCCTACGAAGTCAGTTGCTGCGGACTTTTTGGTCGTCGTCCCACCTCGCATCAGTCGTGAGGTCGTCTGCTCAAAACTTATTCCGAATTGTCTCAACTTTCTTCTTCTTCGATCTGCTTCAGTTCGCTTCGTGGTAACACTAATCATACTCCACTGACTCAATTGTTGTCGAAAACGATCCAAACACCTTCGACGAATACTTACTAGGTGCATCGTCGTGGTCCAGTTATATTGAAGACTGCAATATCTCTCTGCGTAAATGAAACTACAGTACGATACCATAATGTTGTCAAAAACAATCCAAACATTTTCGACGGATACTTGTCGCTGTCCGACTATATTGAACAATGCAATATCTTGAGCTGTATGGTTTTCATCTAAAACGTAAAATGCGGCGCTCACACAAAGCAGTGCGGTGTGCGACTGGGTGCGAAATAGTCCGTAAACGCCCACAAGAGGGAAGAGTGAAATTTTCGAGAACGCCAACAGATGACCTCACGACTCGTGCGAGGTGTGATGACCACAACTAAAGAACAATCCACAGCACCTAACTACATAGGAAGCTTCTCCCGTCCTACCGCTTGAACCGTGTATTTCTGTCAGTTGTCCTTGAGACACTTGTGTCCCTAGCGCAGGTTGACCTTCTTGCATTGAACTGCCCGCCTCGTTGCCACTCACATGTTGCGTAGCTGCAGTCAATTCTGCTCTGGCCAATTCTGCCGCAGTGGGAGGGGAAATGGCAATCCTCTGCAAATGGTTTATTTCATTGATATCAATAACGAACGATGGCGAGCCACTCACATTTTTCTTGCGACCTGGAGCCACGTCAACAGTGCGTGTTGACCTTCCTACACGAAACAGGCTGAGATTCCACCGCCGGGGCTCAAGCGGTATTGATTGTGGCATATTTGCAGTCCGAGTGTTAAAGTGCAGGGAATTGAAAACACTATGCCAACCAAGGGGAGGTGTTGGGCCTGCAAGCGGAGCTGAGGGATTTGCATTATTTCCCCAGAAATCTTCACCCTGTATCAATGTTAAGCTAGCAAGCCTAGCTGGAGAAATAAATAATTAGATTTACATATCTTGCCAAGCCTCTGTTGTTGGCCTTCTGTGTAGGTAGTATGTGAGGGGCGACAAACATCTAGTAAGACAAATGAGTGAAAGACTAGGTTGTGTACAACTGATTGGCGCACATCTCTAGATGGAGCTGCACGTCTCTGGTAACGAACTGAGATACAATGCGAAAGAGACAGTGATGACTTGCCTTGCGTTTTGCGTCACTCTGAATGAGACCCGACGTCCGTTAGAAAAGATGCTGACAGCAGCACTGAGCATACGCACGGAAACTTTGTCAACACTCTGCTGTTTGAGTGCTGCCTCCAGGCTCCATAGATAGACCTTTGCACCCAACCCAGCACTAATAATGTATTTTCCATCGTGAACTATGGCAACAGCGAATAGCTCATCATCGTGCAAGAGTGGATCTCCAACTTGCTGGTTGGACTTGAGATCCCAGATGCGAACTGAGCAGTCTTGTGATGCACTAACGATATGGCTTTCATCAGGTAACAGACACAGGGATCTGATGGCGTTGGTATGACCCTGAAGAACAACGAGTTCCTCTCCATCAATCGACCGCCATTTTCAGATGGTGCTATCACGTGACCCAGAGAATATGTGCGCGCCGTCCTTGGACCAACACAACGACATCACCGTGGACTCATGGCCCTTGATCTCCATGAGCAGCTCGCCACCATTTGACCACACGCAGATGATCTTGTCCTCGCCGCCGCTGGTGAATTTGTCGCCACATGGAGAGTATTTGACAGAAAACACCCAACCATGGCCGGTCTCTATTGGTGACGCTATTTCCCGGCCAGTATCCGGATTCCAGCGTCGTATAGTGCCATCTTGCGATCCACTTGCGATCTCCAGGGCATTGGGAGACCAGTCGAGGCACCTGACTGCATTATTACGCCCTTCCCACGGGTCGCCAACCATCCTGCCCTTCTTGATGTTCCACAACCGTAGCCTCCCATCTGTGCTTCCACTCACGACCATAGTTTCATTTGGGCACATTGCTATTAGGCCCACCGCTCCTCCGTCGCCATCATTCCAAGGCCTCCCCACTGGCTCTCCTTCTCTTGTCCACTGACGAATTGAGCCATCAGATGACGCGCTCATGATATTGCAACTGATACCAAAGCAGGCAAGGCTCCATATACATTTGGAGTGACCCTCGATAACACACTCCGGCGCCACGCTCCCTGGTGGACGTTCTGGTGTTGGTTTCGTCCATGACGTGGTTTGAGTATTGTGATTGACAAAGTAGGACCGACCGAGTGATGAGATGTGCCATTCGCATCCGAGAGCAATGAGTTGCCCGGGGTGGTCTATGTTTAATTATGAGTTCCTCGCTCCTAGTGGCAAATTCTTTATTTACCTAGACGCACTCCTGGCAAAGGTCGGTTCCAGGAAATCATCGCGAGTGTGTCATCTTGATATATTGGTCCACTATCCAACACCATATACTGTTGCCACAGCAGAGGGAGCGCTGCATTCCCGCCTGCTTATTGTTGAGCAAGACATTGAGTATCACAACGCGGTTACTCACCTTTCCAAAGTACATCCTGGCGGTGCTGTGCACCATAGGGTGGCGGATCCTTTGCGCTCGTCAGAAGAGGCACACCCATTGCCGGCGAGTCTATCGGCGCTTCTCGTTCTACCTCTCTCTGTCTTGCTGACGTGCTTGACTTGGCTTCGTCGCGGAGCATGACAATAATTGAGAAGGGCGAGGAAAGATGGTAGATGGTGGAAGTGATGAAGAAACGGTTGGCTGTGCATGCTGTATTTGCAGGCCAAATCCATCAACGAACGCCAAGATAAGGAGGTTGTCATCACAGTGCGATGCATTTGAGTAGCACACCCCAAGTACGCCGGTCACAAGTAAGTCACTAAGACCTCGGATTGTGCTTTAGTGGGAGACAACATCAGGCCCCGAATGACTCGCCTTTTCGCTCGCAGAACGAGCAGACCTCTGGGTCTTTCAACACACCAACACGAATCATACGTCGACACATGAAACAGCAAAGTGAATAAACTTTCCGCATTACAGATACATGTGTAGAGACCAATCATACGCCATACGCCATCTACCACTTACCACCCGCTCACTTCACTGAATAGATGATTGGACAATGTAATGCAACCTTCTATGCTGTGTGATTCAGTGGCATGGTATTACTTGTGTGAGTCGTAGCTCCCTGCAGAGTCACGGTTTGAAAAAAATCTGCATCCTTCGAATTCAACGAAAGACACGAACAAACAAACACGACCGCCAATTTCCTATGTGTAGTGGTCATGTGACTCATGTACTCGGTCCTTCGCGACGAAATTTATTGATTGCAAAGGGTATGTACTATGAATTGTGTTTATTCGTTCATGCAGGTTCATGCTACGCCACCCACGTGGTCTAAACGGTTCGAGTACAGAAACAACAACCAACAAAAGAGAAGGAGATGATCGTGCCATGCAGTTCAGTGCATGTCTATTAGTCTTCATGTTACTTGAACGGGCGCCCAGTTGCCAAGTCATTTCCCGTTTGCTCAGTAACGTCATGTCCAGGTCCACATCAACTCGAAGTCAATCAACGCAACGACGCTTGCTGCATCTTCCCCAACACCCTCGGCTGACTCAAATTCGCAATATAAATGAAAATACCACCCGCAGGGTATCTGTAAAGCGGCGCACGGAGCCTCTTCTGGTTGAGATGGTGCCCGGTGAAAGCGATGCTGCGGCTTAGGACGACGAGCCCGTTGAACGTCCTGATCTTGAAGTATTCGTCGGCTTCTTCAGGGGTGAGGGCGCCGGAGTCGCGCGGGAGGTCAACGAAGCAGACGGCGATGCAGCCGTCGACGTTGAGGATGAGCTGTGGGGGTAGGTGTCAGTCCCAAGCGAGCAAAGAACGAGGGAGTTTGATTCGGGAGCAAGTGGGATAGAGGGAAAGGAGAAGCAGAGGGCTCACAGTGTCCTTCTAACTAGTCGTCACCTTCTCAACAACACATAATCAAAAAGCGACAGCTCCTGAAGTGTGGACATCAAATGGCCCAGATACAGTTGCTGCCCATCATCTTCGCACATTTGCCAGGGGGGCCATCAGAGTACTCCGCAATACTGAGACGGACTTGGATATCAAGGTTGGTTGGCAAACTTGCATATGATGAAATAGCTGACGTTTTCCTTAAGAGTCTATTCTTATATTCCACTGACGACTATGATATTGTTATCCAGCTGAACCCTGCCATTCTACCGAGATACTACCAAAACGTCAATGCAGAAATAAGTGTTTAGACTAGGGACTCTCATTTGGGCATAAGCGAGTCGACGCCTCGCCCAGGATTTAATCCTCTTCTTCTGTTTCTCGCCGATCTGCAGGTATGTTCCACATATGAATGTAGGGTCCCCTTTACAACCATCCCTATACAGAACATGTTCGCAGATACACTAAATTATTTGCTGACCCCCTGGGAGGTGATTGCATTGGAGCAATTTGGCGACTGGGTGCACCCCGTTCCTTCCGTGCACTAGCAGCTTTTTCGAGCAAGCGATTGCCCAAGGTATGTCGATCTCATCGAACCATCTGCATAAAAATAATATTTGGTAGGAGGATAAAGCGAAAGACAAGGGGCTCAATCGACAATCCGTTCTGGACGACATCGGGAGATTAGGAACAGGTATGGTCCAAAAGATTATCGCACATGAGCGCATATAGAGATGCACATAGCGCTCATCTAAAACCAATATAGCAAAAGCGACAATGCTGGAATATGACCGGCATAATAAGAACGAAAATAGGGAGCATCGTCATTGGGAGACTTCCCGCAGCATTAGAATCCTAGACTTCGTGTTCGTCGGAGATTATGCTCATAACTCTAGAATCACTGCCAGTGTGTTCCAAACCGCACACCAATTATATCTAGATTCTAAACGTGAACCGTGACGCATTAACGTTTTAAACGACTACTTTGGCGAAATGCTTACATTCATATTCTGTCATCGATGAAACGAGTTTATGTAATTGACTAACGTATGATGGCTCGATAGAAGGAGCGACTGTCTTCCTTCAAGAGTCTGCATACGGGAGACCAGCTGGCTACAAAGTGTAGACAACTCCTTTCCTCACACTGTTTAGCCCTTTTTGTGCGCTACATATCCATAGTATAGGGCCATCCAAGCTTCAAGAGTCATCTAACCTCGGGCCTCCGAGTCCACCCCAAGTCAACCCCTACCCCAATTTCGTGAGAGTGACGTCCACAATTCTTCTGTCTGTTTCTGATTCTTTTCGCTAAAGTACCGAGCAACCTTGGGCCTCCTTCCTTAGGGTTCAAGTTACGTGCGTGGCCCTAGTAATTTCAGCCTATAAAATACCAGCATGCGATGGCTTTACATCCAAATCCTTCACTGCAACAAGCTCCATGATGTTGACTTCCCACTTCACCATCCTTGCGCTGCTCACCTTCCTCACTGGCGCCAACGCGGGATGTGCAGCGTGCGCTGATACTTTGGAAGTCGATGGTGTAGCGGTCTACACGCTAGTCAACAGCACTATAGAGTACAAGGACGGGTACACACTTTGCACGTACGTTACACTCACAACTTCGTCGAGCAAAGTGACTGATAGGTTAACAGTTACGAGAATATACTGGGCTTAGAGGTGACCTGCGAGTATTCGGTACGTGCATGCTGGATGTTGTGCAGCTCATCGGTTTCGTTTGACACGTTTGCGGTTATCAGGACAGGGGCGCGTACGTGGATGGGGATGACTTGTGTCCGCGTGGGTCAAAGTCGGATACGATTGGGTGTTGAGCAGGATATGACGTGGAAATGGCCTAACGGGAGTAGCAATATTGTTTTGCAGACAGCTGGACATATCAGTATATTTTTTCCGTTAGAAACGTTCCCCTCGTTGTCTTGCATTGGCCAGCTTGTAATAGACGATCTTCTCGAGCCTCTCATCTCATTCAGTATTCCTCCTGGCCTGGCACTGGTCAGTGTCTCAGTCAGATTCGAAGCTTGAAAATTCGAGCGAGTTCCTCGAGTTTCGTTCTCCGGGTCAAGACTATAAGTTGTAAAAAAAAAACCTAAAATTGACACGCACCTACAAAGTTCACTCATGCTTGCAGGGTCCAAAGGGGAAGCATACGTATAGCGCATAGCAATGCTTGCATTAAGTAGTGTAACACTCACTTCTACACTTCTTCCACCTCACGGCGGCTCATACTGTGCACCACGATGCCCTCGCCAAAATATCCCCCATGCTACACATCACCGCCACTTAACTCGTGTGTACGCTCTTGAAAGGCAATTTCAGTCATGGCAGTTCCTTCGTCGGAGTTGGCCAGAACAAGCTGGTCAAGAATCTCATTCACCCCTACATAGTTGGTTAGTCCTGAATGGCAAGATCGGATCAGTACAGCAGACCGACTGCCAGTCTGTCAATGAGAATGATGGGAATCACAAGATGTTCCCTGCATCATTCGGCCGGTCAGACACCACGAACATCATGTGCCGATATGACGTTACTAGTACGTTGGTGCTGTTCGTGAGTATCATATTGTGCTCAGGCTAGCGGTAATATTGTGTGAGGTCTACGACTGTCTACGAAGACTGAACGCAGACTCCGTGACAGTGACAATTCGGAAAGTGCCGGGAAGTAGCATTGCAAACCCTTCCCAAATCCTTTTTACGTCATATCTTTACCACTATGCAAAGCGTTATCAGCATCGCCAGTCGGGATCCCGCCCTCACCCAGATCTCACCTTCTGTTGCAAGGGAACAAAAAACGCGGCCGATATTCTTCCTTCTATATATTTGTCACTATCTCGATGACTCTGAGTTGAAATATACATCTATTGGCACCTGACTTTCACATTTCCTGTCGTCCTCCCCATTGTCCGGCTGCCAAGTACGTTTTGAGAGGCTGACACTGACGGCGGCTGCACGGGGCGGCCGGATGGCAATCACAATGATATGAGACAACCCTGGGAACTTTCCAACCAAGCCGCCTGTAGCAGACTTTACCAAGACTTCGTAGCGGAGACTTCACCAGACCGGCCATTGTCAATGCACTTCTGTGCAAGATAGAGAAATGGTGCAACGTTGGTCGTATCCCTATACATGCCTGCCGTCGGCCGCCCGGGTGTATCTGAAAAGGTGGTTGCACAACCAACTGGCGAGGAGAAGGCATACGAAGTCAAACTCTGGCTACTGTCAAAGCTGAAGGAGGCAGCTGTGATATCGTGCGACGACGGCTTTCTAGATACGAGTGGTATTTGCGGCGTGCACAGGCACACAAAGCTCTCGATGACCTTCGCCTTCGCACACATCTACAAGTTCAAGGACGACTACATTCGCGGGCACCAGGGAATCCGCTGTGCTCGAAAAATTCAACCAGACCGTTGGGACTGCTGCTGCTCGGTATCTCAGGGTCTGGGTAGCAGTCAAGACACTATCAGCGGTCCTGGACAAACTGAACTGGGATGCTGAACTGCTGGTAGCCGATGTTCGCGGGATGTCAAAGAGAGATATATGGCCAACCCAAGGTCACTGCACGCTTTCGTGGATCTAAAAGTAGGGTGTCTGTGATAGGAGAAGATGGCGAGGCTGTTTTATTTGAAGGTAGGCATTCGCATGATTGATTGTAAGGAATTGTCTTGACATCATGATATGTAGCGCCAACGAGGGAGAAGCATCAACGAGAGACAAGCATTAACGAGGGGCTCGAAGAAGCACCGGCACGAACGAGGGAATCGGGTCATTGACCTGGGATGCGAGAATAGCATAGGAAGCTTCGTCTCTAGCTCAATGCTTCACGGACAAAGGGTTTAGTAGGGCGGGCAGTGCCTCTGACTTGATGTTTCACTTTCAAAGGTTTAGAGTCATTTTCGCATCAAGGTATGTTTTCAATTTGATACACTTAAGCGACAACACTACAGGTACAGGTGGGCAGTGGTAGACGTCAAAGCAATTCCCCCAGGGCCAGTATCACCGATTATGGAAACAGGCTGTAATGTATCGCTATGATATTATGGGACACGGCAAGCAAGAAGCGGGCTCACCTTTTCGTCTTACAGGCAGCCACTCCCCTCTGGGCCTAAACCGACATTGAAGGGGTGACAGCAAGTCGAACAGCTACACTTATTGACGACCTCGACAGTGCCGTATTCCGAACACCAATATAAAAACGGTAAGCCGTTGTTATAACCCGCGAGTTCTCCGCACCCATACTCATCTGCGAGCACCTGTAAGTACACGGTCTGACGTCAAAGCAGGGGTGATTACATGTAGGGGCGCATGGCGTGCCGTTAGGGTCCGGCGCCGTGACCACGCCCGCCAGCACTGCAGTAGACATAAGTATAGTCGTGAATGAGGTGAACCTCATTGTTTTGCTTCAGGATGGGATGATCGCACTGAAAGCCATCACTTCGCTTTATACACAGACAGTACTTATAGGGTGTCAGCCCAGAAATTTGATGTGCGTTCCTAATGCGCCGTGGCAACACGATATCTCTTGACGCTCCATGAGATTTCGCTGGTGTCAAACTCGCGTCGAAATTTCACAGACAATCAGTTTTCCCGATGATCTACAGATATGTAAGTTTCATTGCATTTCTTGAATCAATTCCTATATATGATGATATAATACCATTATAAGACATTATCTCTTCTCACTGGTTCTCTGACGTGCCGTTGCTGTCCAATTCATTGGCCGCATCTTTGTTGACGCCACGAGTGCGTTGTTGACCGTGAATCTCTTGAGATGTGCTGTAGCTGCGTCGCTCTGCGTCAGAGCGTGGTAACCAGAATGTTTTACCGGAACAATGAATGTGAAGTGGGTGAATAGCGTTGCTTGTTTGGTTTTGCCACCGTGACATTACGAGACGAAACTTGCAGCTGTTCGGAAAGGTCTGATCCAAACCTAGAACCGCTCGATATTGTCGGAGCGGTAGAGCTTGGAGGGGATGGTGCTGTCTGTCGTGCTGCGTGCAGGTGTACGTCGATGCTAAAAGGGAAACAAAGTTCATGTAAGATAATAACAGTGAACGAAACGAAACGAACGCACCTTCCAGAATTCTCAATCCTGAAGCGCCTAGGCTTAATCCCACCAACAGTAGCAGGCCCAACGATCAAGACACCCCTTCTCTTTTTCGCCTTCCACAAAATCTTCCTCGCCTGTCTCTCACGCACCCACCCCGCAATCAACACACTAGCCTTAATACCCACACTCCAATGCACGCTTGAAGGCCATACACAAAATGCGTGTCTTTGTCGAAAGGTCCATACGCAGGCTGTGTGCCCTTTTCACTAAGGGAGGCGAAACGCACGACGACGACGACGACGTTGGGCTGGGTTTTAGAGTCATTTTCGCATCAAGGTATGTATCTAACCTGATACTGTTGAGCTTCAACACTACAGATACAGGTGGGCAGTGGTAGACGCCAAAGCAATTCCCCCAGTGCCAGTATCACCAATTATTGAGGCTGTAATGTATCACTATGTCATTATGGACACTGCAAGCAAGAAGCAAACTCACACTTCCATCTCCACTGCAGGCGGACCCACCTAAAGTTGCGCCTTTAGGGTTAGGGATGGTACAGCAAGTCGGGCAGGAGCAATCCTGGATGACCAGAATAGTGCTATCTTCCGTACAGTAAAACAAAAATGCCCAGTCATTGTTATAACCTGCGACTAGTCCGCACGCATATGACTCTGCAAGCACCCATAAGTACACGGTCTGACGTCAAAACAGCTGAAGATGATTACCTTTATGGGCGCATGGCGTGCCATTAGGGTCCGACGCCGTGACCGCGCCCGCCATCACTGCAGCAGACATTATCATAGTCGTGAATGAGGTGAACTTCATTGTTTCACTATAGGATCGGGCTGGCTGAATGAACTGAAATATATCACTTCGCTTTATACATAGACAATATAGGGTGTCAGCCCAGAAACATGCATTCGCTGTGCATTCCTAATGCACCATGGCAACACGATATCTCTTGACGCTCCATGAAATTTCGCTGGTGTAACGCTCGGGTCGAATTTTCACAGATGATCAACTTTCCCGACGATCTACAGATATGTAAGTTCTGTCGCGGGTTTTCAATCATTTATGGTATAATGCCATTATAAGACAATGTCTCTTCTCACTGGTTTTCTGGTGCGCCCTTGCTGTCCAAGTCACTGGTCACATCCCCGTTGACGTCACGAGTGCGTTTTCGACTGTAAATATCTTGGGATGTGCTGTAGCTGCATCGTTCCGCGTCAGAGCGTAGTTACTGGCAGAATGTCCTGAACAGAAGCGTGTTTGGGTTTGCCACCGCGTCACATTACGAGACAAAAGTTTGACCTTTCAAACTTTCAAATTTTGCAGCTGTTCGGCAAGGTCCGAACTGAACTTAGAACCGGAAAATACTGGAATACGAACCGCATCATCGAAACAACCGTGGACAATGGACGAAAACCTGCAATTGTGTATTGGTGATTGGTACCATACCCGGTTCTCCGCACCTTTCAGTGAAGTGAACCTTTTGATCCCCAACTAGCAGTTGATTTAACTGTATATTTTGACGCTCGCTGACTCGGATTTGGTGCGAGTGTTGACAATACATTATGTTTTGTCAGGGTCCTTTCTAATTATAAGCGGGTTTTGGTTCAGAACGTGGATGCGAGCAATGCTCTAGAGAGAGCCTTGTCTCTAGTTTGATGCTTCACAATCAAAGGGTTTAGTAGAGCAGGCCGTGTCTCTGACTTGATGATTCATTTAGAGTCATTTTCGCATCAAGGTACGTATCTAACTTGATACTGTTGAGCTTCAACACTACAGCCTGAGATTCAGGTGGGCAGTGGTAGGCGCCAAAGCAATTCCCCCAGTGCCAGTATCATCAATTATTGAGGCTGCTGTAATGTATCACTATGACATACATTATGGACACGGCAAGCAAGAAGCAGGCTTACACTTCCATCTCCTCAGGCTGTGCAGACGTCGGACCCACCCGGGCCTAGGTCTATAGTTGCGCCTTTAGGGATTACACAGCAAGTCGCGCAGGAGCAATCCTCGATGACCAGAATAGTGCTTTCTGGCGTACAGTAAAACGAAAACGCCCAGCCATTGTTATAACCTGCGACTACTTCGCACCCAAATGACTCTGCAAGCACCCATAAGTACACGGTCTGACGTCAAAACAGCTCAAGGTGATTACCTTTCTGGGCGCATGGCGTGCCGTTAGGGTCCGACGCCGTGACCGCGCCCGCCAGCACTGCAGCAGACATAATCATAGTCGTGAATGAGGTGAACTTCATTGATTCACTATAGGATGGGGCTGGCTGAATGAACTGAAAGTTATCACTTCGCTTTATACAGACAGTACTTATAGGGTATCAGCCCAGAAACATGCATTTGCTGTGCGTTCCTAATGCGCCGTGGCAACACGGTATCTCTTGACGCTCCATGAGATTTCGCTGGTGTCAAGCTCGCGTCGAAAATTCACAGACGATCAGTTTTCCCGAGGATCTGCAGATATGTAAGTTCTGTCGCAGTTCTTCAATCATTTCCTATATATATGATGATATAATGCCATTATAAGACAATGTCTCTTCTCACTGGTTTTCTGATGCGCCCTTGCCGTCCAAGTCACAGTCTGGCCACATCTCCGTTGACGCTGCGAGTGCGTTTTCGACTGTTAATATCTTGGGATGTGCTGTAGCTGCATCGTTCCGCGTCAGAGCGTGGTTACTGGCAGAATGTCCTGCCGGCCGGTGAACAGCTTGTTTGAGTTTGTATGCTCTCAGGTTCCCATACAACTCAAACGACACACCGACATTGTGGCGGCGTAACATCGTCTGCTTCAAAACTTTGTAGCTGTTCGGCAAGATCCGAATTGAACTCTACAAGATCCGGAAAATGCTGGAACACGACCGGATCATCGAAACAACCGTGGACCGAACCATGGACGAACACCTGCAATTGTGTATTGGTGATTGGTACCACACCCGGTTCTCCGCACCTTTCATGTGGTGAGGTGAACTTTTTGATCCACAACTAGCAGTTGATTTAACTGTAGATTTTGACGCTCGCTGACGGATTTGGTGCGAGTGTTGACAATACATTATGTTTTGTCAGTGTCCTTTCTAAGCGGGTTTTGGTTCAGAGCGTGGATGCGAGCAAGGCAGAGCGCGATACCAAGTTCAAGGTATGTCACATCCGTGCTTGGATCTGCCCCGCTGTAAGCATCTCACTTTTATCATTATGCAGGAACATGGAGCGCGACTAAGAGATGTGCGTCATTTAGTTTTCAACAAGCTCATCTTTTCCTTATTGGCTCGTCATATTTCTGATGCCTGACTCGTCTCCAACAAGCACGCCAATGGAATAAGCTTGGCGAAATACTTATGCCAATATCTGTTTTCGCCTTCGGAGCCCACGCTAGTCTGACAAAAATCTAGGGCAATGATTGTTTTCGGTGCCAATACAAACCGCGCAGCTCCTCCTGCGAGCACATTATCTCCCCTTCATTTGCGCAATTTTCTTGATTCCCTGCGTTTCAGCACTCGACCTGCAAATGCGCCTCAATCAATACCGCTCCAACACCAGCATTAGAATTTCAGGTTATCTCCTGTAGGAATGAGCCCTTCGATGTAGCTGCTGCTCACGATGAAGATCAGTGAGTGACTCGCCATCGCTCCTCTTTAATATCATTAAACTGAATTTGCAGAGATACGGCAATACCCCTGAAAGTGACGCTGAAGCGGCCGCGGCTATGCAACGGACGGGCGACGAAGCTGACAGCTCAGCTCAACCATGTCAGCCTGCAGCGGGGGCTCAAGGGTCTCAAGGGCGACCAACACATACACATGGCTCGACCGGTGGAGCATAAGAAATTGTATATCAAGGTGTGAGCTGCTGCGCATTTTTCTTTGGCTGTCGGCGTCTCACCCCGCATCAACCATAATATCATGTGTTAAACCACTTTGTCACTGTTCTCTCTTCTTTCTAGCGTGCTTTGGTGGACTACTTTGTACATACTGGCTATACATGGTATCTTGTTGCCGTTTTCACAGTAGGCACACGCCGATGGCGACGCGCACATTCCTACCTGGACAAAATGCCATCTGACAATACCTGCATGGGTCCTCGCAACGCAACGGCCAATATCGGTCTCCTGGGCCTTCTTGTTGGAATCATTTGAGAATCAGAGGACATGTCTAATTAAAACTTGAAGCCAACCTCGAGTCGTGACGGATGTTCAAACATTCACTGGAGCTTCTGAAGCTTCAAACTTCAAGCATTCACTGAGGTACACGAAAGTGTGTGAAGTTCGTGTCATCCGAGTCCGATACATACACGATTCGGCAAAATACATCATGCTGGTTCGAGTTGATCAGCAGACGTTGAAATCACCCACTGAGTTTGCTCTGCCCTCTCTCATGTACTTTTACTGACTATTTGGTATTACCCAGTCATACAGCTCGAGCATTAGGGTTTATTAATTTATGCAGCAGATAATTTGTTATAACTAGGCACAGCGGCCGTCGTTTGTGACTCTGACATTGAGAGTTGGTCCAAACGACGATCATTAACCAGTTTTGTATTGACCGATGCCTCTCGTAAATTATTCACTCGACGAGAAACGTAACGACTGTCGCATGTGTGTGGAAACTAGAGATGAGTAGTTATAAGTGAAAATGAATGTGAAGCTACATTGAAGTTTTCTGTGTTCGAGCTATGACTAGAATTTCCAACCACCCGCCAATTCCATCACATTATCCGGGTCGACAGCTTTTTTGATGGCCCGCAAACGAGGTAAATTATCACCATACATATTCTCTAAAGCCATGTCAGGAGGTGCGTTGTTCGGGTACACAGCAACATTCGCGACATCCTGGCCGAGATCTGTGAGTGCCTGATTCATATGCTGGACGCTTGCGTCGACAGCGTCGAATATCGTGTCATCATATCTCGAATCTGCCCAACCATAGTACACTTGGATGAACGAGTAACCTCGACTCCGTGACGGTGGGTATGCGGTCGGTGAATCTACATGGTCGTAGAGTGTGGACAAGTATATGTCCACATCATATGAGACGATTCGTAGGCTAGAGTTTGTCAATTCTGCTCCCCAGAACTGACCATATATGCGTTAACGTTATATCCAAATTGAAGGGAAAGAGTGATTACCAGTGTCTCGTTCACAACCATGTCCAACACAGGCATTGTGATCTCCTCCATTGCCGCCCAATGAAACACGGATCTGTCTTTGAGTGAGTACTTGTAGACCAGACGGTCTTATGTTCCCCAGTAACTTACCTGAGTCCAGAAGTGGCATTTAAGGGAAGAGACTGAATGAGAGAGATGTAGGATCTAGTCGAAATGTCTTCTTCGATGTGGGGGGCCGACAAGAATTCATCAAACATGCCCTCAGGGCAGGTTGGAGCATCATAAAAAAGGATACTCAACATTTCGGCCTGCAAAGCAGCACGTAGGTCACTTATCGAATATCAAGTGGAGAACAGCGATAGCTGACTCACCGCTCCAGAGATATAGTTATATGTGTTGTATATGGATGCCTTTGGATCGGATACATTCGCCCCAAAGTTGGCAATAGCTAAGCCTGCTGCTTCCCATTGGTCCAGCGAGTACGAAACACGTCCACCCTGCACATAAGAAATTTGTCAGTTTAAATCACCCAGACTCCGAGTTCTTACCCAGACTTGAGACTGAGGATATGTTTTGACAGTAACCCTCGTCACGATACCCTGCCATTGTCAGCGCGTTCGCCAACAGATCAATGGGCGCTACGCACAAAGTTATTGAATCCCCCCTTGAAATTTCGCAGAAAATTTAGATAGGTGATGTCATCAGCCCACTAAAAACTCACCCGCAACGCAAAGAACAGATCTGAATTTGTGGAAATTGTGATATCGGTCACTGTCCCATTGGGCAAAACAAGTTCGAAGGCTACGACGTTGTCGAAGGCCAAACCATACTGGTTAGTCAAATACGAATATCCTAGTATACAAGCAAAATGAGTTTCGTTTTCGTCGTGGGCCTGAGTAACACCATACCTCCTCCCAAGGCAATGCCTCCGACTCCAATGCCAGTGACTTTCGCCCCTACGACAGTGACACTATACTGTTCCAGTGCAAGGTAAACATCATCCCAAAGTAAACCTGTGCCTATGGTGGCTGTTTGTGCATCCGAATCGTATACCACATCCGAAAAGGAATACATCGCAATTTGGACGCCTGACGTCGAAGAAAAACCTGCATTTGCAGCATGTCCTCCACTTTTGATCTTTGTGACAGTCACGATTATCAACACAAAATGCAAGCCAAAGCCATTGTTACTCACTCCAAATGGTGTCTGCGTCTGTCCCAAAATTCGAAGCTGATGTGAAGGACACATCAGCAGATGAGTGCTGAACTTTCTCGCCTTGTACGTACCGCGATTCCAACATCTTCAGCTGTTGCAGGCTCAAAGGAACATTCAGAGGTTTGAGTACTGGACGCAGACCAGTGATAATTGCCCTTGGTATATTGATTCGAGCCTGTGGAACTTTGAGTTCGCTGCCATCAAGATCTTGAATGGAAGCACATACCAGTGTAATACACTACGGAGCTCGACGAGACTGCAGTTGCGATCTGCTCACAAACTGTACTTCGGAGGACATTTCCTGCATCGAAAAATCCTGAAGAAGCAACGACCAAAGTGAGGCCAGATAGACCAAAAAGAAAGGAAAACGAAAGGTCAGCAAATGCGACCATCATGATATGTCCTCTCCCGAAGGAAACTTTGCAAGCTGGTCACATCAAGTTGCTGAATTTAAGTGGAACGTTAGTCGGGTCGTGGCTCAATGCCCGAAGGCTCGACCCTATAGCTATTACCGACTCGTCATATATACTATGCGGGTCTGATCGTCGCGACGGGCTTGAAGCAGAATTCTTGGAATTTAGAAGTTAGTGCTTCTAGCGCTTGATCACGTACGTTAGCGAGGAATCCCCACTGATTCACGTAACATGATCACACAATCATGAAGTTTAATTACATCTTTTTGGAAGGAGACCACTTGATTGGGGTGATCCTATTACTCGCGCCGCAGTGCTAGGCAAGTCTAGTTTGATCCAGCTCGGCCGCTCAGAGCTCGAAGTCGTTCGGACCAACGCAATGCTGAGGCATTCAACTTCGGCTGTTGCTCTGGACGAAGAGATGGCATCGTGAGGTTGGGCTGGAACTCCCCGTTGATGAATTGAGCCGTCGGGTGGACGGGCAAACAGTGATTTTGGTGTGATGAAAGTGTAGCGGTGGGAGTGAGGGCTCAGGGAGGGGAAATAACAAGTGGTAGGGTCAAGGTAGTGTATGTAAGTAAGTCACCCAGCGCCGGCAGGGTCCGAACCGACTCGGACAAGCACTTATTAGACTATGCCAGGTCCGAGGGCGATAAATTCTGGGGCCTTAGGAAATTGCCGCATCTGTGCCGCACCCTGCTGCACCCTACTCAACAATGTCTTATATGCCTCTAAAATGCGTCTACGTCGTACGCAACTGTCTGAAATATGATTTAAGAATAAGTAATACTATATTCCAGGTGTTTGTGTAAGGCTAACAGTGGTACTACAGTGATATATGTACTTGATGGGTGCGGCAGTGATGCGGTAGGGTGCGGCAATTCTGTAATCGGGTGCGGCAATTCTGTAGTTGGGTGCGGCAGTGGCTGTGCACTACCGCACCACTGCACCGACACCAAACCACGCATCTTATCAACTCCACTTGCAGCACGGTTACCAGCAGCTGCGCGAAACTTGGTGAGACAACTCAACGACCCCTCAAACAGGCTTGCGCCTGTCAGGTTTGGTGCCTCGATGCCTCCGCCTATCATTCAACACCTGTCTTTGCTGGTTGCATGCCTTGCCTGACTTCACTGTCACACATCTCCTCGACCACATTCTGCAGCAACCTGTGCAAACGGATACCGGGGCTTTAAGGTATGTATGTCATATCTGTGTGGCCTTTTGTCCTTGCAAACTGAGTCTCGTTCATTTCAGAGTACAAACTACTACTACGAGGCCCCAGCCTATGAAGCCTTGTGTATCTTCCTTGGTTGTGGCCGCGGTTTGGTTTTTTTGGTGTGTTTCTCTTTCTTAACTATGTCAGGCTCACTTCCCTCGCTAAAGTTCGGTCCACACTATTAGTCAAACCATGTCAGACTGATCCGCGATGAAAAGCGATGATGATGCACGTCTACTTCTCCTTCAAATTCTGGTGCGTATGAATCTCGGTCGCCATGATTCCAGTGCTCAGGGAGGCCCTCATAGGGATTCCATCGGTCTTGGTGTGCACCAGCATCTTTTCCCCATTGTTCATTTCCTGCAGCTCCTGCAGCCAACGAGAGCTCGAACATCTGCTGTTCCAGTATGCCAAGACACTCCAAGTCGACGTCTATATCCATCGAGGTCAGATCATAGCTGAGTTGGAGGTCAAGCCAGGCAGCCTGGAGCATCGTGTTTTCTTGCTCTTCGGGAGTAGGAACTGAGTTCACGTCAGGTCCTGACGAGCGACGTTCAATAAGGATATTTTGGGCTGGCTCCTGGAGTAAGTTTTTCTTGCGCTTCGAAACTACGATAGTGCAAGCATGTGCATATGTAGCACAGTTCAGCCGATTGATAATTCGTTTAGCTGCACCAGGGACATGTCTGCCGCACCCAGTACCGCATCCGTGCCGCAACATGCTCAAAATTGTTCTCTGAATTCAGACTCTCAAATGCATTGGTGTGAAGTGGATAATTAAGGAGTCGGACGAGAAACACTCCTAGTTCATTTATTTGGTGCACGAGGACAGTGCAGGCCGAAAATAAGTGTAGTACTTATGATTTGGTATGGGTGCGACAGTGGTGCGGTAGGGTGCGGCAAGTTGCGGCAGTGATGCGGCAATTTACCTGAGCCCAGTCAATACGATGCGACAACGCATCCAGCACAGGTAATACCGCCAAGAACAAAAAACACAATGAATATCTACAAACAGAACCCCTCCCATCCCACTTTTCATCGTCATCTTTTACTGCAAGTACCAACTCCAGTCATCATCGTCATCAAAGCTTGTTGCCGTCCCAGCATGCAGGAACGAAGGAGGCGCGAATATCTATACTATAAACATACAATACCGTATACGCCTGCGCACCCGCTCCTTGTTCTCTACCTTTCATCTTCCAACAACGGCCAGAGAGCCCCCAAAACGAACAAAGTTAACTGCTACCAATTCCAGTCGTCATCATCATCGAAACTAGTCGCTGTCGCCGTGCCTCTTTTGGTGGGTGCAAGTGAATTGAGCGTTTTGCCTACTGATGTAGACGTAGAGGCGGTAGAAAGCTTAAGTGCAGGGGCAGAGGCAGAGGTAGGCGCAAGCACAGACGGCATCATAACCCTCCCAGCATTCACCGTATCCTCTTCTTCATCTTCCAACCAACTCCCGGGGCGCGGGGCAGGTATATGATTGCGAGTGTGCAGGTTCGTCGAGCGCGTCAGTGGAGAGCTCGTGTTTGATGATGGTGTAAGGAAGGAAGAAGAAGCGGAAGTGACCGAGGAACCGCGTAAGGAAGTGCTGCTGCTTGAGGGCGTGCGGAGGGATGATGGAAATGGGAAAAGGGATGGTGCCGGCGTTGGTATTGATGTCGGGACTGGCGCAGGGGAAGTGGCTACTGGGCCTGGAGTCAGTGCCGATACGATGGATTGGGAGACATCTGAGAGGAGTATGGATGCTCGTTTTTGGCTTTTGGAGAACCTGTAATGGGTCATTAGTTCGTGAACGTGATGGAGCATCGGAGAAAACAAGAAATCGGTCGTGAATGATGCAAAATATTGATGACCGGGAGACACGGAAAGAATCACTTACACATCACCTCCAAGCTTCCTGCCAACGTTCCCCCATCCCCCACCAACTACGGTGAGCGATCCTGCGCCGGGCATTGATGAGGGTGGCGCTGGGGGAGAACGATTGATACGTAATGTATTTTTGCTTGGTGCCTCAGGAGACTCTGTACCGTCTGCGTCGATTTCTGAACTTGATATGCCCACCGCTGTAACAGACGCATCCATTCCCAAATTGGACGTACCCCGAACGATGTCTGAAGTCGCGTCAAGATCCGCGCTGCCTCGCCCGAGATCCACGCTGGTGCTCGTACTATTATATGAGGTGGCATGCCTCGTAAATGCAGTAGGTGGATGTGAAAGATCGCGCGATCTTCTACGGAAGACTTTTTCTTGCCTTTCTCTTGCTACCTCTTTGTCTCGTGATTGATTCATGAGGTTTCGTTCATTGTTTTCTGTGCCGATACCAGATGAAAGGCAAACGTCCTCGTCCCAGATAGATGACACAGAACTCCTCGAGAGTCGCCTCACCCCTGAACGTGTGGACGCTGATGTGGACGAGTCGCTCACGCGCTGTGCATGACGCCTCGGGACACTCGTTGTGTCTTCTATATTTATTGGAGGAGCTGGTGAAGGGATGGGAGAAGAGAGGTCGCTTAGGTCGCTCAGACCCGCTGCAAGTAATCTAACGCCTTCTTTGAGGCCATCTACGACAGAAGCAGTGGGTGTGGACGAAGGAAGAGTGGGGTGGTATGGTTCGCGGTTGACGATACGCTCCCATTTGCGTTTTACTAGGAAACGAAAGATGGTCAGTTCGCTCTGATTTCATATTTAGGTGGATATAATGCGGAACGACGGCACCGAGGAAGAAGACACAAAAAGGACGAAATGAAACATCAAGAAAGGACTCACGTTCTCCTAAATCCCCTTCAACAGCAGCAAGCTGACCTGTGAGCTCGAGACGTCTACTCTCAGCGGCTGCAATTGCGTGTAGGAGGTCGGCGTGCCTGAGATTCGATTCCGTTGGCATCAATACAGGTACGCAGAAATCGGGACGTACTTCTCAGCCAATGTCAAGGCAGCTCTTTCTACACTCCCACTGGTACTGGTATTCCTATGTGCGCGAGTTTCCCCAACTGCGTTTAATCCGCGCAACTCCTCGAGCCCTGCCATAGTCCGCCTCTTCATTGAGCGTGAAGTCCTTTTGTGCCCATCGAATAGACCTCCCGTTCCAAGTACCGTATCCGCTCCTATCAAACCATCAGCCACGGTTGTATGCGTGGATGCTCCGTGTCGGGAAAACACATCGACGCGTGAGGACACGTAGGAGATGGAAGATTGCCGGCGGGTGGCTTTGAGGGCTTTGGTCGCGTCGTTGGGAGACACGCCGCGTGCGTGGGCACTGGTGGGCGGTGTGCTGCGATTTGCAGGGGGTGAATAAGGCGGGGAAGGGAGAGAACTCGCCGCTGTTGGCGAGCTGGATGTGTTCAGGAGGGACAAGTGTTTGCTGCATGCTGGTGTCGTACTGCCATTATGGTTAATGTTCATCGTGGTGGTATACGTTTGATTTTGTCGTGTGGTATCGTTATATGGTAGAAGACATGGACGTTGGTGAGGGAGTAAGAGAACGTAGTTGGTGTGTCGGTCGGTCACACAGTACAGCTGGTTGATGATCTGGCAGTTGCAAAGCAACGATCTCAACTGTAACACACTAAAGTAATTATGAACCGAAAAGGAAACTCTTCAAAGTCCTGGCTTGCGAAAACATAGGCCCGGTCGTCGACGGGAACAACGATGAGAGCGAGAAAAATCTCTATTTCCATAGGTCACTGCACTGGTATGTCTCTGACCACCAAGGTAACTACATGCTGGCTTCGCACTGTATATTAATACGAGATCCCGAATCAATGATGTGCTGCCCCGCCCTCTTTCTCGGCCTCTGCAATAAAGTTCTTGATACTGCTCATCCTGGTCAGTCCGTGCTGCAGCACGAGTCATTTGTCTCTGACAGAACACGTACAATTGTTCTTCTTCACTGTAGAAGCAAACGCCGCAGTCAGTCTGTGTCCGCGTACACGTTAAAGCAAGAACAAACGCACCTGGACCCAGCATTTATGGGTACGGCCTCCTTCACGCGCTCTGCAAGAGGTTTGCCTGAAGATGCAGAATCCTTCTTTCCACCAAGGGATGCATAGACGGCACCGCCGGTCGCGAAGAGTGTACCCAACGTGAGGTACTCGGTTTTGATGGCGCGGCCAAAGATGACGCTGCAAATCTGGTGGATCAGTAGCTAGTTAGTGGGACATGTGGAAAAGAGAGACGCACTAAGACATGTCGATTTTCGGAGGTGGAGGAAGAGGTTCAAGCACAAGTGAAGTAGCCCGGGTTTTCCCGGTTTTGCCAAATCCACCGAATTGATTAGTCCTTTAGACGAATATTTACCATTGACCGACCAACCTCTGACAGATCTGCCCCCCAGACTTTGTCAGTTTGTCCAGTCTGTACCCGACGCAGACTCGCTGGCAACATTTCGCACTTTCTGCTACCACTTGAAGTGATTAAACATCAGTCTCCCTAGCTAAGGCTGATCTTAGACGAAGGTCGTACTGAAGTTCAAGTTCTGATGCACAGGACGCTATCTACAGTCGCGCGTGGAACAGCGTTCGAGCAAAGGTCGCTCCAATTGCTTCAAGAAAGTTTCTCGATGTCACTCAAACGCGTTGGTGGCAAGTCTGACGGCGGCGTCGACTTGCTTGGCTGGTGGTGGCTACCCCTCTCCGAACCACAGTCTTCTCAATCCACCGCAATCACCCTTCCCCGTAGACGCATCCGCGTGCTCGCACAATGCAAAGCGGAAAAGAAGAAATTCTCGCCAAACTATGTTCGCGAGATGGAAGGTGTATGGCATACGCATACTACCACTCAGGCCCCCTCCTCCACACCCGTGTCTGAACTGGGTACAGTGGCATTGCTCCTCTCAGAGTCAAAATTCACCACTGCGACCCTCACCCGTGCACTCGGTTCCAGCGTCCCTTTTCTCCTCATGCACCTCCCTCCTCTACCGGTGTCCTCAGATCCACGCGTTGAAACCACCCTCGGAGAAGTCGGCTCCGCTTTCTGGAACCCCGCTCTAGGTGGTGCGCAAGGTCTTCTTCGCGGGGACCTTGATGTTCGCTGGGAACGTGACCCGGGAGGGGGTGGGCGGCCTGGGTTATGGTGTCGTGACGAGAGGCTCCAGAACTGGACACCGGATACGCACGGGGAGTGTCTTAATGCGCTCGAGGACATCGATCGATAACTAGGATAGTGATCAATCGATGGATGATTTGACTTGGGCATTGAATGTCGCTACAACTGTATGTATGCTCTACTTTGGTCACACTTTGCAGAGGCGCCGACTGGGCGCGTGACTGCGTTTGCATGTTCATTACATTACATTCGAAATACACTATCACTGGTGGTCCAGGTGTCTCGATATCTGTCGAACCTGGGCTCAAGCATATTCCATATCTTAGCGCTCACTGACAGATTTAGTGCAAGTGATTATCAGACGGAACAAACCGAAGTGTATCGAGATTCAAAGCACTGCCGCTAACAAGTCTTCTCACCAAGGTTGCCTCCAACCGCAGCATGCGAATCTGAGCATCCAGCAGATCCGCTCGTCATCACCATCTTTCCTTGCCCTCGACCATTGATTTACGCATTCCCGTGCCTGCCCTCATCGTCTCTTCTTGGCCATGCCCCGCAAAGAGGCCGAGTCAAGTACGTCAGCCAGACGGAGAGAAGCGCTGTTAGACTCGCCAGCACGTGTTGCACCTCTTCGAGCGGGAGCGAAGTATCCACCACCATATGGTGCACAGCACAGCCAGGATGCTCTTTGGGAAGGTGAGCAACAGTATTATGATACATATTGAGTGACCCATCAAGAAGCAGGCGGGAATGAAGCGCTCCCTCCTCAGTGGCAACAGTTTCAGGTGTTGGATGGTACAACAATATATCAAGACAACACGCTTACTATGTCTTCATTGAACCGACCTTTACCAGGAGTGCAACTAGGTGAGCGAAGAACGTGCCACTAGGAGCAAGGAACTCATGGCTGAGCATAGATGAACCTGGACAACTCGCTGTTGCTGGATGCGAATGGCACATCTCGCCATTCGGGCGGTCCTACTTCGTCAACCACAACAGTCGGACCACATCCTGGAAGAAACCAAAGCCAGTGCGTCCGGCAGAGAGCTTGGTGCCCGAGTGCATCATCGAGGGTCACTCTAAATGCATATGGAACCTTGCCTGCTTGGGCATCAGTTGCAATATACTGAGCTCGTCGCAAGACTGTTCGATTCGCCACTGGAAAAGAGACGGAGAGCCAGTAGGAAAGCCTTTGGATACTGATGGTGCGAGGATAGGCTCAATGACATTATCCCCGGATGAAACAATGGTCGTGAGCGGAAGTACGGACGGTAGACTACGACTGTGGAACATAAGGAAGGGCATCATGGTCGGTGACCCGTGGGAAGGGCACAATGATACAGTGAGGTGCCTCGATTGGTCTCCCAATGCTCTGGAGATAGCAAGTGGATCGGAAGATGGCACTATACGACGATGGAATCCGAATGTTGGCCAGCAAACAGCAACACCAATCGAGACCGGTCATGGCTGGGTGTATGTGGTCAAATACTCTCCGCAATGCGACAAATTCATGAGCGGCGGTGCGGACAGTATAATCCGCGTGTGGTCCAAGGACGGGCAGTTGCTCATCGAAATCAAGGGCCATGACTACGACGTGGCGTCATTGTGTTGGTCCAAGGACGGCGCACACATCTTCTCTGCATCATATGATGACACCATCCGAAAATGGCGGTCAATTAATGGAGAGGAGCTCGTCGTTCTTCGGGGTCACACCAACCACGTCAGATCCCTGTGTCTGTCCCCAAATGAAAATTATCTCATTAGCGCATCAGAAGACTGCTCGGTTCGCATCTGGGACCTCAAGACCAATCAGCCGGTCGGAGATCCACTCTTGCATGACGACGAACTCTTGGCTCTTGCCATATCCCGTGATGGACAATACATTGCTAGTGGTGGATTAGACGGAAATATCTATGTTTGGAGCATGGAGGCAGCGCTCGATCAGCGGGGTGGCAACCAAGTTGGTGTGCGTATGTGCATTGACGCCTTAAAACGTTTCTAACGGTTCTGCTTTAGAGCGTGGATGATGCCAATGCAAACCCTGACCCGAAATCTCAGGCAAGTCGGCCCTGCTCTTCTTCTCTTTACACTCGATCTCACCTTTTCCTAGGGGCGTCCAGTCCGACCGAGAGATGTGCGCCGATTAGTTGTGATTAACCTTGTCCTTCGCTCATTTATTTGTTCAGCACTTTCCCTCACACCCAATCGTCTCCAAACAGCACGCGAGTAACAAAGGCTCGGCGAAATATGTCAGTGTTGCTTTTCATTCCTGAGCTCTTTCGCGCCTGACACTGATATAGGGCAAAGACTTCTTCGCCAACGATACAAATTGCGCACCAGCTCCGCCTGCGAGTCCATCAGCTGTCCTTCATATTTTGTTCAGTTCATTACGTTTCCGTCCTCGACCAACAACGCGCGAGCCCCGACATTGGAATTTCAACTTAATTCCTGTAGGGATTTCCAGACGCACTATTGATGTAGCCGCTGCTCGTGATGAAGACGTGAGTTTTCTTGCTGTCGCTCTTCTTTCATTCCATTGAAACACACTGCAGAGGTACGGTATCACCCCTGAATCTGATGCGGAAGCTGCCGCAGCTCTGCAACGTACGAATGTCGACAACGAGGCCGACAGTTCAACGCAACCAGGTCAACCTACGCCGGTGGTACAAGGGTCTCAGGGACGACCAACAGAAAAACAAGGCTCAAGTGGTGGGACGGGAGACCTGTCTTATGAAGTTACCTGCTGCGGCTGCTGCGGATTTTTCTTTGGTCGCCGTCGTCCCACCTCGCATCAGTCCTGAGTTCATTTGCTGGAAGTCATTCGATGTTTTTCTCTTCTCTCTCGTGTGCGTTTAGGCGTTGTATCTCACTCCTAGCTCGTGCTGTCCTATGCAGATGTACATGATATTATTTTGTTAGATAGTTATGAATTGTAAAGTAAGGTAAAGGAATCATATGTAGATCTACGTTTAAACAAGATGTCCCGGTGCAAAGTGCATGCAGACGCAAACGCAGACAGAGGTATGCTTGAGGACAGGCGGCGTTACATTCCTCGGTGTGCATCGTACGCTCCTCGTCACCATCTTCCAGCCAACTCCCCGCGCGTCAGTGGTGAGCTCGCATTTGATGATGGGATCAATAAACAAAAGGAAACGGTGCTGGATGAAAACTGCATAGGGATGTAGTGTTGGATGAGGGCGTGTGCAGGTATGGTGCTGGTGCTGTGGAGGTGGTGCTGGGCCCTATGGATAATGCTGATACAATGCAACCATTTGGGAGCAGGAGGGAGGCATGTTGGAGAGCCTGGATGTAGTCCATCAACCTGATAGAGCATTGAAGAAAAAACAGCGGCAGAGAAAGTTGAAAACCAGGAAACAGGACGAGAAGTATTACGTCGCCTCCAAGCTTTTTCTCCATATTCCACCACGCTCCACCAACCACTTAACGAGCGATTAGACACGCATAGATGAGGCAGGCAGGCCAGCCTTCCCTTAGATGAAACGTTGGCTGAGATGTGGAGTGGCTTAGCCTGCGTTGCAGCGGCTGTGATTCACGCCACGATTCTAGACAGGAAAAAAACGATGCAACATGATCGTCGTGTGGAACGTACGGCACTTGAATCGAGTGGGAATGTGCACCAACATTAACTTTGACTCTCCCTAAATTTAAAGTTGACAACTTTCCTTTAATAATTAATGCCTGGGTTTTCCCAGATCAGTTTCGAACATTGTAAAGCAGGCTCTACTACTTGAGTCGCGAACTTCGACCAACGTTTGCTCGATGCCAGTGGTCTGGCTGGTCACTGCAGGTCGTGGCGAGTCACTTGCTCGCACTTAATGCAAGGTAGAATTTAAGGCTCGTCCTTTTATATGCTTGCGACGAGTCGATCCAGTAAGGATGGAATGTTGAGTGGGTAGTCGTGAAAGTTGGATGGAGTGTGCTGCATGAATATATCATCCTGAATGATTTTATTGAAAGTAGAGGTGTCAGCAGTGTAGTCTAATTTTCAGTCGCTACAATGACTTACCATGCGTGTTATCATATCCCGGCAACATTTCATGGCCTGGATAGTATCACACTGTACAGTGTACGCCACAGACACGCATCATCAACAGTAGGGTGAGGCGTTTGAGGGTAAGTGCCACGTCGTCGGTTATTCACTTTTGATCGACAAGCTCAGTAGGTCGCATTCAGGTCTTCGGGCGTGCAGAATATGCCGTCGGCGCTTCTCTCATGATACTGTGGCTTAATTCATAAGCTACCCTGCGACGAGCAATATCATTCACACAACTGAGACTCTTACCTGTCCTTCTCAAATTTGATGCAGAACTCACTTTGAACTCACTCAGATCTGAGACTGAGCCTGATTCTGACTAGGGTACGGGCGAAAACTCTCCGAGCAGTTAATAACATGGTTGAATAGCATGCTGCTCACAGGGAATTGAATGGCAAATAGTAAGTAATGTATGTATATATTTGGCTAAGTACTGATGTAACGTAATCATCAAACTTGGTACACAGTCACGTGCGATGCGAACCGTGATCTTGGACAAACCACAGCCTGCCAGACCGCGTCGAATGTGAAACTTAGACGGATGCTGAAGAGTCCGAGAAAGAAGAGTGTGACGGTAAGCCTTTTGAGGTGTAATACGTTCATATCATGATTAATAAACGAACAGCCATCACGTCCGCCGCGGAGGAATGGCTCAAGGCAGGCCAGTGTAAAGAGGGAGCCACCAGAGATCGACTTGAGTGCAATCAGACCCCCCAGTCCGACCGAGGACCCGCTTTTATTGAGTGCAAGACGTGCGGGGTCAACCGCAAGGTCTAGATTGACCCCTCTCTTCTCAAGCTCGTCACCGTATAGACATACCGATGTCAGGGATACCCAGTCAGCCGAGTGGACGGACACCGAATCAGAAGGCGAGGGCGAGTACACAGGTCGTTTCAAGATGTTTCACGTGCCCACGAAGGCGGACCCGCCGACGAGTGAGACAAGGGCACGCATGGAGGAGTGGGGTCGGCCGGTCAGCCCATTTCCTTACGAGGCACGACTGGACAGGAGCTTGCCTGATCCAGTGGATATGGAAGTCGCAGATAGTGAGAATGAGGACATGGAAGGAAATATTTTGGATGCATTGGATATCGAGAGCGTGTTTGAGGACATTGTGGAGGTGCCACCTGCGTCGGACGATCAATCTAGCGATCCGCCAACCAGTGATTTTCATGTCGGGGCAGAAGAGAGTGAGGATTCAGATGTGGACGTTGAAAGCAACGTAGTACGCATCACAGGCAGTGACCCAAAGGCTGCAGCGAGGGCTGCTGCGATTTTGAAATTAGTAAGTATCCATCTTTATTCGCCAGAAGTTCAAGTTTCTTAACCCCCTCAGCACGATTACGACTGTGTATTGGCTTCTTCTAAGCGTGCCGCTGCCCGGTCACGCACAACGTTCCTTGATGCAGGCGTCGGGAAACGTCGCAGCTCGACGCAGAGCCGGCGTGCGGTTCACAAGGAAGATGCGACGCCGTGGTGCAATGTCGAAGATATCATGCAGGACATTACCTTCATCGAGCAACATACGCCTATTAAAATGCCCCTCCGGGTCAGTCTTGGCCACAATGGACAACGAATGTCTCGTCCTTCGAGTGCAACATGCGCCCAACCTCGGTATAAGCCTAAGGCGGGCGAGTGGAGGCGTGAAGACTGGAAGCTTTTGGATAAATGTTTTTTCGAGGAGCGCCGTATCAACGGAGTCATCACTGCGTCGGATGAGGTTAACAGGGAGGCTGTGGTGATGAGATTTCAATCTCTTGCTGGAGGTCACGATGTTGTGACAGGGCTGGGTCCCCCCTGGAGTTGGTTTGTACTTCTTCGCTGTTTTTTCTTTCCTAGCTGAGCTGACACATACTTAGGGAGAACTTGTTAGCGAGAGTAGATGTGCTCATCAGAAAGCGGGCTGCGCGAGCCGATCTCTCAACACTATCCTTTGCTAGCTTCGTATCTCCGAATGCATCCACTCTGGCGAATTTCACCTCTACGCCATCCCCCCACACACCGCGGTACCGCGACCTCTTCGATGAAGCCAGTGCAATTGACACAACGAATATTCCCATATCTACACCATCTTACGCAGCTAGGTCTCAACCGACCATTGTACCACCAAATTATCTACCGGAAAAGACAGGTTTCTTTTCCAAGCTTCCAACATGGGCATCATTTCTTCCTCGCCGTGTACATATAAAACCTGATGACCACCCCGACTGTCCTCCCTTGCCTCCTCCGCCCGCAAATATCATAGACCGTCGCAAACCTATTTTGACACCAGCGCGGAAACTTTCGGAGCAGCGGAAGCCGCACAAGGATTTTGTGAATCTTCACCATACCACACCTCAACAGAAGCGTGCGCAGCTGCGCAGGAATAAGCCAAAGCGCCTCGTAGAGCTTCGTCACATATCGCCGGAGCCTGTCCAACGCGGATTCACAGGCGATTACCAGGCAAGACGGAGTAGCGGTGGTAGCGTCAAGGATTTGATCCAATGTTTTGAGGGGACGATTGATCTTGCCGGTGAAGGAGGTTCTATACGGGTCTCTCCAAGTGCCGTGCAGAATAGGCATCCTTGGAAACCATAACTATGCATTTATACTGGAATATTAAGATTATTGACTTTTAGATTGGGATTATAATATATAGTAAGAAGTTGGGAGGTTAACTTGATTGTTCTTGCACTCGATAAATAAAGCTTTTACATGTGTCAACTGAGCACTTTCGATGTAGCTCCTGCTCGCGATGAAGATATGAGTGGTTCCCCAACGCTCTTCTTTGAGGTGATTGACATCAATGTGCAGAGATACGGTATTGCTCCTCCCACCGAGGCAGAGGGGGCCGCAGCGACGCAACGTACGAGCGTCAACGAGGCCCGCATCAGTCATGATGTCGTCTACGTACTGAACCAAGGCTCTTTGCTCGACATGCGAATTGATGGCATTTGTTGGTTCTAATGTTGACGATAGTGGTTGAGGAAACACACTAGGGGCCCCAAGAGACATCGATATCATTATGCATTCCAGCGACAAGGACTTTGAATTGGAAAGTAAAATAAACCGCATACAAAACACATGCACTGATACACGCGACACGAAAGGTCTGGTCACTCTGGTGCACTAGAAAGACAGAGTTCATTGAGGGTCAGACAAGGGACAGGCTGCTGGATAAGTAATGCGTACTAGCCCGTGTCCACGAAGAACATGACCGACTGCCTCTAGATAAGCCGTCCAAGGTTGTCTACGGTTCACCGTGAGTCTCTCGTTTATGATAACGCCGTATTCACATCCAATCGTAGGCTGGTCGAGCATCATCTAAGAGGACGCTGTCTTGGTGTCACATTGCAAATCCCGCACGCGTATCTGGCATCGATTAGGAGGAAGCCCTTTGTTCCTACCTTCTTCTCAAGTGAGAATCTACGTGCGCTGCGGCTGCAGTATAGCACTCTAAGCGGCTATTCACGGCCGATAACTTCTCGCAGACGGTCAGGTCACAGGTGCCTGCAGTTCCCATCGGACTACAAGAGAGAGGACATGTCGCATAACGTCGTCGCACTTCCATCCGTCTGCGTCTGCACGATGATGAGTACATGATAGGGAGAGATGTCGATGGATGCTTGAATTCGCTGGTATACCGGTCCAATCTATGTGCACTTTCAGAACCCTTGGAATTTGCAACAACCGTTGACTGTTTTGTTGGAGTACGGAACATCTTTCAAGGTATCATGCCAGTGACAGCGGACCAATAATCTAGAAGGATCATAGAGTCGGTTTCGTTCAGTGAGAGGTCAACCGTTCACAGCGACTCACAGCCAGAACACTGTCTTGTCTCTTCGGCAACTGCGGTGCCGGTGGTGGGCAAAAATTGCTACCCCAAGACCGGCTACAAGGCAACTTGGATAAGCGTTCAGGCTTTGACTGTTCTCGTCATTAGTTCGGCACAGATAGTGGGTGAAGTCATTGGAGGTGGTGTGACATGTTGACTCCTTCCAACACCTGAAAGGTTCCACCTAAGTATGCATGGAGAGATATAATTATCTGGTGGATTGATGCTCATGCGCTATATGGAGTATTTCGAAACCCGGTGGACGGTCCGCTATGAATGGGGTTGAGCTAGATTTGCTTCCGCTGGCCAATTTGCTTCCAGCCTTCCATCTAGGCTCACGGTCCTTTGATATTACCATATCCTAGCAATGACAACCCACCTGCCATTCAAGTTACCGCAGTGGATGAGATGATGGGCGAGGGCGTTGGTAGATGACTTATGAGGTCTGGTATTAGTAGATACTAGAGATATGGGTGGAATGAAATTAAGCTGTGCAAAAACGAACTGAGTCGGCCGCGTTTCGTTCATCTTACGCCGTGTCACAGTCTGCCGCAGGCTCGCCAGTGCTAGTGCTCGTTTGACTCCGTGTTGGCTGACTCCTTGCCAGTGCCCATTGGCCTCGTTCCATCGTATAAATTTAGTGATACCCAGTACAATTTGCGTTATAAGTTCATTCTTTGGCGACTGGTTATACTTAGTCTTGCCATCACTCAACGAGTGGAACTGCACTAGAAACCAGTCGAGCTTACCTTCCCTTTGCGACACCCTTTCTCGCTTTCCTGGTCAACATTACCGTCACAAGTGTGTATAGATCTGGTGCGCTCCTTTCATCTTGTAAATGAAATCATCACTGACTATCATCATATCTACCAAAGGTCCGTCATGGCTCAATCAGGAGGACACTGGCACCCCAATCCACAGCTCATGCAGCAACAAGCCATTCCTCACGGTTGGAAAGGCACCTGGCCGCCACCAGCTGGTGTTGCTCTTCCTCCAAATTTCCCTGGCCCGCCACCTATGCCGCCTGGCGCCAACACTCACCCGCATTGGAAGGCTGGTTTCTGGCAGTATAACCCTGCACATAACATGAATGCAGGTCCCGGTATTCCCTGGGCACCCGGCATGGGGTGGGCTCAAAACGTCCCTGCTAACTTTAATCCCTACAAGCGCGTCCCGCGTCCCGCAAGTCCGAGCTACTGGCGGACACAGCTCTCCGACAATGGGCTTGGTTTGCAGGACATGGTCCCTGCTAGGTGCGTGCGTGATTTTGCCTTCAGATATGGTCTGGCTTGAAGGGCACTGTAGAACAGATCGAGATCGAGAGTCCACCAGAGATGTACAAGGGGATGCTGTGCCACAAACTCCGTGGATATGGAATCCTCCGAGTCTATTACCGACGGATGGACCAGACCGTGCAACCCCGACGAAGGACTTTAACAATCGTCGGAGCTCGCAAGATAGTAGTCGGAGTAACTCGACCCCGACCAGTTTTGGTCCCCCACGAAGAGGTTCGCAGGACAGCCACAACACCGCAAATACGGGCACACCTGTACGAGACTATTTTTACAGTCATCCAGCCTCAAGACAAGGTTCCTTAGACAGCCTCATCCCCCGCTCACAGGGCCTGAACCAACAAACCATCTCCTCATCAACTCCGCCACCACCATCCTCACATGGCCGTATGGGTTCGATTTACTCAAGTCGGACATCATCATTCGGACCGCAATATGTGCCTCCCTTTCCAGCTCCGCCATCTTCAGCTCCGTCTACATCAACGGCCACATCGTCATTGGCAACCCGCATACAGCAACCTCTTCATGCACCCATGTTCACTAGAGAGCCAGAGTCATTTACGATCACGGCAGACCTCCAACCTACATTCACATCCAATGCCGTGCGGACCCCTACTCACTATCAAGGGACACGCAGATATACAGATGAGGATCTCGACCATCCTTCACGCTCGTCTTCAGCGCCTCATGCGAGCGCTTCCCGTGGTCTTTCAGTGCCGGAACCCCTTTCGCGGCATCATTCACTCCCAACCACGTCCTCACCATCCTCCATGGGTTTTCTATCCGCGTTTACAGAGGATATGGCTAGTGTACTGAGCCCCCTAATCAATCCCGCGCAAAGATCTGTTGCTACCGGTTCGTTATCACGGAGTAGGACAGAGCCCGTGATTCCACCTGCCCATTTAACAACCATACCAGAATCTATGTCGTCATCTACCCATCCGAGCGCTGATGACTTTTTCTATCCTCTATCTGTACCTGCAGATTCTGACGAGGAATCGCCAGAACCGTCACCTTCGCGTGATCGTGTTCGCACGCGGGAGATGGAACGCGAACGGGAGAGAGATCACGGGCGACGTAGGGAAAGGAGTCAGGAATATGAACGAGCGAATCGCTTGACGCCATATAACACTAGCTCACGGCCAAATCCTCTCCCGCCACCCCCGATGGAGCGCCCCAACCCTGCTGCGTCTGCACCGCCTCATCAGTCCCCCGAGCCCGCACATTATACACGACGCGTACGAAAGGGGTTCTGGAACAGACGTGGTGACTACCTCACGGCGAATTCGTATGTCGTCTATGCACCAGAGGATAAGGCGTACCCTGCAGAGTTGCAGCACTACCCAAACGAGACGGAAGGATATAAAGATCAGTATGGTGCCTTTGTACCGTATTTGCTGGAGAGGCCAGAGTTACCTGCGAGTTTACCATACCATGGACGGCCTCCAGCGCAGCCGTATGACAGCGTGAGTGTTGTGCACTTCTGTTTGTCGATAACGTGGCTGATGTGACTTAGTTTGTCGTTTACAGTTATCATTGAGGACGGGAGGAATAATTTACTGATACTTGTTGCAAGTCATTGATGGGACACCGGAGCATGCATACACAGATCGATTACATTGTATAAGTAAAATTATAAATACTACTGACGGGACAAGGATCTTGACACAAGTACAAATCGCAGTGCACAACAGATGGTGGAACAAATGGAAACTGAAGCAAGCCTAGAGAGCAGGCATAAAATATGGTCGAAAATAAAAAGAAAGAAAGAAAACATGTCAACGAATGAGTGATCACAGGAAATCTACCCCGATTCCGCCATGCTTTTCTCGCATGTGATCGTAGATTCCATCCCCCTTGGGGAACGTTGCTAGACATTCCCAGCAGATGTGCGTTTGGCATCTAGTGCAGGTCATGTGGTTACAGCCCTCGCTGCGTTCTATAGGAGTCTTGCAGCCAGGGCAGTTTTTAACATCATGAGTGGCTGCCCATTCATGGTACAATTTGTCTTCTGCCCGGTCCCGCTCTTCGCAGGTGAGCCCATCATGAGCCTCTGTATGACAACCGGAACAGATGCGAACCAAACAAGATGGGCATTGGAGAATTGTACTGCTGCCAGGAGCTCCACGATAAACCTGAGCGCAATCTGGTGTCGGGCAGTGATGGAACTCGTCCGTCCGCGCGTGAACGTATGACCAGAATGAGGCTTCACACAGCGCGGCGAAATCCTCACCAGATAGGATCTTTCGGGCGAGAATGATAGAGATGCGTTCGGTACATGAGGCGTCAGCGCCAAGGCAGGTGAGAGGGAATGCCTTATTCTCGACTGCGGACACAAGGTAACTCTCAAGGCAAGACGTGCACCAAATGTGTCCGCAGGTGAGAATGGTTGGGACTGATGCTTCAGTGAAGCAAACAGGACAGACGGATTGGGGGGATGGCGTGGAGCTGTCTATATAGCGGCTTTGTACCTTTTCTACCGCTTCACAGGCGATGCGGTAAGCCTGCTCGTTGCCTCGTATGACCAGATTGCGCTGATTCGAGAGGTGCTGTACGTAGCAGTTCTCAGGACCGAGGGATTTCTGAAGGGTCAAGAGGCCTGTGCCGACAAATGGACCCACTGCCTTGCCTGATAGAGGAATGCGCCACCGCTGTTGCGCCTGTAATTCTTGGAACCGCGTCATGATATCTCGTCTTGCAAGCTGACGCTGTTCGATTGGGCCCAAAAGCAGAATTTTGCCCATCCGAGTTCGTAGTCCAATTCCAGGATATAGGCTCTCTAGCTCACGGAGGAACGACTGGCCGGATGGATGAGAGAAGTATCTGTCCCATATGGGTTTCTTCTGGAGAGTCACGACTTCACCATGTTGAAGTTGTTCGAATTCTGCTTTGGCAATCCCAAGATTGCTTAGGTTTTCCGCAGAAATTCTGATGTGAACAGGCCCATCAGGCGATATGAGGTGGTCAACAAGGGTCACGTCATGATTGAACCTTGTCCGCCACGACCACCGAAGGCGAATGATGTCTCCTTCCAGCATCTTGAACTTGCTCAAAGGCAACGAGAAATTGAGAGACTGCACGTGACGAGCGAATATATAGATTTTTCCTCCCATCGCACGAGGATGTTGGCCATCCAGATGATCCTTGGCATTGCTGGCGTCCGCATGGGTCTCAAAGGTTGCCCAAACGAGTACGGTGCCGTTCCAGATAGGAAGAACTAGATCGAAATTGGACAGATTGCCGCATGAGCGCAACATGCGAAGTACTGCATGGCGAGCGCTGTCAAGCGACTCATAATTGGGGCGCTCGAACACGATGGACTCTGCGTTGCCGAACTGCTCCAGATCTTTTCTCTGCGCATCGGGAGGAAGGTGAGAAAACATGACGTTGTAAACACCGACTGCGGGTAGGCCTTCGTACAAGGCGGCTGTGAGAACGTTGCCCTTCATCACAAATCCAGTGGCGGCTGCAATGGCAGCTTTGGCCTCATTAAGGGTTACGTAGCCTGCGTACCCAAGCCGCTGGGGCGCATTCCAAGTGATACGGACAGCGGTATCCCTGAGCACTGTGGTACCACGTGCGGTGGTGTTCAAAGGCAACTTCGCAGTAAGCTTTCTTCCCTGAAATTGCAATCCTTGAAGTTTCAGCGAAGCGTTCATGGCTTCTGTTGCGGTTGAAAATTGTGCTCTTATAGTCAGCCGGTTGGCGCCCTTTCCATCCGGAACGCACAACTCGTCGACTGTGCCGTATGCTTCCAAGAGAGGGCGGAGTTGAGATTCCGTGGTGTGCGGTGAAACATCTCCAATGTGTACCCATCGAGTTTCGAATCCGGTAGTGACGTCCTGTATTTCAAAACCGTTCCGAAGTTTTGCTATGGTGTGGTCTGAGATTGTTACTGGAATGTTGAAATCTCGGCGCGTCGTCTCCAATATGTTCTAGTAGCATATGTTAGGGAGCAATGTGTAATACCAAACATGCAGAACTCACGTCGTTGGGACGTTCGTGCGGGAAACGGCAGGCGGAACGTGTGCACCGACCACACAACCAATCATGACAAACTTTCGGTTGGCGACCATCGGGCTTCACAGGATAAGTTACAGAAATGAAACAGGGAGAAATAATCATACATTGCTGGATGGCTTATGCCGCGTAGTTTCTGGTGTGTCATTAGTCGAAGCCACCTGAGAATGCCGTTCTGAACCGCGGAATTTCATTTCAGAGGGTCGAGCTTGTGTCATAGAGCACTTAGCACTGCTGGACGTGACAGAAGATGGAGGTAGAATTGAGTCTGCGGGATCAGGATGAGATTGCCATACGGAATCTACGTTGAGCAGGAAACATACCTTGATCTGTGCCTCGAGCGCTACCGTTTCGAACTGATCCTTGATTCTTAACAGAACCATCTTGAGTTCTGCCGTTACGAGGTGGTTGATCTTTCACGGTATTGTCGGGAACTTGAACACGAGTGTTGCCGTCTCGAACAAGTCCTTGAGTCTTGACAGAACCGTCGGGAACTTGAATGTCGTCTCGAGTTTTGCCGTTTCGAGGTAGTTGATCTTTCACGGAACTGTCGGGAACTTGGACACGAACGTTGCCGTCTCGAACAAGTTTTTGAGTCTTGACAGAACCATCGGGAACTTGGATACCGTCTCGAGTTTTGCCGATTCGAGGTGGTTGATCTGTCACGGAACTTTCGGGAACTTGGACACGAGTGTTGCCGTTTCGAACAAGTGGCTGATCTTTAATGGAACGGTCAGGGACTTGCACAGCGTCTCGAGTGTTGCCGTTTCGAACGGGTGGTTGATCATTAACAGGACGTTCGGGAACTTGCACGACGTCTCGAGTATCACTGGTTCGAACAGGTGGTTGATTATTGACGAGATCGTCGGAACTCTGAGCAGTAGGTCATCATCATGCTCAAATAATAGTAGTATCGGACTTACCTGATGGCCGTGCACGAAAGGACACTCCGACCGACGACACTCCCCCTTCAGCCAACGCTTGCAAGTGAACTTAGAGGGGATTTTTTTATGGGCATAGTGGCATCGCGAGCCGCGATCACAGACACCAGCGAACCACCTGATGCACATCATATCCTTGCGCGAAGTCGACAAACCTCCTGTATCCTGCTGGCGGAGGGAATCAATACGGCTCAGTACCAGAAACCAAACGATGCCCACCGTAGAAGAATTCGATTGCGTTGGGGCAGTCGATTCTCTGAGAGACGGGTTTGGACTCGATGGCTGTAATCCCCCCCGAACGGATGGCAGCTTGACGCTATTTGAGGAAACTGGTGAAATTTGAGGCCCGGGGGTGTCTGGTTTAATCGTGACGGGGTCGATATCTGCGACTGAGATCTTAGGTCCGGGTGATTCCCGAGACCGCTCTCTACGAGTCATTTCCTGCAAATTCGATGACTAAATAAAATTTCCGGAAGCCCGAGGAGAGAGACAACTACCTTCGCCTTAGAAGATGGCGGAAGGCTGACGTGAATTGACACTGCAGGTAATGCGACACCTCGGCCAGCAGGCGACTGCAAACCCGGAGGTCGCTTGGGTTGTTCGGATGGTGTATTCACTGCTTGCGTATGGCCAGCAGGTTTAACTCGCATCGGTGGGTGGGTGTCCTGATTGCGTGAGTTGTCGTGATGAGACATGGGTGCTGGCAGAGTTGGTGTTTGCAATATAGGCTAAATAATTACTGATTAGTTTGTTCATATGAAGGAATAGTTGAATCATACTTGATCGATAGGAAGACGAGGTTCAACTTGATCAGTAGGTGATTGTGAATGTGAGGTACTCGGTGGAATGCCAATGTGAATGCCCTGGGCAGACAGAGCAGCCTTTATATCTGGCATCTAGCGCCCGTGAAAAATTGTGGCTCCGAAGAATGTGTAATGTGGACTTACAGGTTCACCTGCCGTTTTCGGACATGTCAACAATGGCGAACTGACGATGGAGGACTGAGGTTCCAGCCCCGAACTATATATTGTGTGTGGTCTTCGTCCAAACGTGGAACCCAGCTGCTTTGGAAAGGGAGAATAGTCAAGGCTTATATTTGGCTCACCCATCCTACGCCACGCAAATGAAGGTGTGTTCAAAGAGGGGTAACAGCCTGACTCACGGTGCCGCATACTGCTTCTGTAAGCGAGGCGGTAGTTGATAATTAGGAAAACAGGTCGAAGCTGCACGATGATAAGGCGGGGGGACCCGAAGTTGTCCATTAGAGTCCTGAATCTAGTTAGCGAGTGCGATGGAGTAAATATGCCAGCAGATGTACCTTTTTGCCTATGGAAGCTCCATGCCGTTGTGGCCCTCTATTATTACTAGGCACTATGCCAGTGATGGGTGTGATTGGGGGTTGTTCTTGTGCGTAAGACTGTAGATGTTTTTGACGCTGGGGTACATAGGCGTGTCTGTCCATTGTCTTGCCAAGTGGTCCAATATCGTCAGAATGACACCTGGGTGATGGGAAGATGTTTGACTCCCTACGGACATCCAGTTGCGCAAGCATAGCAGCTCACAGCGGAAGGTAGTCGATGTAAGAGTCAGTAAGACGCTGAAAGCAAGAGACTATAGTGATTAGCGGACCCGGTTAACATTTCATCAATGACAAATATTGGCGCGCAGAGAGGGGCATGGTAAATAAATAAATAACTAAATAAATAAATAAGCATTTACATGCACATACAAGAAGCCAGTAGTATACTGCAGCTTCGCCGCCTTGAGCCTCGCGCACACAATTGGCATGCCCCGTTAAAACTACTTCCAAGCAAGACAAGACTAGTTTAATGGTTTCGCGCAATATCCTCAGCCTGAACGTTTAGGGATGCATGGAGTGCATTGTGCTTTTGAATTGACGCAAAGAACTAATGATCAGAAACAGTACAAGACAGAATTGCAATGACGACGACGTTCAATAAGGGGTAGTTTGACGACAGATCCTATCGGGTATACGAGACACGCGAGGCCCAGCAAGTCGTCGAATGATCCGCGGGTCCAAATAGTCATTCCTTTGCAGAGGCCTGACGTTCGAGACAGGCGACACATTCTCTTCTAGGTGAGAGTCGAGACGCCATGAACGTTCTTTCGGCTGCACCTTTTGTGAACCATGGAACTTGGGTAACAGTTGACTTCTGATGCGGGAAACTGCGACGCTAGTCTGCGACAGTAACATCAGAAAAATAAAAACAACGGAGTTTCAAGCCTTGAGGTACCATGAGAAGTGACGGTACCACTTCCAAAAGACGCCAGAGGAATACCAGGAGACTGGTTGCGGCTTGAAAAGTCTTGAGGCCGAGCAATGATGCTAACATAGGGACGTCAGAAAAAAGAGCGCAGAGTATAGCAACACAAACTGGGTTCGACAAAACGCAAAAGCCACTGCAGATTAAATAGCCATGCTTCGTGTTTTGACTTGCGTTGAAAGTCGTCAATGAGGGCAAGGGCCGTCTGATTGATTGCTTCAAGTTCGCGGTGAGTGGCTTCCGTGAGTTGGGAGATACTGTTGTCAAGATGTGAAACAGACTCTGCGACCTCTCGCTGAATCTCTTGTGCATGCACTACTTGGGAAAGAGAGGTCTCCAAGGAGAATGTAAGCCCTGCGATCACGCTCTGCAGGTCGTGGAAGGACTAGATTGCAGTTGTTGTCAACCTGCGACAAAAACAAGAGAATTTCGGTCACATCACGCATAGCAAAGAAAGTCGCGTCAAGCGCGGACCATTTATGCTGAACTTGGTCCTGGGGGGTCAATCAGAAGAATGTGACGCAAAATATTTAGAATACCGCACCGCCACTGCCCGAGATTGAAGGCGTTGCTCTAACATCAATGATGCGATTTCTTCGATTTCAGCGGTCAAACGCGATTCGACGAGCGATAGCAACGACGACATGGCTTTTGAATGCTGTGTGTTCCTTCAGGAACACTTTGAAAACTAATAGAACGAGAGCAATACACTTGATGTCATCTCATCAATCCTCCGGTCAACCTGGGAATGTTAGCTTTCATAGAGAAGCCGTAGAGGAGTTACCTTGTCTAATGAATGAATACGATCATCGAGGCTGCGCTGGTTAATAACTGACAAGGTAGTCTCCATCTTTGTGAACAGCTGCAAGCAGGTCGTACATAATCCGTGCCTAAAACATCAGACGGTCACCCACTGATTCCGCATTTTGACTGATGGAAGCGGACGTCACATCTGAGACGTCGCGTATATGACTGCTAGTCGACTTCAACACACTGATGAGATCGCCCAGGTCCTGTCGGAGATCATCAGTTGCGCAGTTATGCTTATTAGAGGATTGCGCTAACTGTAGATGATCGCTCCCAGTTCTGGCGCGCAGCTGTGAATCCCTTCTGCTGTTCCAGGATAAAGCGAATTAGAGTGAGTTTCTCCAACGTTATGTTTCTATAGATATCCTTTGCGGTGTCTAGGGGGTGAAACGTGAGGGAAGCAGCTACCATCTCCGCTAGAGCGCACCAATTTCCATCCAACGACGAAACGCAAAACACAGCTGGGCTGATCGCAATAATAATAATTAGCAGAACGGCCAAGAGATGACCCAGTCTCACGGATTTCTCGCAGGTACCCGGAGTAGCTAGACCAAAACTGGGCGCTCCGGGACAGTGCGCTAAGCATAAATCAGCGTTCGCCTATACCCGATTTACAGTGACGTACTCGACACAGTCACCTACCGCATGATGCGGGATGTGTGATCCGACATTGTTAGTAAATGGAGAACACTCGAGAGGTGATGTATGATGGCGGGCTGTGGCAAGTTCACATAGAGTGAGCCTGATAGCGACTAAACATATTATGAGGAAGGTCTCGAATCGCGCACATCGGACCGAGAAAACCTTGTATGCGTTCATCCTCGCTCATGTGAGACTCCTCGCAACGACCTTGTGCGTGCTTTGCAGCGTCTTGAAAACAGTCATTTTTGCGCATATATCCATCGAATGCGCCTACAACTTGTGAGATTTCTATCCATTGAATGCAAAGATCGGGATCACCAATGTGTTTGGAAATCAGGTCGGTCTCTTCGTGGGATAGCTCAGCTGTGGAAGAGAGCATTATACATCCACGATAATACAGAGACCATAAGAACTACCATATATCTGAGATGAAAATGCGGGAGTATCATGCTTAGCAGACTGAATGATGCGTAATTGATCCGGAGATTGACGTGACCATGACCAGGCGATGCAGCACCGGACGAGAAATGTGAATGCAAAGAGCCTGGAAGCCTTTGACATCGGCCTGTTGATATATAATTATGCGTGAGTGAGAAAATTGTTGGACTATCGGGATCCTGATCGAGGGAGTAGAGGCGAGAGACAGGGAAGTTGTACAATGTCCGATGGTAAATGCCGACACCATCATCATGTGATCCGCTGCCATCTCGCGGGAGTCGGAGCTTCACGAAGGGTAGCAGGCCGAGCCCTGCCACTGATGTGGGCCATTTTTTAATATCAGCGCTAAAACTACGGACATAACAATATAAATAATTCTTTAAGTCTCGCGGAGTCCGTATTTTGAATTTGAAACAAAGTCGGTGCACTGCAGGGTGTGTCATGGCAAGAAATGGTACAGCTGGCGTGCAGTGCACGCACGCACAATCTGCACTGGAAAACTAAATGGCCATGTTCAACGGCTGTGGCTTGCTGATCGCCGCCTGTGAAAGTCAAATTAGTAGGCTGTGCAGAGAATTGAAGATTTTTATGTGAATTTGTCAAAAGCATCCGCTGAATCTCTGATACTGGACTGTAGCACTAATGAGCATGCTCCAGGTTGAGTACCATTCGACCATTGTACAACAGTCGGACCGAGTCATTAACACAATTTCTTGTAGACTGCCTGCACACGTCGTGGCTGCTTTCGGTTCACTCTTTGTTCCCACTGTCTGAATCCTCCTACCAAGTATATTGTGTGTGGCTAGGGAAGATCATGAAGCAGTACTTCGGTTGATGAATTATCTGTCCATACAATCTCGAATTTATGTGATCTACACAATTATAAGTTGTCTATAGGGGCAATGTTCGTTATATAAGAATATAATTAAGGGTACGAGCGTTATGAGCAATTGGAGACAAGACTAAAAGATGAGACCCAAGAATATATGGAATACAATATGCAATCTAAAAGCTAACCTCGTCATACAGTAATGCGTGTGGATGTAGGAAACATAAATATCGACAATCGATGACCAAGGCTTACCGACGATCCTCGCCTCTTTTCCTGGAGCTAGAAGAACCTGAAAGCAGTTTTTGCTCCCACATGGCGTTTCCCTCTCCCTCTACCCAATCTCCCGTTACCGGATTTCTTTCAAAGTCGCCATCCCTATATCCATATCGCTCCTGCAGTATTTTGAGGAGAGGGTTACGAAGGGCAGGGTCCATACGGACGGCCTCTCCAGGATGGTAGCTGCCAACACCATGACGAGACAAACTTTCTTCGAAAAGTGCCTCGTCGTATGAGCAACCACAGTTTAGATAACCAACAGGAGCCATACGCGGTGGGTATACTCGACGCTCCCGACGCGAATCGTGCCAGGAGCATAACGCATTTCCAGCGCGATTCAACGAGCAGAAAAGCCGTGTTCGAGCCTCTGTCCGAGCTTTCCAGGATGCCTGCACAGCTGGAGGAGTGGGCATTGTACCGGTCACTGCAGAGGTAACTGCACCCGTGGACGGGTCTGGGTGTCTGATTGAAGGGCCGCCGATGCTGCGGCCATCTAATTCTGCTTCAAGTTCCCTAATGCGCTGGCGAGCTTTCTCATTGACTAGCTCAAGTTCCTTCACCTTCTTTCGAAGTTGTTTGTTTTCTTCTTCCGTGGCATCCTGTGAAGGACGGCGAGACTGTTCGAATGACGTCCGAGATCCTGGCCGGCCCACCATGGCGGTGGGAGAATTTTGAGGAGAACGGTCTTGTTGGAATGTCATTTGACTTGGGAAGGTGTGCGCAAATGGCGGGGACCTTGCAGTATTATGACCTGTGGTAGGAGTGGTGTTATATGGAATAGTGGGATGAATGTGGGATTGCATGTTTGGCGGAATATTGGACATATTGTGAGCACTAGATGCCCAAGATGTGGGTGCATTTGAGTACGAAGATCTGGTTGCAGGGTTCCATAGATGCGGGGGGATATTCATGTCCCCGACGGCACCAGACAAGCTTGACGTTGGAGCCATGGTGGAACCAGATGCTTGTGGGCCTACATCCATGCTTTCGTGAGACTGCGAGAGCGAGAAGTGCGTTCTGTGAACATGGCAGTGAGGCCAGAGAGAGGCGACTCACTTGGACAAATGCGCTTGGCAGTGCATAAGGCGGTGACTGCACGATGCGTTGGCCATTGTCCACAGACCTCCGACCAGGGACGTCCGCTTGAGCAAAGAGCATCCGACTAGGCGTCCCCCTTGAAGAAAAAGGATGGGACATGGTCGCGCGGCGATCAGACACTTTGCGAGAATCCCTTTTTGAGTGAGCCTGTCGAAGGCTTGAGGATTGCAAGTGCGTTCGTCTTGAGTGAGCGCCAGGAGAGGAAAACCGCCGAAGGGGAACAGGGGGAGACGAAACAGTGCGATAGTATTGAGGATTTGAGAAAGTGCAGGTAGAAGTTGAGGGTAAACGCCAGTCGGATGGCGTGTCTTCTATAGCCTCATGCTTGATATCCACGGAACGACCACCCTGGACGCCTTCGAGCCGATTAAATGTATGGAACATGTCTACCAGGCCTAGGCAGTGTTGATCACGCGACCTTTAGCGGGAAAGGCAAAGATTGGAGGAGCTAGAGCCTCAGTAAGTAAAGCAACGGACAGAGCCTCCAGGACAAAAGAATGGTCAAAGACTTTGGGATGAGTGTCGCGACGAAATTGTTAGTAGTTGCGAAGCAATGTGTGATACAACCGCAAACTCACAGCATGACTTGACTTGACGACTTCAAACACAACATCTGCGACGGGCTGTACGGGAGCATTGATCACACCTCCGAAGACTACCATTGCTAGGCTAAGCGCCCTATCAAACTTTTTTTGATGGCCAGTTATAAACACCGGACTTCAGTTGGAGATCACGGCATGCAATCATCGACGAATGAACTGCAGTGGCACTGCCCGCCATAGGTCGGGAGTTCTGCATCATACTAGCGGATGGTAGCCAAGTTTGAGGTATAGCTTATTTATATGCGTGGAAGTCATAGTCGGTGGTAATTGCCAACTGGGAAAGTGTTGTACAAAACTGTGTCCTGAATCCTGATTCCTGATTCCTGAAAGCCCAATCAACGCACCTGGGACGCACGCTGATACATCTCCAATACGGTTCGACGGTGCGTATGTCGGGGCCATGGATCTCCTGGACGACCATAACAATACGAGTTGTCCGGAGTTGTTTGTCTCTTGCAGATCATTGAACGGCATCAGACGTGGCACCCCCGAGTCGACGCCGATCTTCGGACATCGGTTGGACAACTCGGATTAGAACAATTTAATGGCGCGCGCCAAGTTGTCGTCCAACTGCAGTTTACACAACAACTACATCAAGGACGACGATATCGATTCGATAAACAACAAACCGGTTGTAACTGGGAGAGTGAAAAAATCTAGGGCGTTATTTCTGCTAACAATATTTGCCATGAGGAGCACCACAGGCAGTGTCGATGTTGCATATGCATGCACCAATTAGTGTGACCTATGCGCTAGATGCTGTAATGTATCATCCACCATCATATAATAGCCAGTTGGTCGGAGTATCATTGAAAAGAAACGATGATGGACAATAATAATACACACCAGAAGCTCACACATGGCAAATATCAATGACCTAGAGTATCCATAGAAGCAAAAAAAAGGATGCTGGCAGTCAATCAATTATAGCCACAGCTAAACTCATTCGGAGGGCTACAGTCATGGAGCCGGATTTGAAGTTGATTTGAGTGACTGAACAACTCGGATTTCAGGCCTTCAAGACCACGCGAGACCTATAGCTAGGCCGCCGCCTGCTCCACAAGTTCTGATACAAGATTCTACCCCCAAGAATCAACACTTTGCGGCTCACTTCTGGTCCCTGGAGCATGTCAGTGACTCAGTGAGTACTTGGTCCTTCAGGGTCGTATGTCTCGCCAATTAAATGTTTGCTGTTTATTCCACATGTGACTGAGGTTGCAATTGTCGGGGTAAGTGTGATTGTGATGCCGACTCCCGCCGAAGTGCAAACAGAAGCTCCGAGTCACACCCGAGCTTGCTTCATTGACTGAGACATCCTGCGTGGTATGGTAGGCCTATATAGGACGTCTCTGAGTGGCGATGACTGCAATTAGTTGGAAATGGGGTGTAGTGTATTGGTGATTTCTTGCAGGGTGACGTGCACGTGAAGGATTGTGGCGAGTCTCTATTATGTAAAGTGCATTAGTTCCTGCGTTTCGTTGGTTGCGGTACCGCATCTAAATCGCCCTCCTTAAGAAATACTATCTTGATATTCAGCAAGTCAACGGACTACATCCATATCTTTTTGTATGATTCCTGCGGTCCGCGGATGATGGCATGATTCGCATTCGGCTGCATATCTAGTTGTCGATATCTGGGATCGTGCTGATAGGAGTCATAGGACCGCCGCTGATCTGCTCATAAAACAAAACTGGACTGGATCGTCACGCTTTCACCGCTCAGGCTCCCGATCAGCAAGCTAGGTACGGCGCCCACCTTATCGCACATCTCTTCGCTTGCGGGCCCACCTTAGCGCGTAACAATGAGATGATCTTGCGCTGCACTGACAACCATTTCTCGAAAATGAGATCACAAATGGGGGGTTAGAGAATTCCAGACCCAACCGAGAGCATTCCAGAGCACTCCAGATTACATCTCGAATGTAATTCAACTAGCGGCAAAAGGTCGCTGTGTCAAGGAATCCAAGAAACTTCTTTTGCATTGGAGGTGTCAAGCGTAACGGTCTGACGTAGTATGTAGTCACTGCGGAGATATCTATAAAAAATTCCTGCGTAGGACGTACATATAAATGATGTTACAATCACAGGTTTGAAGAGCAACTCACTCTCATATCTCATACCTCACCAACAACAAGCCAAGTAGCACCATGTCGTACACGTTCCGTGGTGTCTTTACAAATGTCGGAGACAAGTCCCTCGTGTTGACATTGAAGGACCACAAAGTTACTGTGGCCAAGTTTGTCGAAGGCGATAAATGCCAGACGGTGGGTAGCCATTAAGGAGAAATATTCCGAGACTGGTGCTGATAAGTGATGTCAACAGTGGGAGATAACATTTATAGGAGACAAAGCGGAGGCGCCGTTGCTGAACAAGGGTTCAGGCAAATACATCGGATGGGACGTCAGTCTGTCTGCGAGATACAGTGTTCAATGATATGATTTGAATCTGACCTATTTTCCAGACGAGCTTCACTGAGGCACTCAGTGTCTCAGATGACCCAACTTATTTGTGGCAGTATGGTCCTGGAGTAGCGGATCTGGTTGGCGGGAAATTCCAGTGTGTATCAGAATGTTGTTTGAACCTATCTCAGGCTGCTGATCACGAATTGTTTCGACGATGGGCAGTTTCCGGCCCATAGCTCTCACAGTCGGCCCCGAGGTCTACTCCTTGGTCATCAATAAGACGAAAAAGGTTAAACGGCATTATTTTGTTGTACCACGCGTTTCCTGACAATGCACCTGTAGACTCTCGAATTCGTCAAGAGACAGCCCATTGATGACTATGCGGAGTGGACGTTGTCTTACACCGCAAGAAGTTAGTTAGGATGCCAGTCAGATGTGTTGCGAGCGAGCGTGGGCTGCCAGTGATGTAAGATATCTAGTGATGGAGATTCCCGAGGCTGTCCGAATTGTTGTTGTGCCATGACAGAATGTATGGATTCAAGTACTGTCGATTGCTAGTGAGCACCGGTTGAGCGCCTCCTGCACTTCGCTACCCATCAAGATGCAGGCCCCCGGAAGCTCCCTATGATGTTTGCACGCCAACACCCTCCAATTGAATGGCGCTTTAACAAACAGTCGCCTATAAGTGCCTTCTTTCTGAGGATGAATCAAGATGTTTAATTGAGAGGCGTGAAGGTCGAATGCACGTTGCAAACACGCACTTCACAGATGAGCTTGTCATCAGTCTACTTTGGACATTGATTTGACGATTGGAACAACATACGCGCTCGTTGTCCAGCTGCAGTTTACACGACGCTGAATCGATAAATGACATAAATTGATTGTAACTGGGAGAGTGAAAAGTCTAGGGTATTATTGCTGCGATCAATGCTATGAGGAGCACCACAGGCAGTGTCGATGTTGCATGCAGCAATTATTGTGGCCTATGCGCTAGATGCTGTGACGTATCATCCACCATCATAGCCAGTTGGTCGGAGTATCATCGAAGAGAAACAATGATGGACAATAATACACACCAGAAGTTGAAACATGGCAATAATGATCTGAAGTATCCATAGAAGCAAACAAAAACAAGGATGCTGGCAGTCAATCAATTATAGCCACAGCTAAATTCATATGATACTGAATGCAAAAAGTCAACTCATTCGGAGAGCTAAAGTCCCGAAGGACCAAGTACTCAGCGACATGTTCCTGAAGTGAATCGCAATATGTTGAGTCTTGGGGGTAGAACCTTGTATCAAAATCTGTGGAGTAGGTCTCGCGTGGTCTTGAAGGTTTGAAATAGTTCAATCACTTGATCCGACTTCGGTTTCACGGTCGTATCGACGTATGTCTCTCCAGTGTTTTCCCTTTGGAAGAAGGGCGCTGTATTATTGGATGGGCTGAATACAGGGTCACGATGCAACACTGTCTGATAACGAACCTAGACTCGTCCGGTATTTCAATCTGTCCTGTCTTGAGATCGATCTTGATGAGTTTCGTGATTTCCACGGCTGGACGGTCAGGACATCTGAAATAATAGCCACGTCAATTAATGTCAACTGCCTGAGGTGCGCTGTTCACACGAACATCCTAAAGATGCGAGGGATAGGGAAGCACCGAGGACGAACTTCTCCACTTGGAAGCTCTTCTGGTTCACATGTATATTGCACTTGAAGACACACGTCGCTAGTTATTCAAGAACGTATCTGCAGGGAATTTGTCATACCTATTTCCAATAGACGACATTTCTTTCTCTCAGTCACCTCGTCAGATTGTTCATGGAAGGCCATGTGCATGAACTGTGAGAGAAGATCTGGAGGACGTCAGATAGAGTGGGGACTCTCTCATGGTCAAGACTGAAACGGTAAACTCCCACGCACCTCGTATGTAAGCTTTCTTGATTAGCGCACGTGGGTTTTCTAGATAAAAAGTCGCAGCCATCAGTTTCTCATCTGGTTTCACTCATTTTCCTTCTCCCATCATCTCCTCAGAAACATTTTAACATGGTCTTCAAAGTAGCAGGTATGATAGTAATTTTCGGTCCAGTTGTATCCATCCAAACGATCAATTTCTGTAGACGTCTCTCTCGCAGCGTTCGGTCGCAAGGAGATCGAGATCGCCGAGGTATGAGTTTCGCCCTGCTGCTTATCGCGATCGCTCGTTGACCAATCTCGTGTCTTTTAGAATGAAATGCCAGGATTGATGTTCATGAGGTCAAAGGTAGTTTGTGCGAGCTCGCAAATGAATTCCTTTTTGATGGCACTACCTTCAGTACGGAGCTGCTAAGCCACTTTCTGGCGCTCGTATTGCTGGATGTCTGCACATGTGAGTTATAACAATGATTTATTCTTGCGGAAGTCCTTATACTCTGCAGGACCATTCAAACCGCCGTCTTGATCGAGACATTGACTGCTCTCGGTGCTGAAGTCACCTGGTCGTCTTGCGTAGGTGCCCATGGTTACGTGATTATCACGAGGCACTCATTTCCATTGGCAGAATATCTTCTCGACCCAAGACCACGCTGCTGCTGCGTGAGTATATTATAATCCGTGATATCAGTGTCCTAATCTTGACTTTATAGTATTGCCGCAACTGGAGTTCCTGTCTTTGCCTGGAAGGGCGAGACTGAAGAGGAGTACCAATGGTGTATCGAACAGAGTCTTGCTGCCTTCCCCGGCGGCAAGCCCTTGAACATGATTCTTGACGACGGAGGTGATCTTACCACCCTTGTCCACGAGAAATACCCCCAATACCTCAAGGGTGAGGATTTTTCATATCGGTCTATGTGAAAACACATTGTTAACCTTCTCGGAATAAAGACATCAAAGGTCTTTCTGAGGAGACTACTACGGGTGTCCACCACCTGTACAAGGCTTTCCGTGAAGGCAGGTTGAAGGTCCCAGCCATCAACGTCAACGACTCCGTCACGAAGTCCAAGTTCGACAACTACTATGGATGCCGGGAATCCCTTGTTGATGGTATAAAGCGCGCCACTGATGTCATGCTTGCCGGCAAGGTCGCTGTCGTCGCCGGTTACGGTGATGTCGGCAAGGGTGTGAGCATTTTTTCTCTCGTTTTCGCTATCTTGTTCATGGTCATTTTAGTGCGCTGAATCTCTGCGCTCGTACGGCGCGCGTGTTTTGGTCACGGAAATTGACCCCATCAACGCGCTGCAAGCTGCGATGGCTGGTTACGAGGTGACGACCATGGAGGATGCTGCTCCGCGCTCAAACCTCTTCATCACTACCACTGGTAACCGTGATATCATCACTGCCAAGCACTTCTTGGTCATGCCCGAAGATGCCATTGTTTGCAAGTGCGTACAATTCACCTTACCTCGGTGATGAGAGCTAACTATTTGATAGCATCGGTCATTTCGATGTTGAGATCGATGTTGCATGGTTGAAGGCCAACGCCAAGCAGGCTGTCAATGTGAAGCCTCAAGTTGACCGTTTCACAATGGCTTCTGGCCGTCACATCATCCTCCTTGCCGAGGGTCGTCTTGTAAACTTGGGGTTGGTTATTCCAAATCCTACTTTTCTACTTCGTAATTGACCTATGGTGAATTACCAGTTGTGCCACCGGTCACCCGTCCTTCGTCATGTCTTGCTCCTTCGCGAACCAGGTCTTGGCCCAGATTGCTCTCTGGACCACCCCTGAGAAATTCCCCCTCGGCGTTCACATGCTGCCCAAGGAGCTGGATGAGGAGGTCGCTCGTGCTCACCTTGCTCAGCTCAACGTCAAGTTGACTGAGCTCAGTTCCGAGCAATCCAAGTACCTTGACATTCCTGTTCAAGGCCCATACAAAGCTTCCCACTACAGGTTAGACAAATACAACTTTTTCATCGTACATTGACCAACCACTTCAATAGGTACTAAGCGTATCAATTGCTGCATGACGGCCTCAACGTGCCCTCGCTAGATAAGAGGAGACGGGACCTTCAACGTCCTTGTTGGTTGGATGTTAATTATGGAAGAGTCTCAACGCTCTTTGTCGAGGTTGACAAAAAGGCTGGCTCCTTGCTGGGCCATTGCTGGAGATTCACTATACTTGAAAGACTTGGCTTCTTGTAGTGCACTGTGGCGGGACAGGGCAAGCCATGCGGGCCTCAACGTGCCCTATCTTATATAGTGTAGCATATATCTATGCAATCGAGATGAGATGAAGATGTTGATTTGCGCAGAGATCGGCTTAGCGATCGTCGGATCATTTGGGTTTCTATCAGTTATCTGCGGCGTTATGGTTGTACTGACTCGTCTGCACACCAATTTAGAGCGTCGGACGCGAGTACATTGGAAGAGATCCAAGAGACCGAATACTATCACCTCCTGCTTTGGAGTGGGACTTTGTGGGATTGCCTCGGTCTGACAATGAAATTGGGCGCCGGAATCATCATTGCCTCAGAGTCTACATCAAATCAATCTCACGGGGATTTTGGTGCCACTCATTATCCCCGAAGTCGTGTCATTGGTAATGGGGCATCGCAATGATTGAACCCCGAGGACTTGATTCGACAATCAAATGTGGGGGGACGGAAGGAAGAGCTGCATTGACACGCATAATCCTACACAGAAACAACCCGCAGCACACCCTTTGACGTGTGCAGTGATTTTACACGAAACTAGCAAAGAATGCATCGAAAACCATGAATTTATCGCAAAGCATTGGCATCAAAGATAAACAAGTCATGAACTGTTCTCGTTACGCTTGAGCGTCCCGGACGACAAGCTCTTTGATGCGTCCCTCAGCGAGGTCGTACATCCATCCGTGCACGGTCACTTTTCTCGTGTTCGGGTCTGCCCAGGCAGTGGTAATCGGCTCCGATTTGCAGATATTGTTGACCTGCATGATGACATTGGCTTCAACGACTTTGTTCAGCGCCTCACTCGCAGAGCACGCGGAGAGGTCGAGAGATCGAACGAGTGTGGTGAGGGGGCTCAGCCAGCGCGTGAGCGGGGTGGACGCGCCGGGGTTAGCGGCTGTCTTTTTGGCTGCTTCTATGCAAGCCATGGCACCTCCACAGTTGGTGTGACCGACGAGAACGACTGTTGAAGGCGTATACACGTTTAGAGGGAAAAATCGACCTCAGCAAGAGAGCAGTAAGAAACTCGCCGTGTTCAACACCAACTTCTTTGATAGCAAAAGCGAGGACAGAGAGGGCGCTGTCATCGTGGAGGTGGAATTGGCTGCAGGGACGGGTTGTGAGTATAACGTGGCCAACTCAAAAGTATGATAAGTTTTGCTGATACGTACTTGGCAACGTTTCTGTGCACAAATATATCACCAGGCTTAGACGCTGTGATAACAGATTCTGGCACGCGCGAGTCAGAGCAGCCAATCCAAAGGATCTGAAAATGATCTTTGAAAAAGTGGCTAAAAGTGGAATACGCGATGGACATACCTTGGGGCTCTGACTGGTGGCTGACCGAGCGAAAAAATCGGGCGTGTTCTTCATTATGTTCTGCGCCCACTCCTCATTGGCATTGAGTAGGGTTTGGATGGGCTTGTGGGACATGCTGCGGAGGAGTGGGAGGCGCAGAGGCAGGACGAAGAGGTTTTGAAGGCTGGTTGGGGCACACAAGTATGTGGCCCCAAAAATTGGCTTGAATCTTGACAGCACGATGACTGCCACTGAGTATAGTGATCAGCTCAAGTACGAATGGCAGGAAACGAGTGGAATAAATGTGCATGGATGATGTGATCAGTGACTCCGCGTGAGTTGTGGCAATTACAAATCGCATAACTAAATATTGGCATATCCATTTTAGTTTCCTCGGTCATCATACATGCGTTCAATCCCGTCCGTAGCATAGTAGACTTTTCGATGCCGTGCCCACCAAACAGATCGTTCTCGACATATGACAACAAGTCGAAGTGTCCTACCTTTTATGAGTAGGAACAACTAGTAGGGGAGACTAGCCCGTACCAAAGTGTTGATGAAAGGAAGCAACAAGCAAGCCTAGATAAGTACTATATCATGATATGCATCCATCTATAATAAGTAATGTAGCTTATACTCCATGGGGAGTATGATTTTGAAATATTCGACCGCAGATCTCTCTGATCAGCTCATGCACGTACCTTTGCCTCGTGTCAGCGACTGCGCCCGTTGATTATCGGATCATGGTCACGGCCCCTCAAACACCTTGAACTTGTCAAATGGCCTCTCTGGATCAAGGTAGTTTTGCGCCCAAACACCGTAGAGATTGGATTAATTACAACGTCGTTTCGAAAACCGACGTACACGTCCGCACCTCAGTCACGGTGCTCATGAATCTGGGCTCGTTCGATGTCACGAGCCTCTATCAACAGACCTGGTCGTTGTTGCGCCTAGGAAATACCCCGGTTAACTGCGATTCCATGGAGGTTTTGTACCAAAAATCAGTTGTCCTTAGGTCTAGATCTGTACTTGGATGGTCCGATTTTGTTGGTTGTTCCCTGTTGCTTAGGTCGCAGCGGTACAGATGGAACATGGAACCTTGGGGTTTCAGTGAAGGCTACTTATTTGATGATTGGGGTAGAGTTCAAGCTTTGGTTTGCATGCTGATGAGCCCATACTACACGAACTCGCTGTCAACGTTGACACCCTGTTGACGTTTCCCCTTTCTTCGCTGCCATGTGTGGTTCATCACGTTCCTCACCTCGCCGACGTTCCGTCAACGTTATATCCCCTTATGTCCCTCGTCAATCCATCCTCAAATACGCAACCTCCGCAAAATTCCCACAGCATTCCATAATTCAATGATTACACGACTATCCCCCGGGCAGCATATAACCCCCGAGGCTGCTGAGGCACCGAAATTCACGTTTTCGGAGCGCATCTGCCTTCCAAATGGCCCCTTTTTCCGGGAGTGACAAATTATCCAGAGACACAATTCTGGCGAGGTCGCTCGTACATTAAGCTGATGGCAGAACATCCATACTGTCGAGGTGAGGATATGTTAAGCAAGATCAATCCTTACTAGATGGCACGCTTTTGAAGTTGTCGGACGACTCTGCAAGCTGTTGCATGCCACAGATGTAGCTTGAAACGATGATGCTGAGGCAAGTATCTTATCGTTGTGCACCGTGGACATAATACTCACGATCGTGCAGATCTGCATTTACTATTTCTATACGAGCATACAGTGCAAGAGCTGATGAATATCAACGGTGCTTGCATTATCGGAGCGACTCTGTATACCATGCCCGGTAGCCTGATTAGAAGTGGGTAAGGTGACACTTGAAACCCAAATGATCCACGCACTCCCGCCATTCGTAGGCGCTGGTGAGAACGGTTATCCTGAGCATCATTACAAGCACACATTTGAGGACACTATCTTGTACGTCCAGAAGCACTGTAGAATGCAGTGTGTAATCTCTCATTATTTGCGTCCTCCTAGAGTGAACGGATAGAGCTTCGTGCGAGTGGCAGGCAGGCAGTGACAGTTTGTTGTCCAACCAGGTGTCCGCGGGCCGTTTCCCTCTGGCGAGGATTTCTTTGTGCGCAGTATATTTATCCTAACGTTCCAAAGGCGATTACAATAATAGAGAAACTAAACTAGACGTCGGCGATACATACTGATTGCCACCTAAGTGACTGGAACGAGAAACTCCTAGTCACAGATTCCTTCAGTCGATTTGCTCGGTAGAAGACAGGGACGTAAGATCCGACCCGGCGTTTGCAAGAGAAAAGTTTTGCGAATTGGAGTCGGGGAGACAGTGAGCGTAATACAATTGCAGGATAGAAAAGCCTATCAGCTGTCCAAAATGCGGCTATGATGGTAATGGGGCGGATATCGTGAGGAGGTTGAGAGAAATTATCGGTTTATCATCGTCTGGACAGGAAGCGTAAAAGATGATCGTGATTGATGGGATGAATCAGATGCTTAGGCTCGATCGGTTCAGTCGAGGCTCGGTAGTAGCCGACGTCAATTGAACGGGAAGTGCCGATGTGGGTGTAGGGGCCATGGTCAAATTATTATGTAGACGAGCGCGTGCTTGGACCCCTTCATCGCCTCCCCCTCTACCTTCCATATCCCTAGTTTACATCAAAGACAACCACTTGTTCAGCCCCCATCTGATACCTTCTCCAAAGGTCAAGCATCTCCCGACCATTGACTTCTGCAGCTAGTCAATTAGTTAATTGTTAATCATCGATTTCGCGTCAGTCACATCAGGAACGTTTGCAAGCAGGCAGATGGTTTCGTCAGCGCCTGCACCCTTGATCAACCCTACAGTTTCTTATGCTGAAAGTGTAAAAAAGGTTCATTCTCCTCGCTCTCCTAACGCTGTTCGGAACTCTTTTGGAGACTTCCCAGCAATCTCTGGCGCGTCTGGAATATCTTCTTCTTCTTCTTCACCGCCTTCGAATGCCACGTCCCATCTTAGCTCGGTCGAAGCGATAGGCGGATCTCAGGCCGGCGCTTCTGATTTTCCAGAACTCTCCACCGAGATATCTTCGCAGAACGCTGTCAAGGACCACAACGGACCAACGAACCATGTACATCCGAATGCCAACAACGTGCCAAAGGCAGCGCCTGCTGTGAACGTATGGACAGAACGTTTGAAAGAGCAGATGGCGCTTGCACCCATACACGCACATCAACCTCAGCGACAACCTAGAACAATAGTCACATCTTCTGCTGGAGCGCCTTCAGTCCCCCACAGGCTAAGACCCATCGTCATGGGTACTTCACCGCATACACTCGATGCTACCAATGCCGTGCCATCGGCTTCCACATCTCGTTCGAGTCCACTGCAGACGATTTCTCTCAACGGAGACGATAGTTGCCATGATCCTTTCATCGTGCGCATGCCTTCACACCTTTCTCGACACTCTTCTTCCAAGTCAATCCGTCTAGTTAATGACACTGATACGTCTAATTGGCTAGAGGCCATGAAAACTCCATCTATTGAGCTTGGAGAACATGACGGTGGCGAGAAGCCCAGAAGGTCGGAAAGTCACGCGGATGCATATAAGTCCTCAAACTCACCTGACCTATCCAGAAAGAGTACGTTATTTGCCTTGTCGACTCCTTCGCCTTTCTTAAACACCCTACATTTACGATTCTTTACAATGTCTTTTTCAATATGTTCAGACCATGCTGATGATTGGATGATGGTGCTCGTATCGACAGATAGCATTGATTCCACCCGACATCAAAGCGATTCAAGACCGTCATCAGCTCAAATGTCTCGACTGAACAGTAGAAATGTATTCGAGGCGAATTCTACGGGTTCGCACTCGGTGCCCTATTCACTAGTAGAAAGTCAAGCTGGGAGTTCGTCCTCGAGTCCTCGGCTACAAGTGCGAGGAAGGAGACTACCGGATGACGATTTGACTGTAGTATACGACCTTCGTCATGAGCCTCCAAAGGTTCCCTATAATCCACCGCGCATGAGTTCAAGGGTCCCAGAGAGAACCCCATACCACCACCACCACCACCATCACACCTTTTCTCATCCTCCCGACATTTCATCGCAATATTTCAGATCTCCGCCCATACCAATCGCTATTGACGCACCATTGCATCCTGCACGCCTATCACCGCTACTTTCCGCTATTCGACATCCGTACTACGCAAACCCTGTTTCAGGACACACCTCTCCTACGTACGCGGGTTCGCGCCCTCCCTCTGGAGCTGGAACTCCGCCATACCCGGTATATCCTCCATACACGGTGACATGCGGATACTGCCATTCGCGCATTCCGTGGGATGGGTTCGTTCCCCCAATTCACCCTCGCCCCGTTCCGGGCTTTTCTTCCCCGTTACTGCAGGACGAATATACTGTGCCTCCGCCGACGCTTCCGACGTTCTTCAATCCACCGTTTCCAGGAACAACAGAGCCATCACCGAACACCCATTTAACGCAGAGTGAGCGTTCGTATGAGAGCTCGCAGGACGCACAGTTGCATCCTGCTATTGTTTCACGAAATATGGTCTTTGGGAGCATCGGCCTGACTCATAATAGCATCCACCAGATGCCGAAAGAAATGGACGCTGCGGGGAAAGAGAGCAAGGAGCCTATTGAGCGAATGGCGGAACAGTTCTCTGGCTTTTCTATCGGCATTATGCCTGGCGAACCGGTGCCATCTCGTCAAGGAAATAGGAAACATTCGACTAAGAGTCTTTCAAGGCCTCCCGCGGGTACCGAATCGGAATATGCAGACACTGCGAATGCAATGGATGATGCGACCCAGGAAGAGCGAAAGGTGGTTGACGAATATCCGAACACTCCTGCAGGGGAAGATGTTGCAGCACCTGGTAAGAAGTGGGTGTTCGGAACGACAGCGAAGTTTGGCAGTCTGAATGAGGATTCACGTAACGCGTCATCTGAGCGCCTACCTCTACCTGCTGAACTTGCGCAACCAGTCGCTCCTCCAAGTGGCCAGCATTCGCCTGCCGCAGCATCCGTGGCGCAGCCCTCCAGGAATGAGAAGCCTGTCACGCCGCCAATTAGTACGACACAGGCTGAAACTTCAATCATGCAGTCTGAAGATGGTTCTGCGACAAGCGACGTCTGGGAGGTCAAGGATTACGGATATGGATTCGGCGACGTCAGTGGCACAGATAATGCCACTGATGTTATCCGCCGCGCCAAGGAGGCTCGGGAGATGCGGCGACAACTGGAGTGGCAGAAGGAGCAGGCGCAGATACAACTCCAGAAAGAACAGGAGCTACAGCTTGACGCACAAGAAGTTCACATCCAGCACATGTGGCAGGAAGTACATGAAGGGCGAGAAGTGTCGGACCAAGCCAAGGAGTTTGGACGTGGGCGACCCCGTCGAGGCTCTTGGGCCAGCTCGTATGGGTCGCACGAACGAGGCGCTTATGGGGGTCGGCGAGCTCGAGGATTTGGTGGTCGCTACCAAGGCAGGCATCCTGGTCGTGGAGGTTACCACCACCAACAACGATCTTCTATATCTTCTCTTACTCCGCCTCCACAATTTAATCCTTTGCCTCTACCCGGTGCCGATTATATGAACGGTTACATCCAGATACCATCTTATACACCTCCCGATTACGAGTTGTACCACCCCGTTCCAGTCACTATACCTGTAAATGGCGCACCTCCCATCCCTATGCCACAGTCGACATTGGCATTCCCTCAGGATCCGACGCGGTCGTATCTTCTTGGCCAGTTGGAGTATTATCTAAGCCCTCAGAACATGGCACAGGATTTCTTCCTCCGGCAGCGGGTGAGTTCAATAGTCGATGGGAATCTCATGTTTCAGACAAGTACCGACATGTTACACAGATGGATGATCAGGGATGGATACCCATTTCTCTTATAGCTTCCTTTAACAGGGTACAAAAGTTTACCACAGAGATCCAGCTCGTGCATGACGTGCTCAACCTGTCCAGCTTGACTGAAGTCAAGGGTGAATATGTTCGGATGGCCAGGGAGCAGTGGAAGCAGTTCGTCTTGCCCAATGCCCCGAGGAGCGTTGTGTGCCATCCGATCGAATCTGAGGCAACAGATCCTCAGGCCGATCAGGCCGCTTACGCTCAGGTTCAGGATGGTGAGATAGAAGAAGAAGGTGATACGTATGGAGAGGATGACGATGAAGAAGACATCGTATTTGTCATTGGCGAAGAAGCAGAAGGCTCCTGGGCGCCAGAACGACGATCAGCAGCATCGGAAAACACTTGACCGCCGGAATTGCGTTCAGTGACCCTTTTCAAAAAGCATTCTTGAAGGAAGTTTATACCCTTACCCGTGTGCACATTTCAGTGCGTTCGCGGACAGGTGATCCTATTGATTTTACCTCTTTGTTATGTTCTTTATGTGGTTAGTCTGTATCCTCGTGTTCTCCATCGCTAACATTTTTGCTTCATATGCACGCTTACACAGTAATGTTTTCTCCACGGCAGTATCATCCTCGCATACCATCTCATCGTTCAATCGTTCACATTTTCCTGGCTGGCTTTTATACAATGTTGTTCGTTTTCCTGCAGTTATCGTTCTAGTACACGAGCTATCCCGTCTATAAAGTAAATGATTATTAGGCTCTCTGGATAGGGCACTGACAGAATCCGTTCCTATTTTCTTCGTTGACTCAACGGATAGGCTGAGCCTGTCACCGTTTCATGCATCGACATATGTAATATTGTTTACCTTTGTTGTTAAACTATTTATAATCTCATGAGGTCACACGGCCACTGCGGCTGCGCCCCACCGTGACATACATATAAGCCTAACCCCACTTACAAACCGCAGCGTCATTATACCTCTTGCCTGCCACTATGGTGAAAGCCTCTGACGTCCTTTTGATCCTAGTTCGTGCCTACACTGATGCTATATGCATAATGCATTGGGAACTGAATTATTGAACAGGTTGCTATCCTCTTTCCACCAGCGGCTGCTGCTTTCGTTTCCGGCTGCAGCTGTGACTTGCTCATAAATATTTGTTTAACTATGTGAGCTTGCTATTATTACCGTAATATAGATGCAGGCTGGCTGACCACTAGCATAGCTTGGGTTATATCCCTGGACATATCGTGCGCCGGCTAACTGTCCCATTGAAGAGCTAGACTCTGACACATTATCACAGCACGCCTTTTGGCTCATCTACAAGAAGATGCAAGCTGAAGAGAGATATGGGCATGGGGGGTTCTATTGTACGTACTTGCAATGCCTGCCATTTTAATTGAGGCTGAGACTATAATGTAATAGACACCGGCAACGGGCATTACCAGGCTCTCAATCAAGGTTTTGCTGCTCCTGCAAACTATGGCACGGCAGGGCCTTAGGATGATCTTTGTCACTCAGATAATATCCATCATACACACGGACTGTAATACGTTGCTCCACTCGTCGTGCTTTGCAACTATATATGTTTTGTTCAATATTATTGCCCATACCTTATAAGCTTTGTCACTATCATCATGCTTTCAAAGTCTTGAAGATTCATGGATTTATCTGGTGAAGTAGAGAACGCCTCCAGCATTGCAATAATCTGAAGAGAAATTGTGTCGACAAGGGACGACATGAGAGAATGAGATGGGCTTACTTCCTCAGCCTTTAACTTCTCTTTAAGTAGATTAGCAACGCGCGTGACGTCCTTGATCATGATTTTGTGATGGTCCAGCTCAGCGTCAGGCACATCAGGGAAGAACCTCGCGAAGTCTTCCCGACATTCAGCCTTTTGTTTTGCGCTCAATTGACCAGCATCAAGCCTAATGTCGGTGGGCGACGACTTATACGACTTTCGGGGTTTCCGCGAACTGGGAACAGTGGGGTGCCTATCATCTTGATATTCCTCGTCAGATGCTTCTAGCTCACTGATGTCCCCATCGACGGATATGCGATAGTCGTCACTGCCCGGGCCACTATCTTCCTCCTGGTCACTGAGTGCTACCATATCGGATTGAGCAGCAGAAAGCCCGAAATCATCACTCCCTCCCCCGTCTTCTCCCTCTAAAAGGGCGGCACACACAGATCGCCAGTCCTTTCGGCTGACTTCACCCGATCCCTTCAAACCTGCTCCCCAGCCTGATGCAGCATTTCGAAACACAGAAAGAACCTCTTCGTCATCTGGAGGGAGTCCAAGAAGTTGAAGTGCAGCTGGGACAGATGAAAGTGATATGGAGATAGGGTCCGGAGACGAAGTGCGGCTTTTGTGTTCGGCGAGCAGGAAACCTCCTGCGTCCTCTATCAAGAATCCTCCTGGTGATTCGTCTTCCACAGCGAATCCACCGGACTGAGCTGAATGAAGCTTGCGCTTCTTTCGAGGCAGATTTGATGATGTTGAGCTGCTTCCAGCAACATTATCGAACGCATTATCTATGCGCCAACGCAGACTAGCAGAGAGTGTAATGAAGCCAGTGTCATCCATGATGCATGACTCCTCCTGGTACGGATTCTACGGAAGAAGCCCAATTGAGGACCATTATGTCACGTGGACATATCACGCGTTCCCGACTCTGAGCTGTAAATAGCCCAATTGGAACTGTTGGTAACACCCACTAGCCTAGAATTACCCTTGGTATCAGCGCATTGGAATTACGCCTGGGACAGCCCGTGTCGCGCCTTGGCAAAATGAACTTATCTCTAAAATGGTCATCTAATGCGAGGTGCGTGCGAACCGTCGACTCTTTATTTCAACCTAAGGATATACATTATAAACCCCTCGGGCGGTTATAAGTCACACCTCTCTGACTCTGGCCCACAATGCTCCAGTTAGAAGAACGCTCGGATAACTGTGATGTTGAGGTCGCGGAAAAATTCGACCCCACCTCTTACTATGAGCAGGCTGCCGGTCGTTTGGTGATCGATCCCCAGTATGTGTCCTAATTACAGTCTTAGCCTGCTGGCGGCGAGTCAAGGACTAATACCACACCTGCTTTAACTTTAGGCAGGCAAAGGTCGAGTTTGGCGAGGCACTGGCTTCAACGCTCAAACTGAGCCGCGACGGCTCTACAATTCTCTGGCCACAACCTGCCGACGATCCGAATGACCCACAGAATGTGAGAACGTGGTTACTATCTTACTACACGATAAGCTAACAGTTCGAGGTAGTGGAGTGATCGGCATAAAGCTCTGCACCTTCTTGTTATCACTCTGGCAGCCAGCATACCTGATTTCGATTCAGGAATTGGTGTGTCCAGGCTACGATGTGTATCGTAGCGTCTGACGATATCGCTAGGAATTGCTTCGATATTTGGATTGGCACAGACATATAATACAACAACAGGTGTTATCAACAACCTTACGTCCAAGTGCGCAACCTTGCATTCACCAGTGAAGGGAAACACTAATGATAGCCAATAGCTGGAGCATCTTCTTGCTAGGTTAATTTGGCTATCTAAGAGATGAAATCCCACAGACCGGCTGATTTCTTCCTCCTACAAGGATGGGGTGGGATCTTTTGGGTAATGCTCATGCGACGTTACGGTCGCCTTCCTGTGCTATTTTGGACACAGGCACGTATCTCTTTGAGATCACATTGTAGTGCTGGAATCACTTACTACTCTGTAGGTTTTCGCGGTTGCGTTCCTCGTCGGTGCTACCTTTTCACCGGACCTGGCTACCTTCACAGGTAAGATTCTATATGCGGTGAATAAACTCGATACCGACGCTTCTCGTTTGAAAGCAATGCGTTGTTTGACGGCATTTTTTGGGTGTGCACAGTTTCTCAATTAGCAACAATGTTACTCACGGATAACCAGGACTTGTCCTCAGGTTACGGTACGTCCCATGTGCCCTCGTCCATACTCCCGTCGTCTTAATTTCATCATAGGGCCTTTATGTTGTCACTGACATATTCCCATTCCATCTACAAGCTCGAAAATTGAATATTTGGACCTTTGGATTCATTATGCATGTTATTAATGTGTTCATCGGCATTTAACAGCATTCATCATTTAGCACAGATCCCCATTCTTATCGCCATTCGCTTTTGGCTTTCTTGTAGCACGTATGAGGCAAGCCTACTCATCCCTTTGAGATAAATAACTATTGATACACATGCAGCTGGAGATGGGCCTACGGGATTGGGTCGATTTACAGTGCCATCGTTGTCCTCCTGATCGGTCTGTTTATGGAAGAAACGTAAGTTAATGCTTCACAACACATTTGATAAAATGTTAAGTCACGATTAGGATGTATGACCGCCATCTGGATCCCCACCGAGAACGAATATTGCCAGGCATACAATATCGACTCAAGACCCTGATTGGCATCACCGGGTATAAGATGGCCAGGTATCGGTCATGCTGGTCAGAAGTTGTATGGGCATGTTTGAACGTTGTTTGGAGACCTCAATTTATCTTGGTTGCATTTTTTGAGGTGAGTTCGCAAATAAGGCACTTGGCAATATCTCAACCTCACCTATGGATTAAAGGCCTTTGTTTTCGGATTCTCAGTTGGCGTCAACGTGAGCTGCTCTTTGTTGCTTATGCGTCCCTTGAGTATTAAGGGTGCTAGGTGACAAATGTTGTTTTCATGGGCTCCCCTCCTCCAGTCGGTTTTGGATTCAGCGAATTTGGGGTTGCTGGCGCATACGCGACTCCGATTGTGAGTATCACTACTACCAGCGGAAATCAATGTACCCATGTCATGCTAGGTAGCTGTGATTCTAGGAGAGGTGTGCGGACGATTCCTGAATGACCGAATTATGGACTTCACTGTTCGGAAGAATAATGGTATATTTGAGGCTGAGAGTCGTTTATGGTGGGTGCATAATGTTGATTATCAAATAGCGGCTGCTGAAAGGACATGCATACTGCAGGGCATGTTATGCAGCAATGCCACTGTACATCTGCGGCTTTTTGACATTAGGAGCTGGTATCCAACATTTGAATAAAGCTGCACTTATCTTAGGTTGGGGGATAGCGGAAGTGGCGGTCATGGTGAATACAGTTGCCGTCTGTGAGTCGTACTATCACTTGCGGTTACTGGTCAAGTTGATAACTCGTTTCATCAGATGCGTATTGTAATGATTGCTTTCCGCGGCGTCAGGGAGAAATTAGTGCTCTGCTCAACCTGGCGCGCGTGCTAGGTGGTAGGCACTTGCATTGCTTCCTGTCTACTGCATGTCGTGACTATTCACAGGCTTCAGTGTGGCATACTTCCAAGTCCCATGGGCTACAAAATCTGGCGGAATCGAGACGTATGGTGTTGAAGCAGCGTACGTACTCACCAGACTGGCTCACAACAGATTCTAACCACATGACAGGATTGTGATGGGATTGTTCTTACTTGCTGTGCCAACGGTGCAATTGAGAGGGAGATATTTCCGGGTGCGTGACAATATTGTGATCTGATTGTCATCGCTCAACTTCCTGCTGGCGTCGTAGGAGCACTTCGCCTTATAACGCGATGTTGCTATTTCGTAACTCCGGGACAAGTGGAAGTCCGAGAATTGTATTTCTGTGAAGCGGTTTGCCCCAGTCGCGTTACTTTTATCACCGCTGGAAGCATTAGATGCCTAGTGTAATCAATTGCATGGAATCCCCGCCAGACCTAACAAGTGACCTTCGGGAAATCATGCAGTTCTAGACCGGAATGAAAAAAGAGCACGATCAAGATTCAACAAAAGAATGGATTGCCGGGCAATACATTACAAGAAATAATTGCGAGGTCAATAAGTGGTCTGACTTCCAATAAAAAAGTCAGTCCACGCTGAATCACGAAGTGGCTATGTCCAACTATGTAAGGGGTCCGTAGGAAAATGTACCATCACTATTTAGAAAATAGTAGTAACGAACGCAACGAGACACAAGACACAAGTGACAAGTATGCTGTATTGTATGTTTGCGCTCAAGATTGCTCCAGATGTGGTGCTGCTAGGGCTGGTCGCACTTTGTGAACCTGAAGCATTGCCACTCGACCCGCTGGTAGTCGAAGAGGATGGTGGGGCAGCCGTTGCGAGGTTGCTCACAGTGGCCCATGTTGCAGCGGCGTTCGTACTCGTGTTACCCTCAAGGTAAGGGAGGTAGGACACGGCACCATTGCTCGTGAGCTGCACAAGAGCTGTGATGCCGGCGAAGTATGTCGCTTTAGAGTCTTTGGTAGTGGGCGCTGCCAGGGCCTGAGTTGTGTTCGTCTGAAGACTCATTAGTGGTGAGAACAAGTCGTTTCAAGATGAGGGTCTGAATGAGGGACTGTACCTCAACATTAATTATGTAGGTGGCGGAGGAATCTTCAGGAATGAAGGCAAACTCTTGCTGAACCTATTAACTGCATGTGAATATACCTTAGGTAGTAAAGTACAAGACTGACTGTGTTGTCTGCCTGGAAGAATGAGGTGGTTTTCCCGTAAGTGGCAGGGAATGCGCTCCCATTCGAGAGTGGGTAGGCCTGGGATTGCGGTTGGAAGTAGGAGTCTGGTCCCACATGATCAGTATCTCTTCCCTGGGAAATAGATGGGTATGAAACACACAGTGAATGACGAAGATGTCTGCACTCCCAGCAGGGACGTTGGGGACGTCGAGGAAGTGAATATGATTTTGCGCCAGAGCCATGACTGGAACGTAGCCCGAGGGGTACGGTACTTGCTCATCGTTAATCCAGTTTAATGGGGTATTATTGGCCGCTTTTAGTAAGCCCATGTCTAGGGAAAAGAGGTTTCCACTTGACAAGGCATCTGTGGTGGCATGTCAACGAAACAAAGTACGTGGAAACGGCATCAACTTACAGAAGACGTTCGTGTCATGGTCCAGAATAGCACCGAAAGATGTGTAGTCGAAAGAACCAGCATCGACTGCCTGCATGGACCACGATTTCGCGGTCGCGTCGTAGATGTAAAGAGAAGAAGGATTCTTGGAGTCGGCGTTGATCGCATAGATCGCGTTGGCATACTATCAACGAGAAATTAGCCCGCGGTTTAAAGCTACAATTGTGCGTGCTCAGGCTTGCCTGCGAGAGGTAGCACGTAGTGTTAGCAGCATCAAATGGCCTATGGAGGACAAATGTAAGCACAATACATGGGTGAAGAAGAGTACTGACGGCCGGTTAGAGGCTGTGATGTCTGTGGCCGCAGTGCCTGTTTAACAGAATGTTAGGTGTTTAGAACTCGTAACAACAAGAAACTGACTGCTGGACCAGGTATCTTGGGTGCCCGCGTTCCAGTCTTTGCCATTGAGGCCGAAAGCAAGGAGGTTCCAGTTGGTGTCAAAAGCGACACATGGAGATGCTCGGACTGTTGCCGAAGAGAAGAAAAAAAGAGAGGCGAGGGTAGGCAGAAACATAGTTATGATGACGGAAGAAACAAGTTGAGGGGAAGATGAAATTGAACGAGACCTTCGGAATGCGCATGTACACAAGTTCATTAGGTAAGGCACAATGCTAAATTTACTAGGGCACGCACAAGTCTCAGGCCTCAGGCTTCACACACAAAAATACTGCATTGTAGAGACCGTAGACGGCGGGTACATAAGTACTAGTACTGGTAAGTTCATATATAGATGCGCCACGAAGTAACCAGACAGCGCATCTAAATCTACGGAAAAATCATCGTTCCTGATTTTTGGAATTGAGAGGGTGTAGAGTAGTGCTGCTGATTATAAGGCAAAGCGTCCCTATTCGGCACAGATTCAATGTTGTAAGTCAAATGGATATGATTGCACTTACTCGGAAGTAGCTTCCCTTTAGCTGTGTCATAGGAACAGCGATTAAAAACATGGCGATCACAAGCCTATACGAATCGTTAGGCTCTTCAAGTGTGCCGAGCAATATCACTTGCGCTGCTTCAACACCAAATACCATCAATGCTCCAGATTTTGTAGCCCACGGGACTTGGAAATATGCGACTGCGAAACCTAGGCCACATTCGCGAATAGTAAAGTGATCATACGTCGTTATGACTCACCACCTACTGATCTTGCGAAGTTTAAGAGGGCACTGACTTCGCCCTAAAAGTAGCAGCACATGTCACTGAAATGCAAATAAGTATGTATGCGTCACTCACTGCCCTGCGAGGGAAGCAGTCATTACAGTATGCGTCTAATATTATTCCTTGAGTTATCCCATGACACTCGAAGCAATAGATCCGAGACTCACACACTGCAACAGTATTGAGGGTGATTGCAACAATTGCAATGCCCCAGCCCATAATGAGAGCGGCTTCGTTGAGATTTTGTATCCCAGCACCCAGTGTCAAAAAGCCGCAGACATAAAGCGGCATGGCTAAGTAACAGGTCCTACACAAACTCTCAGTTCTATTCTCCTCTGAAAGACCGACCATCAATTGAATTTGCATACCACAAACGGCTCTCGGCCTCAAAGAAACCACCATTTTTGCGAATGTTCAGATTCATAATGAAGTCATTTGTGTGACGACCAATGAATTCGCCAAGAAAGACAGCAATCTAGAAATTCGAAGCTGAGTACAGTAGTCAGGGACACTTCATCGAGGGGAAAACTTGCAATGGGAGTCGCATACGCTCCAGCCACGGCATATTGGCTGAAGCCGAATCCGACCGGAGGAGAAGACCCCATAAAGACAACGTTTGTCGTCTATGAAAGTTGCTAAGTCTATTACTTCAGATCGAAATGGAAACGCTCACGTTCACACCGATCGAGAACCCGAAAACAAATGCCTTCCAAAAAAAAAGTCAGCGGATGTGGTACGTAAGGTCAGCAATTTAACCCATCTCACCTCAAAAAGAACAACGAAGAAGAATTGAGGACGCCAAGCAACATCCAAAGATGCCAGTAGAACCTCTGGCCATCGTGGTCTATATTTCGCCACCTTGTATCCAGTGACACCAATCAGAGTTTCAATTCGATATTGCAGTCCTGTGGAAGTTCGTGGTGGCTTCGATACAAGGCGGCGATCATACATCCTGGTCGAGGAAGATCAACGTCATTGCCACAAGAAGAAACAGGATATCAGAACGCACGTTTCTTCCATGAAAAACGCGATGAGAAATAACACTATGGCACTGTAGATAGATCCTATGGCATATGCCCACCTCCAGCTAACCAATGATAAATACATCGCCTGATCAAGACAACATCAGACATACCTTACACGCGCTACAAGGAAACCAAAAACAAAAGGTGATAGGAAAGGGGATCTATGAGATAGTGAGAAATGTCTCTCCCGCTAAAAGAACCCATCTTCTGACATAACAAAACCCGAAGTCCAGATGTTCAACTTCCGTGCTTGAAGATGGAAGGGGAAGATATCCGTCACGACATAAAGACCCTTGCAAGTTGGTGAGCGTTGGAACTATCACGAGAATCGCTACTAGTCATACCGTCACCTGGGGACACGTTCTAAAATCGTAGTCAGCTTAATGCAGGCATGAATGGCATGATGACTTGCCCAAAGAATGCAGTCAGACAACGCATCCCTTCATGAACAGTCAATATTTTCCGTTACGAACTATCGTGCAAATACCTGCAAAAGTGGCTAGATTTGGTGCCAACGTAGCGCCAACCAAGAATGCAAGCGCGAAAAGCTACGTTTAAAGATTTAAGGTTAATATTGGCCGGATGATGGGAAATACATACCTGACTCCAGAAGAGTACTGGCAGCCGACCATAGCGTCTCATGAGCATGACCCAGAAGATACCTCCCCAACCTGGACTACCAATGAGAAGAGTTTATTACCCATGTAATAGTCTGATCTTACCCAAAAGGAAGATACTCCAGCTTCAACGAGTTGTCATTATATGTGAAATACGGACGATACACTACGCACTTTGACGTCATATCGTTGATGACACCTGAGGTCGTGTCATAAGTTTGAGCGAGCCCAAATATCGACGCGATTCCTGCCAACAAAGGTATATCAGAATGACACGAATGTGGGTATTGAGCGAGGGCGAAATCCATACCGATTCCGGAGTCGAAGTCAGGTACCACTGCAGACATAGTGATGATGATCAGTTGCATAGTCTTACGAAAATCGGACCACTACGAACGTATAGTTCAGTGTTAGTGAAAGGGATAATGACGATAAATGACGAGCATTTTGTGGGTCGTTCGGATCGTCGGCGGGTTGAGGCCAGAGAACCTTCAATCCATCAGGGCTGAGCTTAAGCCTCGAGGCCATTACCTCCCCAAACTCAACCTTCGCCTTTCTAGCAAGTCATGAATGAGCAACGGTGGACTCAGAAAAGCGGCAAACAACCACGTACTCGGGGTCAACTACCAAACGGCCAATAGCCTGCTCATAATAAGCAACAAAATCCACCTCAGGCGGATTAACATCGACTTCGACCGAGTCATCTGCCTTCGTTTCTGACTGCGGCCGCTGGGGGCTAACACTCATGGTAGCAGTGAGAATTGGGAAGCGAACAGTTAGGTGTCACCATTCGGTACCCATGGCCAATTTAAAGTGGGGCACTCACAATAATAATATCTCTTTTAATCTCGGGGAGGCGCAGATTGTGAGGGATAACCAGCGATACGATAGGTCCAAAATTCGAGCGAAGCCGTTTAAACAGGTACAAGTGGGAGCAAGACAAGGATCTGGGAAATCGGAAACATAGCTACTGACTAACTCGACGACGTGGACAAGAAGGTTTCACGCGGCCTTGACGTAGCACTGACGAGGGACTGACGAAACTGTTCTGCCAACCAGTTTTACAGAACTCCGCGAAAAACTGAAAAATTTGAATGACTGCTGGTAGAACTTGGCAGAACCCAGGGCTGGCAGGGAATTAATGCATAATAATATTAAGATGCACATGTACACGTGTATACTTCAAAAATGTGAAAACACGAGCCAGGCGGGTTCTAACTTCTGACTCCGTCATTTGTCTCAGCAGAAAGAAATTGACGAGTGAGATTTGTGATTTCGCTTGTCCGCAACAGTAGCATTCACTGGCACCTGGGTTGCCCAATTAGTAAGCCTTATTATACTTGGTGATTACGTGCTTCGACAACTATTATTAGAGCCCGTTCAGCAACTGATGTTTACAAATATTTGAGAACGAAATGTACGAGCGGCATGCAAGCCGGTATGTCGGAGTTTCAATAATCTCTCCCTCTGACTATGAACATACCTTGTACCACCACCTATCGACTCACCCCCCAGCAGCGAAAGCGCATCTTCGCAACTGTAACTGTACTCCTAGTGTGCGCTCAGTTTCAACTTATCAACATGGCTCGAAAGGACGAAAACAAGCAGCCCAAAGCCCAATGGAATGAAGCTGAAGTTGACGCCCTGCTAGACTATCTTATCACCCAGAAATCCAAGATCGCTGGAACCACCTTCAAGGATGAGGTCTTCAACGAGGCTTCGAACATGATTGCAGGAATGGGGACATATGGCCCATCCAAAACCGGACCGCAATGCAAGACGAAATGGGCATCGGTATGTGTTCCCATGTCATTATCAGCAGTGACTGCTCACTAAGATCTACACCACCCACATACAGCTCAAGCAGACTCACAATGCCATCGAGCGATATCGTAACAATCGATCTGGTTGTCATTGGGACAATGTCAATGGAGCGAATATTCAGGGGGAAGCGGCGGAAGTTCAGTGGGGACAATTTCTCAGCGCCAGTGTGGCCAACAAGGTATGTGAACATGTTCAGAGATCTCCAGCTGCTGCTTACCTTTTGTTTCGAGGCAATGCGATTCTTCAAAAACACCGGGTGGAGATTTTGGCCCAAGATGTTGGAGATCCTGCCAAATGGGAGTGGCGCTGAGGGCGCTGCCGCCTATAACCCGGCTTTGTTAGCCGCACAGGAATCAGCACCTGCCGCTTCCGCCAGCGCTGAAGCCAGTGGATCAGTGCTTCCCACTCAGGCATCGGCACCCGCTGCTTCTGCCAGCGCTGAAGCCAGTGGCTCAGTGATTCCCACTACTCGTGCTGAGGCAAGTGGCGAGGCTATGGGTCTTGCCATTGGCGTGCCCGGCGCTCGCAATGCGGGTGGTGTGCCCAGTGCTCGCACAGCTGCGAGCCCCGGCTTCGAATGGGACCAAATCATGTCTGCCCTTCCATCCACTGATCCTGGAATGGTAGCTCGCGCTTCCACGAACATCCCCCCTCCCCCATCGTCAATCGCATACACTCACAGTAGCACCGGAAAACGTTCGCATTCCGACATGGTCCTTTCCTCCACTACCACCCAAACTTCGGTATCACAGGTGAATTCCCCCTCCCTCGACAAAAAGCCGAAGTTGTCGACGCGTGGTGGCAGCTCTATGTCGCGTGTGACTAGTCAACGCACAGGCACCAAGGCCACCAAGGACACCGCGAACAACGCCGCGAATACCGCTGCATTCATGAACCTTCAAGGTTCCATCAACCGCTTGACGGACAGTCTTGAGACGTCGATGACCAAGACCGATGATGGTCGGGTAGCGGATGAACGCACGCAGGCCTTAGACATGATGCAAGATGACGAGCGCATCTCGCCGTCTGACAAGGTCACCCTCATGAACGTGTTCGCGAGGAGCCCAGCGGTCTCTTCCACCTACTTGGTCAGCAGGCCAGAGAATCGTATACCTTACTTGGAATCAGTCCTCCGCCAGGCTGCCAATGGGGTGTACGGCGCGCTGTAATAATTCATACCTCACGTTCCTTCATTCTTTGCGTTCGTCGTTTTTCGTTTTTAGTCACTTCGATATGCAGCGCATCTTCGTTTGTAGCACAATGTAAACTACCATACATTGTGAAAGTTATAGAACATCTTCATTGGCATCATCCTCGCTGCCATAGTACTGATCTATGTCTTCCTCTTCCTCTGGGCCTTCATCAATTTCACGCTCAAGTAAGATCCTCTGATAGTCTTCCCACATCTCCATGGCCATGCGGTCGCGAAAATTGTTTGCATTTGTATCATCCTCAACAATCATATCATGATCAGGTTGATCATGATACACATCATTGGGTTGCCCTTGATTGGTGGGGTTGTCATTGAAGACAGCCCTCTGAGGCAGAGGCCCTTCACCTGGGTCCTGGGTACATATGTAGTTGTGTAGAGCACATAGTGCTGCAGGAATACGAGCTTGAATTCCAATCTTGTACTCAGGGGATATCAAAAGGATGCGAAAGCGCCGCTTCACAACACCAAAAATCCGTTCGATAACATTGCGAGCAGATGCATGACGAAGATTGAATAGTTCTTCCTTGTTGACAGGCCTAAAAATATTATTGGATGAGCTGGACTACAAAAGAGAACTGTAAGTCATACCTGACATTGGCACGACCCCATTCAGCCAGATGGTAACGAACACCACGGTAAGGGACCAAAAGCTGTGGGCATGAGGGGAACCCTAGGTCTGCAAGAAGATATTTTCCTAGTGGGATATCCAAGCCATTGTTACGAGCTTCGCCCCAGAGCCGTGAATCTGTTGCTGATCCCTCCCATCCCGTAAGTGCAAACATAAACTTGAGGTCGAAGTCACAAACAAAGAGACAGTTTTGAGAGACAAAACCTTTTCGGTTGTAGTAGAGGTGGCGGCTTGCTGATGGAGGGAATGCATGGATGTGGCTACCATCAATGGCTCCAATAGCATCACGAAAGTATGGCCAACGTTTTGGATTGTTGCGAATTGCACTGGAGACAGGTGCATTGACAATGGGAAGGTGAACGTGAGTGGTGTAGAAGGGGTGAGATGCAAATATATCTAGCATCTTTCTGAAATATCTAATAGGCAGAGTAAGCTGAGGTGTAAGACATACATGAAATCACATACTTTGAAATAGTAGCATTTGATCGCTGGAATCGTTCTCCAACATGTCTGACAGTTAATCCTGTTACACAGGTGTACAGAAAAATGGCCAGCTGTTCTTCGAGCGACACATAGCGTGAATCAGTGTGCCCAAGGTCGCGAAGGTCATTGATCAAGCTCGCAAAAACATGAGCATTGACACCAAGCTCACAGCGGATGCGTTCCGGGTGGCCAGTGATTAATTCAATCACCCACTCTTGCCCTGTGAGGGCTGATGTATGGTAGGGCTCGCGGTCAGATGGGGGGATCTGCTGCTGAAGAATCTGTGCTGTGGCAGCAAGTAGTATATTGAGGATAAGAGCAATGTAGCGAAGAATGCGTTGGCGAACTGCAGCTTGTGCCTGGTGAGTCTGGTCTGCAGGTTGAGCTAGATGGGTCACAAGAGGTCGAACAAACTGTGGGTGCACATGTCCTGGATCCATGGTAGCTTATAGTATAGCTACTAGACATGTATCTTATCACTATCGATCTTACCGACGATTTTGAAACTCCGCTTGAAACTCCGCATCACGTGCCACCAACAATTTCGTTTGGTTTTGCAACATTTCAGTTGCTGAACGGGCTCTTAGGCTTACTTGCGTTAAAGCTCAACACCGGCATTACAGCTGTTTGCAAAAAGGTTGACAGTGGCGACATTTTGAGAATGAACAAATAAATAAATAATAGCCACGTACATAGAGCTAAATAACATGTACATGTACTCGCAAATGCTCAATGTGTGCCATATACTCACAACAATCGACTCATATTCACGGTAACAACTCTTCGGTGCTGATACTCGTGAACATTTATTGCTGCGAATTCGATGTTGCAACTAATTTTGCAATACAATGATCAATTTGTGATGCCTGTAAGTGGCTATTATTTATTTGTTTGTTCATTCTCAAAATATTGCTACTGTCAACCTTTTTGCAAACAGCTGTAAATACTGCCCCAAATCATCTACGACCTTCAGCTATATCTACAGCGGGGGTGTCATATCCCATACATGAGGCTTCTCGTCCGGTCCGATCCACCCGATTCCTCGGGTCCGTTCTAGAATTCATTTCCCTGAGTCCCCATTTGTATAGGCTTCTTTCTGCCCCTATGTGTCCGGATCATCCTGACAGTTAATGTCCGGGTTCATTCTGATCCGTCCGTTAGTCTATTCATTTCCCTTTCATTTAACTTGTCCCCCCTGTTTCATTTAATCTCCGGCTCCATTCTCGATCGTCCGCAGCGGTTCATATCCGTTAGTACATTTTCTACATAGCCCTCTGATCCGAAGACTGCGCTTCGGCCGGAAACCCGTCGGATACACTACAGTATATAAACCCTTTGTAACCCGTAGTATTTCCTCAGTTCGAATATTAACTTAGACTCTGTTCAATCCTCGTGTCCTCTCGGCTCTTGGGATTATTACCCTAGTCCGATCCTCCGAGCCTCGGGATTATATCCCTAAAGCTAAATACCTCCGCCTCTACCTTCGGGTAGTCTGTACCTTGTTAGTTTCTACCCGGACGAAGTCTCGGGTAGTCTTCCCTCTCTCGTCCGGCCCGTCTATACCCTTTGGCCGACGATATCCAAACCCCCTGTAAATTAGGGGCACGTACTCGGGTAAAGAGCGCAGCGCACGAGCTGAAGCTAAGCCCCTCCGGTCCGACCCGTTGAACACGGTCTTAACAGTATATTCGAACTCACACTTTACCGAGTATACTTATCATCATGGCTCCCACCCAGACAACCAGAACCAACCTCGCCGCGGCCGGTTTTCTAGCCAGCTCACGTAATGCTGCATCCGACGCACAGAACTTTACCGGCTTCACTCGTCGTCGTACGAGCGTACTAAGAACCCCCACGGACAGCGTTTCGCAAATCATAAACCGCCCGCACCCAGAAACTCCTACTCGCCCGACAACCCCCGGACCATCAGACCCGGAAGGGCCTGATGATGGTGGTGATTCAGATCCGCCGGGCGATGATGGGGATGACCCATTTGGTGGGCCCCCAGAGGATGAAGACGATGGGCTAACCCCCGCTGACAGAATCTTCCTCCGCTTCTCTCAAGCCATTGAGAACCTTGCCCGCACTACGCGGAAATCCCCATCCGAAGACTCCAAAGTCAAAGTTCGGGAACCCGATACTTTTGATGGGTCCGAACCTCGCAAACTCCGCGCATTCTTCGTCCAATGCGAACTCAACTTCCAGAACAAGGTCCGCTCTTTCCGCACGGACCGGGCTAAAGTCAACTTCGCCCAGTCCTACTTGAAGGGCATGGCCCTGGAGTATTTTGAGCCCGACCTCCTGTCCGGTGCAACTAATGACCGCCCGGACTGGATGGATGACTATGCTGAGTTCATGCTAGAACTCCAGACCAACTTCGGCCCCCATGACCCGGTCGGGGATGCAGAAATGCAACTCGAACAACTCGTTATGCGCGACGGACAGCGCATTAATAAATATGTAGTAGAGTTTCAACGACTTGCTTCCCAGGTCCGAGGTTGGGGCGACGGAGCATTACGCCGTCAATTCTATAACGGACTTCCGGCCCGCATCAAGGACGAGATTTGTCGTCAGGGTAAACCCGTGACCCTCGCCGAGTTCAGATCCCTATCCCAGTCCATCGACGCCCGATACTGGGAACGCAAGGGCGAGACCTCCCGCGAGGTTAAACCGTCCACATCCGCGCCTCCAACAAAACCATACGTACCTCCTACCCGATCCTTCGCACCCGCTACTGACCGGACAACCCCTTCCGGAAGTAAACCCTCCAAGCCCTCCACCTCCTCCTCACAGCAACCGGACTTGTCCTCAAAATTAGGCAAGGACGGTAAACTGACATCCGAGGAGTGCCAGAGGCGCATGGACATGAGGCTCTGCCTTTTCTGCGGTGGACCCGGCCATACGGCCCGGGACTGCTCCAAATCGACCTCACGCGCTGCCAAAGGCCGTGCAACTACAGTGGCCCCGGATGCTATTCCCGAGGCCCCTGTTGAGGCAAAAAACTAGTCCGTGACCCTCCTGACTCC